TTTTTCGGCGAGAACAAAACATGGGAATGGCTGAGACATGCTTACCACTTATGGGTGTGATGGCCCGTAGAGGTACCTTCAAAGACTAAGAAGCCGCACGGCGACGGAGCGGAGCGGAACGGAGATAAATCGCAAATTTACTATCTCGTCACAACCTTCTCTGCTTCGCTCAAAGTCAAAGTATGTATGTCAATGATTGGATTGAAGAGGACATGAGGGGTTCAGTCGGTGACGTGCATGTTGCTGTGGGTTGATATTGAGACGGGAGGCAAGACTTGGCCTTGGCGAAACGTTAAATCGATGTTGCAACTTGGTTGAGATGATGGGACAGAACTACCGACGTCAATTTAAAAACACCAGGTGACCTTTCAGGTGGTTGCCATCCTTAGTGAACTCAACTTGAAGAGACTTAGAATGGCCTGTTTTTGGCTTTCAAATAAAGGGTGTTGTTGCTCATGTTCTTGACATGCCCCGTACTCCATACGTATGTACATTACAGATATTTCGGATTTATTACCTGCATTGTCATGTCAACTTTCTGGAGTTGAAGAGGCAGATGAGGTATATCGTTCTCCCATAACGTCATTCAAGTAATATCCATCCAGCTTTCACGTCTTCCTGTCGACAATCATCAAACTTTGACAAGTCCAATTAATCGAACGTTTCTCGTTCTCTTTTTCCATTTTCCAATCCTCCAATCGCTGAACTCCCACTCCACTTCCACCTTGGCCCGTCGCCCTACGCCCACCAACCAACCGCCCGCTCGGCCCCTCCTCTCCCGGGCCAGTCCCGTGCCAGTCACTACATCGGGGATATCGCCAGCGATAAGATTCCCCGCGCGAACTTGCACCATTCACCACGAACCTTCCACAATGTACCTCGCAGGCTTCTTCGGCAGCTGCAAGCGAAGGATTATACAAGCACTCACACTCACAGCAACTGCTTTGAACGGCGTTGGCGTGGTTGGTCATGCGCGGGTTACAATGGGAGGGAGACGTTGGAACGGAACATTTCCAATCTTTCTTTCGACATGGACTGCCAAGGAATTTGTTAATGAAATGGCAGAGCGCCAACCAACGATCTCAGCGTCCATTGCATGCAGCACTGCTGCTGCTGCTGTAATGCATGGTGTATTGCTGTCCCACTGCAATGCCGAGTTTCGTCCTGTGGTTTCGCTGTTTCGGTTTTCAATACCTCACCTCACATCATATCATCGCTTTTCTTCTTTTCTGATGAGTTCGAGTTGTTCAGACAATATTTCGGTCGCCGCTTACCTACAATATATCGCAAGTTGCGAAGCCGGACTAAGCTGGTAGGTGCAAGCCGTCGTTGAAGGCCGCCAGGCACATGGAGGCGGGCTATAGACAGACTACCCCCTCTCCCTATATCTAGACTACTTAACCCTTCTGGGCAAGAGTTGCCCATATTTTACCGCTGCACAAAAAACGGCAATGGAATGAGTCGTCAATGGCACCCGACCCTGAAGTCCATAGAATCCTACAGCAGGGCATTGCAGCGACAACTGGACCCCGTCTACAGCGACCTTTCACGGACAGTGCACCTCACCCGTCCCGTCGTCACCGATAACGCTCTTGCCTAGTAAGTAATGTAGTCCAAAAAAGAAACAGAAAGCAAATGAAGGCCTTTCCCATTCCGAGGACTTTATTCATCTACGGGAGTGCTTCTATCGAAATTGCATTGCTTTGAGTGCAAAGCCTTGACTTTGGGGTCGTTTGGGAGTTGGGATCGCGGACGTTGGTCAGCTTCGGTTTCTTGGAGAATCGTGAAGAAAAAAAGTTTGGGAGCTAACGAATCTCGGTGATAATTCTGTGTTGTGGTGTTAGCTAGAGATAAGATAAGATCAAAACCTTCTAGTCTTGCCCAAAGTGGTTAAGTATTCTAGATATAAGGAGAGGGGGTAGTCTGTCTATAGCCCGCCCCAGGCACATGACGCCTCTAACCCTGTGAGCACCCCTTCGCTGGTCGGCCAGACAGCAGCCACCGACGTTGGATATTTCCTATTCCCGGATAGAATGCCTTTTTACACATCAACGCACTTCGTCTTCTTCTCTCTGGTTTTCCGGTGGTCTCCTCCCTGCCTTCTCTATACCGTTATCCATGACGGGTAGTACGGTAGGGCTTCACAAGCTTCACCAAATATTATACATAGCGAGATGCATGTTTGCTTTTTAGTTATGCCCGTAGTATGTATAAGAAGTTCAGCGATCTCGGAAAAGAAGCCGATTACGGATGTCGATTACAGCTCGACGGAATCCGTACACACATACGGTAAAAACCGTAGCCTCATACGGTAAACCACCTTCAGTTGCAAGTCAACATGGCCTCTATAGAATATTGAAATTTGCACTCGCCTCACGAAGTCTCCGAAGGTTTTATGAGGTTGAGGATTCGCCATTTGTCTACCTCCCTTTTGAGGCGGAGAGGTGGTGTTGAAAGGGAAAGTTGAGGAGGGCGTTGAAGACTACCATACAGGCTTTGCACCAGGCCTGGAGCTGGGGTCCTTGCCTTATCATATCGATGTCCCCGGACTAGTGAAAGTGCCCTTGAACCAGTTGCTGCCATCTTCATAGGGAGCATTATTGATTTTCCACAGTCAATGGCAAGCGAAACTCATCTCTACTGCGTTGCAGATACAAATCCGTTTTGTGAACTATGGTGGTGGTGTTGATTTTGAAGCTTTCATCGAAGGTCTTGGCGCTTGGCGGCGTGGTGAAGACCCCGTCAGGATTGGCTGCACACCCTTAAAAGGTCGATTTACCGTATGCGTCTACGATTTTTACCGTATGTGTGCAGGGATTTGACAGCTCGAGCAGCTCTCTTCTCCTCGCCTTCTCCAACTTAGTTCTCTTAGGTGTAGTTTTGGGAAGTTCCAACCGCTGATCTTTTGACAAATTTACAAGGACCCTTGTAATCGATTACATCAATCATGGTTGGTACCCGTCCGCACCGCACACCAACAACTAACTCTTATGACAATGACCATGACCATGACCACTCGAACGGACGGCACGTTGGTGGGTGCGGTTAGGCCCTTTTTTCTTCTTCTTTTTTTCCTCTTCTCAAATTCTCGTTCACGTCGTTTTTCTTTGTGTGTTGCTTTTCTGTTTTTCTTCAGCCAGCTTGACACACCGGTCATTCTTCCCAATCCAAATGGATGATGAAATATGCGGAGAACAGTGAAGTGAGCCCATCTATCTGGAAGAAGATATTCCCGGCAAACATGGTTCCCCAGCATCCTCTAGCTTTTGCTAGCCTCCTAGCTTTACATAATTGGTAATTCGTTGTAAACACGGTGTGAGGAAACATAACTGAAGAAACCCAACCCCAAAAGGAAACTTGACAAGCAGAAAGCATTATCAATCATCAATCAATTGGAGTCATTCATGCTGGTTACTCAGGCACACCACACCACCTTCCATGCTTCGACATTTCCACTTGGGATGTCACGATCGACCGAAAAAGGGAAAGAGGACTTTTCCCAAAAGAAACCAATACTATTTAGTTGATAGTTCGGTCACCAAAAAAACTTAAACCCGGGGTAACCATCCCCGTCCACCGTCCCCCGTCCCCATCCCCCTCCTTTTTGCAGATCTGGAAGAAAAAGCGGTAGTTAGACTAGTTCGTCGTTTCCTTTTTATCCTTTTCTTCATGAGTTTTCCTCATTCCGATCCTACATAGATTTTCCTACGTTTTCATCCTTCAGCATCCATTCCGCAGCTAGCTGTCGTCCCAATATCTCTCCGACGGTGTGTTGATGAAACGAACAAGTCTGTAATCCTCTCACCGGGTACGACTGCCCGGACGACTTGACGACGACGTGTGGGTCCAACCAACTCAACACTTTTTGCGTCATCTCATTCCATATATAATTCTTAGGAATACCGAAGTGCACTTGTATAACGAGGACCTTGGTCTTTGATATAAAACGCAAGAATCAACGGAAGCAGAACTTAACGAGAATCGCAACAACCAACCGGATCGGATCGATCGCCAGTTGGTTACAGATCTCAGTATCCGAAGGGCTTAGAGGAACTTACCGGCGACGAACGACGGGCCCAACCTTTGAAAACCCATCTCACCGGTTGACATCGAACAAACCGCAGAAGGGAAATAAAAAGCGACAGAAGGACGAACCATATTCTCTGACGACAGATTGCGCAACGCCAGCGCAAGGAGAACACGATGAACGAGCTAGAAGAGGTGGAAAACTACCATGCCACTCACCTCAACTCAGCTACAGCTCAGATCAACCAATCTTCAAATGACGTAGGCCTCGAAAATGGTCAGTTCAGCGGTAGCCATGGAACAAGCGGCTCAACCACGCCCCGGGCCTCTCACACGGCGTCGGCGGTGGCGACAGGCCATGATGAGAAGCACAAGGAGAAAGACCTCGATTCCTCATCAGCCTCATCCCAAACAGAGGACGACATCGGCTTCGCGCCCATATCAACCCGCCCCAATCGCAACCGCATCAACCTCGACCACTTAGCCGACAGAGTCACAAGTCTACACTCAGCCACATCTCGCGCTCGCGTTCCAACAACGGTTTCGGCGTAGACGACCTAGAAGACGAAGCCGAGAAGGAGGAAGAAGCAGACGAAGAAGCGGCAGCCCGCGAAGGCGCCGGCGAGACCGTCGACGAAGAGAAGCGCTTCGAAGTCGGCTGGGAAGGAGGCGACTCGGACCCTTTGAACCCGCGGAGCCTGGCGACCTGGCGGAAATGGATCATCATCGGGGTGTTGAGCGTCGGCTCCTTTGCCGTGACGCACGCCTCGGCCATCTACACGGCCACGTACACGCAGATGAATGCCGAGTTCCACTGCAGTCGCATAGTAGCAACGCTTGGCCTCTCGTTCTTTGTGCTGGGCATCGCGCTGGGTCCGTTCTGGTCACCGCTGGCCGAGTTTTATGGGAGGAGGCCCATCTACATTTGCTCATTTGCTGGGTTTTTGATCTGGTTGATCCCTAGTGCGGTGGCCAAGAACATTCAGACCATGGTTATTGCGAGGTTCTTCCAGGGTCTGGCGGGCAGCGCGTTTTTGAGTGTCTCCGGTGGCACGGTGGGCGATTTGTTCACTAGGGATAAGTTCCAGTTGCCCATGGCCATCTTTGCGTTGTCGCCGTTTATTGGACCGTCAACGGGACCGTTTGTGGGAGGACTGATCAATACCTTCACGAGCTGGAGATGGACGCATTACTTTTTGATCATTTGCGCTGGAGTGTTGCTGGTTTGCGTTGTAGTGCTGGTACCGGAAACTTATCGTAGGTCTTTCCTCATTTCCTTTATTTCAATCCGCGAAATTTCTGGAGCCCGGAAACCCAGTGTCAGAAAGCGCAATTCTGGTTCAGCGGTTGATGTGGAAAGAAAGCTTCGTAAGATGAAGGAAGAAAGAAGGGACAACCGCGGGCCCAAGAAAAGAGTATGAGCCAAGACAAGGAAACTGAAAGAAGGAAAAAGTAAACAAACCCCCTGACTTACATTCTTACTCACCACCTTTTTTTGTCAACACACAGACCCCGTTCTCCTTAAGCGCAAGGCCGCCAATCTCCGAAAGACCACCGGCGACAACCGCTGGCACGCCCCAATCGAGCGCACCACCAAGTCCGTCGTCTCCACCGTTGGCTACTCCCTCCTACGACCGTTTCAGCTTCTCCTGCTTGAGCCCATGTGTCTCATCCTGGACATCTACACGGCGGTACTCCTGGGCGTTTTGTATCTCTTCTTTGGCGCATTTCCCCTCGTTTTCCGCACCAACTATGGCTTCAATCTCTGGCAGGTCGGACTCACCTTCATGGGCCTCGGCGTGTCCATGGTCCTGGCCTGCTTCATCACTCCCGTCTGGACGCGCATTAGAAATGGCCTGGCCGAGAAGCGATTCAAGAAGACGGGCATCATGAAGGGCGAGCCCGAGGACCAGCTGCCGCCCGTCATTGTGGGCGCCCCGCTCATTACGGGTGGTCTGTTCATGTTCGGGTTTAGCACGTATCCGTGGGTGCATTGGATCGTGCCTGTCATTGGGTCGTCGATCTTTGGTCTGGGGTGAGTGCACTTGCCTTGTGTTTCCCTTTCTGCAGTGTGTTACTTGGTTTACCCCGTCCTCCATCTTCATTGCTCTTTCCCCTGAGTGAAATTCATGACCAGAATGGTTTTAGGTGCAGTGGGAAGGGAGTGGGCTTCATGTTGTCTGCCCGGAAGGCCGATATTCCGCCTGCTTGTGTGTTTGAGAGAGAGACAGTGGAGAGGGAGGAAGACAAAGAAGGGTGTGGGGGCGACACTGAGAAGCATGGCGCGTAGGATGGTGCGCAAGTGACACCCACCCTCAGCCTCCTTCCCCAGGTTCATTGACGAAGCCTGGTCATGGTCCGGGGTAGGAGTGGTTGAGGAGTACGTGGACGGCGTAGTACTCCTGCTACCAAGCCGATTGCCGCAGAAACCGATTGAGAACTTCTCGGACTCTGCGTTTTGTGTTGTGGCTTCCTCCCCCAATGTCTTTGTCTCTATCTCTCCGTCTTTCTCCGAGGCCCCAGAGCCTTAGCGATGGCTTGGTCACAATTGATGCTAAAAAGGGCAAATGGGGCTGGCTACCATCCTGCCCTCGTGTCTTCCAGGACCTGGTTTAAGGCTTGGGCTCTCTCTCTCTCTTTCTCTCTTCCCCATTTCCACTTGGCTCCTTTCTTTTTCCCTCCCGCCCCCGGTTGTTGTTTATCTCGCGTCTGCAAGGTTCCATGATGTCGCTAACCGGTCCTGACTTGTCTTGCATATAGCATGTCATTCGCCTTCACCGGCATCTTCACATTCTTGGTAAGTGCGGTTACTCTCTCTTTCCCAAACCCTAAAACAGACCCGAAGAAAAGAAACGCCTCTTATGTGTGGGAGCGGATATCAAAAATGGGGAAGAATGTCAGCATCATCCATCATGCCATGCCATGTCAAAAACATGATATTGTGATCATTGCTGAATGGGGTTGATATTTTGCCTCCCTTTTGACTTTCACCTCCCGTGACCCCGGACTTAACCTCTGCTTGGTCACTTGAATGGCCAAGGTGAGAGAGGGTTGTGTGGGTGTCCCTTGAGAGAAAGGAGAATAAAAGGAAGAGGTGGGGAGTACAAAAAGACAATTATCCTGCCGTGTACACACACCATACACGCAGAGATATGGAGTGTCATTGAAGGCATCGGATTGGACAGAAAGCGAAAGCAAAGATTGGGTAAAGTAACAGCGCTGACTAGAAGGCGTTTCGTATACAGGTTGACGCATACCCGCGATACGCAGCAAGTGCCTTAGCCGCAAATGCTCTTGTGCGATGCTCCTTTGCAGGTAAGTCTCAAGTCAACATAGACCCCGGTGTATGTGTCGTTTATGCAGCTTTGGGGTTGTCGGTGTGTGTCTTGGTGACACCGGTCCAGCAGCGCCCAGGACATGCATCTGCCGTTCTTCCTTTCAGCTGGATTTTCCGGGTTCATACCGCCATGACACCTTGTATCTTGTGGCTGGTTTCTCGACATGGGATTCTATGCTGACTTTTGGCACTTGAATACAGCTGCCTTCCCATTGTTTGGAATCCAAATGTACGAGAGGCTTGGCTTCCAGTGGGCCACGGCCCTCATCGCCTTCATTACCCTGGGGATGATGCCTTTCCCGTACATCTTTTTTGTGTTCGGCAAGAGGATACGGGCCAGAAGCAGATTTGCAGCCCGGTCGTAAGATGGGTGGGGAGAAAAACGCATAACGGGCTTAAAGAGTTGCGAGTGGCTGGATAAACTCTCACCGGACTGTTTCTTCTTTTTCTTCTTTCTTCAGAAACACCATTGACCGGCATATGGGGCCTTCCGTCCCTCCCGCACTAAGACAGGTTATAATTGCAACAATCAGGAGGAAATAAGCAAGGAGTGCCATGTGTCGCTGTCTGAGGCAGTAGATGGTTGGCATTTAGAGCACCACAACAAGGCAGCAAAGCAGATTACAAGCATAATCTGCATGCCGTCTGAGACATGGACATAGAATAGGAATGGTTACGAGAAGACAGGGAAATAGTGCCAAGCTATAATGGCAAAGACGATGGAAAAGCAAAAAGCGATAATGGATCGGCGCTGTTGCCTGAGAAAATCGCACGCTGCGTGTCATGGCCCATTCCGAGTGTCGTCGATGACTCGACTAAATCATGAAAAAATTGCAATGAGATAAGTTCGCCCTTGGCCAGAGCATGTTTCCATGTCCGATCCCACTAGCAAAACAGACCATCTTTCCACTTGGAAAAAGGAGGGCGGGATCATGATCCGATACCTGTGAATGCGTAATGATCATCTTCCTACCTTGTTTTTGCTGTAAGCATGGGGTATAATGTCCGAGTATGGCCGTCCATGACCTACTGAATACGTGGCTGTTTGGGTTAAGTATGGAGTGGGGGACCGAGAGGTGCTTGTGCAGTGGTATCATTGTAGCCACTCGGCATATTCTGACAACAGACTCGTCAGAGTATGACCAAGGTGTACGGCGGCTTCACCATGCCCCGGCTGAAGAGACCGGGACCGAGGCCGAAGATCTGTGGTTGCATTGATGCCCAACATCGGTCTGCGATGGACTGAAGGGGGTCATGTAGGTACCCCTTACGGCCCGCATGCCCACAGAGTCAGTTGAAGATACTGAAGTGCATGCCGTAGACGGCGTTTGCCGCGAGGGGGCTTGAAGCTATGTCGTGGGCGCTCTGTACGATCTGCAGGAGGATGCTTTGAGTAGTAGATATGCCGGGCGTTTCCATCGCTGATGCACCTTTCAACAACGTGACCATCCCCACTCAAGGCAATGGCGATGCCCCACCTCGAAAAAAAACCATAAGACTGGTTGACGAGGAGCTGGGTTGATCAGGATGTGACCTTTTGGCTTACGGTCCGGAAGGAAGTGCGGAGTGCCAGTATGATGCCCATAAGCAATGGTAACTTTCGAGGTCCTTCCCAATGGATCGACGTACTTGGTATAGCGACTCCCGTGCCCTAGGCTTGTGTCTCGGCAACACATATCCTTTTCTGTCCTGTCATTGGTCTTGTTCACCCTGTAGTGACGACGGCGGTGATGACCTGCCCAGGCGGCTGTCGTCACGCTTGAGTGTGGGAACTAGCAGTTGTGTAGTGAACTGGAGGTTGTCACTGGCTAGCCAATGCAAGTAAGAGTCCACCATGAGCAAAGCGAAGTGTAGATAGTGTTACATGGCGGTTTTAGTTCGTCTCATCAAGGGTTTCCATTGCATAACTTCTCAAGGGTGAGCGAGCATCGGTCAACCAGTCGTGGTGACTACAGCCCTGTCATCGCATTCTCATGTGGTGCGTGTACGGAAGACGACAGGATGCCTCCTAGACCAGGGGCAAGCGGTTGGTGTGTAGTAGGGGCAGGTAGAGACTTGGATGGTGTTGCTATAGCAGCATCAAGAGCAGAAGCAACACCAGGCGGGTTACCTAGGCATGTAGGAAGACGAAAGGGGGCACGGTGGACCTCAGTTCCAACCAACCTCCACACCGATCAGCGATTTTGGACCGCACAACAGGCGCCACGGCTAGGCTGATTGTGGATAAAAGTGAGGATATTGTCTCGGACACCGCAAAGTCCACCAGACAAGGACTAGTCTCGTTGAACGGGTTGACGCAATCCGCGCGAGCCGCTGGAACACTGCTGAATGGTGCGTCTCAGGTTCGACGGATTGCTAAGGTTGACCCATGGAGCTAGCTCCCAGTTCATGTTGAACAAGGCGAGATAAAGTCGGTGAGGTAAAGAAGGTCTGAGGCACCTGGAGGGAGTGATAAGACCATGTTGGAAGTAGCAGTTGTCCCGTATGATAACGGGAGATGCCGGGTTTGTAACAATGTATGTTTCGTAGCGCTCCGGATCTCAAGCCTGGTGTCTTGAAGCAGTGTACTGCAAGGTAGAATGTAGGGCAAGTGTAGAGAGGGATTGCTGTGTGCAGATATCTCGTATACAGGTACTGTGTGCAAGTGTCCGAGGCATGGAGGTGGTGGTCATGATGGTGGTGTTTTCCAATACAGAGTCGTGGTTTTCAGGTCGTAGAAACCGTATAGGCATGCGTGTGTGGCCTGGGTAGTTGCGTACTGTGTAGTATCGAGCAACAAATGTTGGCACAGAGTGTTGTACGTTCAGCCTCAATGGCATTGTCTAGACTGACGTGAGTGGGTGCCAAGGCCAGGAGAGGTGTATAATTGGGAGGGCGACTGTTGAAGGTTTCGTTGCTTGTTCCTGACGATGCATGGGCTCTGATGAATCCTGGAGCCGATCAAGGCGGATCATGCCAGCTGATCTCGGGGCGCCACATGGCCATGGACAATCGTGGTTCGTCAACCGCCGCCCTCTAGGGCCCTGACGGTTCCTGGCTCAACTGAAGCATCTGCCCACAAGACGGCCCATGTCTGCATCCCGTCCTTCCGTCCTGTCACTAGCAAGATGTGCGGCCAACCACCATCGAGGCCGTTGTTGATATCGCGGTATCGATAGCGTCAAGGAGAATAACAGATCTCGAACAACTTCAAGGGCAGTATCGAGCTGGAACGCAGGTTCAAGAGTGACCAAATTGGGCCAATGCTCCGTTTGCCGTTGCGCTGTGATCTTTTTTCATTTGATTCAGTTTATGTTCCTTGTAAGAAAATAAAAGGAAAGAAGAGAAGAGTTGGAGGCGGGAAGAACTTCAATCTCAAATGTCCGATAAGATAACGGAAACTTTTTGGCCAAGCGGAAGCGCTGGACAGGATGGGCCAGCAAGCAAGTGCCTGACAGACGGATGTCGGGATTCGGGACTCGGGAGACGGGAGGAGGTGACAAGGAAAAAAAAGAGATGGATTCCACTCTGCGGCCCGCGCGGTTCCTCTGGTGAGTGACATTGCAGACATTGGCACCGTCATCATCATGAATAAAAAAAATGAAATTGAAAAAAATGTTTGAACAGTGAGACCCATTGGCGACTGGAGTCTGGTCAAAATGGAAAGACACGGGTATCAACAGAAACCGAGAAAATGGCAAGTACACCACAGCAGTTCACGGTCCACGGATGCTGTCTGAGATTTGCACCTTCCACTGTTGTGAGAGATCTGGGTTGCCAAATCCGAAAAGTGACGGTGCCTGGAACAACAAGCAAGAGCTGCGGATCACTGATGGACGCCTGCACAATCATCTTCAGCCCAATGCAGGCAGGCAGCATGGGCCAGGGGGACAGTGGGACCAGGAGATTCTGTCACTGTGGAGTTTGGAGATGCCACAAGAAGAACCTTGACGACCAGACGACTTCGGTTGGGTTGTAAAAGCACAGACCATCCGTCCTAGGCTGAATTGGCTGACATCCACATGCAAATGGTGAAAGTGCGAATGACTCGGGTCGGGTATTGTTTTTGAGTACCGAGTACCCGGATGGGGGAGAGCAGAGTCTTGTCGGGCCAAGTACTGGCTACAAGCCCAGCCGTTTGGATGTACCGAGCCCACCGACACTTGCACGCGAGCAACTTCTCTTCAGTTTGACACTTTCTCTCCCGTTGCCCGCCGTTCCTGCTCGCCAATTCAACATTTGCAGTGTGAGTTGGGGAACTTCCAACTTCGAATCCTTCCCCTTGCTCCGTCCACACTCGTTGGCGGCACAAGAAAGGGCCTCGGTTTTGCTTCTTTGCCCAGCGAAAACCCCGCAGCAGCAACTGGGAGCAACAAGGGAAGCCAAAGAGAGAGGGCCTGACAGTTGACTGCGCCCCTCCTTCAAGGCTGGCCCGGCCCCCTTGTCCGTCGCAAGTCGCAAGTCGCAATCGCAATCGCAGTCATCGTCGTCCCGTCGTCCAACAACCTTGGGAGTGCTGCAAAACTCGGCGAACCTCATTGGATCTTCAACCGAATATCCTCGACCTCACTTCCCAGACAACCGCAACGCCACAACCACACCCCCCAGTGCCATGTCAAAACAGAGTCTCGGGAATGGCACCAGCACAATACCACCAGCACCGCTACTACTACTATTACCTCTAGCTCTAGTATCTTCGAGACAGACGCATATTACTTCTTCGACAACGACAACTGAGACTAGCCGCCATTTGTCCTGTCATTGGCGCCAGAAACATCAAGAAACATCAGAGACACCAGGGTCACCCCGCCACACCGAGCCATCCTCGACACCACACTCGTCGCCGGAGCCGTTGTTGTTTCCGTCACCATCTCTTTGCCCGCCGCTCCCGCCGTAAACAACACCACTTGTCGACCGTTCACAAGCAAGCCTACTTCTTTTTTTACCGCCCACCCATACCAAACCACCAATCCCTAGTCCAGCGCACACAGCTTCTCCCGCCTTTCCAAGCTACTCACTAGACTTCTAGTGCTGGAATCCAAGCCGTCAGCGGTCCGCTCACGGTCGGCCACGAGGTGGACACGGGAGTGCCACGCGCAATAGTTTGTTACCGGGAGGATATCGAGAAATTAGACGCGCCACATTACCATACCGGGGCCAGGTTGAATTTGGTTTACAAAGTGCGAATTCCACAGAGAAATCGACAAGAGACGGACAGCCAGGAGCTTCGGGGCCGACACCTTACATCTTGCCCTGGAAACTACCGACATAACACACATACCAAGTACCTACCTTACACCCACGTACAGCCGCTTATACGCCACCACGTTGGAGTCTGGAGGGCCCTGGAAGCAGTTCTAGGTCAGCCCCGATTCACGCCGAGACCCATCTTCCCTTGGTCTGGCTACCACTTACACGCATCTTCCCTCTCTCGAACCGTCATTGAGAGGGCTGCTGTTAGGCGGCGCCAAGTGCATACAAGCATAAAAGAACGGGTAGCTGCAGTGGGATACAGTCGACTGCCCTTGTCCTACCATCGCCATAGCAACTTCTGCTCCTCAACCTCCAAGGAGACCACAACCGCCCCGTCAGAAGGAAGGGTGCTTTATCCGCTGCCGCGTGACTGCCACCAGGAGGACGAGAGGGGACTAGTGTGGGGAGGAAGAAGGAGAGAGTCCTGCGAGACACTCCACCGTGTATAGTCGACGAGGTACTTGGCCAACTCGCCCAGCCCGTTGCACAGAGAAACGCCTCTGTAGAGCCGGCTCAGAGCCCATTGGCCGTTCTGCTCGAGCGGACAGCAAGTCCACTGAGAATACGAGACGACGTGCCGGTCATTGTGTATCAGGCCTCGTCAGCTGGAGGACGGCCATTTGTCGACGAGTCCATCGTCAACACGTCCCAGACTATAGTGCGGAAGCCCACAGTCCCGGCACAGTATCAAAGAGGCAAGAGCCTTGGATGCCATATCTGGTCTCTTACGCATTGTGCTTCACCATCCCCCGCCTTGCCGCCGTCCACCACTGCCGCTCACCACCATCTTCACTACTACCTTGCTTTAATTAGAGGCGCCATTGATTTCGCCACACGTACATCACCTCCCGCCAGATCATCAGCTCGTCAGGCGCTCCATCCTGGTAAACCAAGCGCCCCAGACTGCGCCAATCAACCTCCCAAGTGAAGGTGCCACCACCGTGGGATTGCTGCAGGAAGGCTTTTGCGTCTTTGAAGCTTGTCCCCACCCTCTGACCCCCATATCGGACCTGATACGTTTCTGCTAGCCTGGTCCCTACCTGCTTCAGAGCTTCCCCGTCCTTGCCTGCCAGATTGCTTGCCTATCTGCCTGCCCTGTCTCGTCTCGCAACCTAGTTGGCTGGCTTGGGGGTCTCCTATCACATTCTGCATTCCCCTGCCACCACTCTCTGTCCTGGCTCCAAGACCCTGTCTGTATATATAGAGCTAAGGCACGATGCCGGACGACGTTGGACCCGCCGAGGCAGAGGTCTCGGGTGCTGTGTCTGAGAGCGACAACGAGTACGACGAAACCGAGGCTACTACCAAGGACGACGACGAAAAGATGGCCGAACGATCCGCTGCTTCCGAAGGTGTCGAGACCAACGGTGACCAGAAGAAGAAGTACGACCCCAAGGATCCCCTGCGTCCTAGGAGGAAAAAAGCCCGGAGAGCCTGTTATGCGTGTCAGAGAGCCCATTTGACCTGCGGTAAGTTTGATCTTGATCGCTATATTCCTCTGTCTCCCCAAATCAACTTTTGTTACCCTTGAACGAGCACCCAAAGGAACGACTGCGATCACGTCCATAACATGTCCCCCTTCACTATTACAACAGGAACTGAATTTGCATGCTGATGCTGATTCTTCTCCAGGTGATGAACGACCATGCCAGCGATGCATCAAACGTGGATTGGCCGAAGCTTGTCAGGACGGTGTCCGGAAAAAGGCAAAGTATCTTCATGATGCTCCCCCTGAAGCCTTACGTCCCGTATTAGGACCCAACTACAATCCTGCTGCCGCTGTGTCCGTCCGGAATGGCCATCGGCATCCGTCAAATGCTGGGTCGGATGCTGGATCTTCTGTCGGTACCTTCTTCTCGCAGTCGACCCAGTATCCGGTCTTCTCGTCGGCAGCAACACAACTAGGGTCCATACCGGAGAACTTGCCCTTTCCCAGCAATCTCCTGTATCGCCAACCTTCCAGGCCTCTGGCAACCCACAGCTCGGTTCCATTGGGGTCAACTCGGTCTCAAGCCCTATGAACAGCTTCCCTCCAGCGCTCTTTGACCCAAGCAATCCTGCCATTTTCAACTTCAATTTGGAGGGGCTCAACTTCGGGAGCCAGTATGGCGCCATGGAGTTTGGTATGCTGGGCCACATGTCCTCAGGCGCTGCTGAGACTCCCCCGCGGGATCCGTCCATATCGCAACAGGGCACTGCTGGTGATGTCGGATTCAATCCGTCTGGAGTCTTTGGAAACGGTCTGAACCAGTTCGACAAGGTTTATGACAATAACACTGGGTTGATGAGCGACTTCCTGACTCTGGATGCCCATTCCAGTGGCCTATACTCCCAAGGAAACCTGCAACATGGTCTACCGCATGCCTATGCTATCCCGGCTGGTCCCACGAGTCTGCAAAGCCCTAGTACTGAGAACAACAGTCCACAACCGACTGGGTTTGGTTTCGAGTCTCCCACTACCACCAACTACACCGGAGTTCCTGGTGCTGGAGGGAACCAACCGGGCTCCCAGCAGTCACGGACGCAGAAACCAAAGACGCCGGCCTTGGGGAAACTCGGGCCGCAGTCAGTTCTGGGTAAGAGGCAGCGAGATCCATCATCTATCTACGAGGCAGTCAAGGAGCCATTCCAATATGTGGCAAGTTTCCACAAGCTCATCAGTCTACTTCAGAACCGATTTTCGGGCGCGAGCACGATCAGCATCGTAAGGTCCCTAGCCAGCATTCGCCCGTCGTTCATGTCATGTATGAAAACACTCAACAGGGCCGACCTTATCTTCATGGAGAAAAGCTTCCAGCGTGCCCTTTTCGAGCATGAAGAGTTCATGCACCAATCGCCCAGCCCGGCCATCGCTTGCCGTCGAACCGGCGAAATAGCGGGTGTCAACAAAGAGTTCACCGCGCTAACAGGGTGGACAAAGGACGTGCTGCTTGGGAAGACTCTGAATCTCAACGCGAATATGGGTGGCACTAACTCTGATACCCTATCCGTTAGCAGCAAAGGAGGCAGAGGAGGCATTGTGGGGACAACACCCAGGCTAAAACCTTTGAATCCAGAACAGGGTCCTAACGCCGACGGTCAGCAACAGCAATCACAGCAACAGAAAGAACAGCCACAGCCCGTGTTCCTTGCGGAACTCATGGATGAAGCGAGTGTAACGCAGTTTTACGAAGATTACGCCCAACTAGCGTTCACACACAGTCGAGGTACTGTGGTGAGAAAATGCCGCCTTCTCAAGTACCGCACGCAAGAGAATATGGACGCTGCCGCCGCCGCTGCTAGTTCTGTCCCCACAACTGCGGGAGGTAGCGGTAGCAGTAACGGCACCGTCGTCAACGGAGGGCCAGATAGTAGCCCAGCCGGAAAGACCGAAAGAGAACGTTCAACCGGCGCGAATGTTGCTAGCAATAGTATTCTGAGCAATAGGGTCGCCAAGATCGACGGAGAACACGGCATCTCAAAACTGGAACGAGATGGTAAGCTGGAGTGCAGCTACACCTGGACCATCAAGCGGGATGTGTTTGATATCCCCATGATTATAATGATCAATGTAAGTTCCATATGCACAGGACGTTCCCTGCCTATTTTTCCTTTTTTTGTTGCCCCACTCCCCCAGTTCTTTCCATCTTCGCCTCCAATCGGGCCGGCACCTGCCTTCCTCTGCTCACCTTGCTTCCCCGTTGACTCCTTCCCCTACATTCACTTATACTCATGTTGCTCCTTCCCTCCCCATCACCCAAACTCCTGCGCTCCTTCCCCCCGTATTCTTCACATCCTTCGTCCATTTCTTTTCTTGAAACCCACTATTAAGCTTCAAACGTTCTTTCCCTCGAGATCTGTTACACGAAACTAACAAGTTCATGTAGTTTCTCCCATGTTACTACCGCAGTCATAACCAACTGGCTGTGTGATCGAAAACAGAATAATCTGCTCAGATAAAGCAAATCATTTCCTAAAGGAAGAGCGTGGTATATAATTTGTGGTCATATGTATATGGCAATAGGGGTGTTCCGAACAGAGATCGTTATGTTCTATTCCTTTTTTTCCCCGTTCGTTGGACAGGCTTCTGTGGGGGGCTGTGGGACGTTTCTTGGATATGTGAGACAGACAAAGACAAGAATGGGTGCAAGCGGAGAAGAGAGAAAGCGCATGCCGGACAATTTTCAATTAGTAGGGGACAAAGGTGCATAAAAGTTCTTGGTTTTTTATTCATCATTGGGTATTCTCCAGGACAGCGGAATTGGGAAAGCCGACATGGGTTTGGTTACCATCACATGAGGCCGGCGTTGTTTTTTTCTTTCACTATCTTATTCTTATTGTTGTTGGGACCTTGTCTGCTTCATTTCCGTTTCCTCTTGAATATCGCGGGTCTTTTCAGGGAGCCCTTCCTTTATTGCGCTGCTACAGGTTATAGGGCGGTATACCAAGCAATTGTCAAAGCGACTTCATTGTGGGCGTCCGCCGTCGTCGTCGACGAGCAGACAGATGTTACATGCCCAGCTGTTAACCCAAGGGGTTCAATTAAAAAAATACCACCATGCCACTTGACACTCACCAGTACCTACAACATCATGCACTTGGCAAAAAAAAGAAACATAAGAAAGGTCTCCCCCTATCGACTTAGGATCATCAATCAGCTCAAAAACTTACAAATCATGAAGTGCCGATACCGGTTCGTCAAAAAGGAGAAGGAAATGACAAAAATCGGATTTGAGGGAAAAAACATACAACACCTGGGATTCGCTGGTCGTCACCGACCCAACTACTAGTTAGGCGATTGGTAACTTATCTATGGGAGAGCGGACGGGATCCCGAGTTTTCTACCATCTGTGATCGTATGTGCTTACTTTGTAGGTAGATTGTATTTATCAAGACCCAAACGCGGTGTAGTGTAAGTGAATAGTGGCGGGTGGGTACATAGTTGAAGCATCACGCTGTCAACACACGTTTGTAGTAATCACTACCACCCCTGGTATTACCACCACTCCCAGGGCCGAAAAAGAAGACTCAATCAACGTCCACCTTAACCATACTCAACCGTGAAGGAAACACACAACATGGTGAATCCTGCTGTGCAACGCAGATACCCTCCACGCCCTACACGTCGTTCCAAAGACTCCGCTCCAAAAGATCTTCAAGATTGCAGAGATGAACGCCCTGAAATGAACTCCACCCAGATGGCTTCGCGGACTGAACACCCAGGACCGGTCGTGGCCCCGCAGAGAAAGGACGTACCCTATCCATGCCTACCGTCACGCGATTGAAGTCGATCGGGTTTTCTGCCTTGATGCCTGATCCTGGCACTAGGTCTACTTGTGCACCCTTAGGTATCCTTCCTGGCCACCACCCATGAACCGAAAGCGCCGGACTGAATTCGACCACATACTGGTCGCCTTGGACGTCAACAATTCGAGCAGGAAGGTAGAGCTCCGAGTTCTCGGTAACATGGTAGTGGTATCGGAAATCCGGGTACATGACGGGTGCCTCGATAGAGTCGCCGATGTGGAAGCAACGATAAGGTCGAACGTCGTACCGTTGGATGTTTCTCCGCCATGGTCGCCATAGCCGCCGCGCGCCCTTTTCGAGTTCCACCAACTGCTCCTCGGGAAAGAAAAGGCTGTCGCTATGATCCTCGTCGTCTTCACTATCGTCCTGGGCTTCTGTATTATCGACTGGAACTTGCTCCGGTGCACTGTCCCAATCGACATACTCTATCTCATCGCCGTCCACTAGCGTGACTCGCGAATCGTGCCAAAGTCCGTCGTGCTCGATCTAGCCAGATCACATATCGTATCTTAGCAAATGTATAATACGGTGTCCTCACAGAAATAATACGTACCTGAACCTTTTCGCCAACTTTCGGTGGCTGGGTGAATACCTTGGATGGCCCTAAAAGCGTACACTCAAATTCCGGTATGGTAGAACTTGAGGGACCGTCGTCGTCGCGTAGCATCTTTTTGAAGGAATTCTTGAGCGGCCTCGTGGAAAAGACAATAGCAGTCGGACCCCCACACCCGCTGTAATGACGTACCGGCCCCCGTAACATGCCTTGAACTCGGTGATGTGAAGGTCACCGCTCCAGGCATGATCACCCGATTCCAGCTCATACCGGATAGACAATTCAGCGCCGAGAGAAATGCCTCCGACTGGACGAACTCGCTTCGAGAGACTCTTACGCTCGATTTGACCGGTCTGAAGGTAGCGTACGTAGACGTGAACGTCTTGGGAAGTATCGTTGAAGTAACCGAAGAGGGCGTCGCCGCTTGAATCCCTGACCTCTTGCTCGGTAACGATTCCAAGTTCATCAGGTGTTGGAACGGCCACAATCTGAGCAGAGATCCAGCCGACGTGATCAGAAGGGCACTCGATTGCCGCCGGCAAAGGCAGATCCCCGGATTCCCTTTCACATTCGACAAGTGTACCGTAGCCTGCGTTTTCGAGGGCCAACCTTCTCAGCGTGTCAGACAAGGAGGAGTCGTGAAGAAGATTGAAATAGTCATGAGGCTTGACGTAACCCTTGTGTAGTGGATCGAGAGCAGACCGAAGAGCCGGGAGCCAGAGAGGCCGGATTGTGGAAAGACGACGCGTGCCCCTTTTATCAAGCCAATAGCGAGATCCTTGCCGGCGAACAAAGTCGATGTTTCCAGGTTCAAAAACTCCAGTCGGTATCTTGTTGAGAACAAAAGACGTTTCTACCTCATGTACGAAGCGTGCCCAAGAAACGTATAACGTCTGTTAAGAGAGCAAAGTGTCAGTACGATGCGGCGATATTAAGAAAAAATGAAGTAAAAAAGGAGAAAAATAAAAGAGAAGGGAGGGGCGAGCGCCCTACCTCATAGCGAAGATCCGAGGCGTTGAGTTCATCTTTTTGAAATCGATCTTTCCAAAATGATGCTGCTTCTGGGTTCTGTGCTTGATAATCTTGAACAGCTGACGTGTCGGGAAACAGAGTAGCCTCCTGGAGTTGTTGCCGAAGTCTTTCACATTCCTTCATGAGACTTCCCACGATCCGGTCGATGTCAGCAAAATCCGTGCTGAAATCCAGGTTGAGTAAGTTTTCATGGATAGTCGGTTTTCGTACGACGGCGGATTCAACGGTTTCCTTCCCAATCGCCCGTCCCTGTTGCACCTTGATGTCCTGGAGAAATACAAGAGACACTGCGCTGTATGCCCGTTGAAGTTGTTCGGCCTTGCGCTGAATATCCGCGAGAAGGTCAGGAATCCTATTGAAAGCCCATATCCGCTTCATAAATCTCTTGCTACGCGACTCTGTCTTAGTCGCAATTTTCGCTCCAGCAATGTCAATGTCCAAGGCCTTTGCGCATTCTGCGCACGACTGTCCGATGCTTTGCAGGACATCCAGTATTATCGTGAACTCCTTCACATTGCTCTTGAAGATGTCCTCATGCACGGGGTCCTCAAACACCTTCGACAAAATTATAAGATTGGTGGTCAGCAGTTGAAGCTCTTCGGCAGCTTGGTTGAGCGAGTCCAATCGGGACTTGATTTCCAATCCCAAGTTAATGAGGAGGTGCACGGTGGAAACGATATCCATGGCCGACATGGTGATGATGTGCCGAAGGCAGCTATTTTTGGTGGTTCCGCGCCGGGGAGCACCTTGTTCTGAGGGCGGGGCGGACTGATTGATTCGTGAAGCCAAAGGGTGCGGTGAATGAACGAATTGAATGATGAATTTTTCGACCAAGTTCTACCAATACTAGATAATGAGTCGTGCCCGCGACGGCGGCTGGGCATAGGTACATAAGTGCGGGGGAAAAGCATCGGTCAGCCAAGTCGGACCGTGGCGTGGCTTTGCGTTAAAAACCCTAATTTCTGGCGGTTTCGAAAAACTATTTGGAAAACCCTTTTCCTAAGCTATCTCCGACATTGCGAGGTTTTGAAAAGTGTATATTATCCGAGGAGAACGCCGTCCTTTCTTCTCAAGATGCTTTTGAAGAGCTCGGTTTCAAAAGCTATGGCTGGGGGCGAGACGGCGGTGAACTCTCCAAAGGCCGCCGTCGTGGTCGTGGTTGTAGTTTCGAATGTATCTTCCCGAGTTCGAAATGATAGAAAAGTGGTAGGTTAGGCCACCGATATATATTACACCAAAAATAGGGTAATCCTAGCACGGCCACTAACAACCGACTAACAGTGGGTGCCAAGAAAAAAATTTCGGGGGAGTTGAGAGGGAACGGTGGTGGGGCACCAAGACGAAAGATTCTGACCCCTGCCATCTGGCGAACCTGGACTCTTCTCCATCGGCCCGGTTGATTATTCCGGTCGCGAGCGGGGTCAACGCTTCCTTGCTCCTGGGAATGGCCTGTCTCTCGTCATCTGATATTGGCTACGAATTGACAGTTCTCTTCCCCATGCTTCTTCATGCCCACTCTCTTTCTACCCAATACCATGGAGAGCTGGCTTAAAGAATCCGGAGCGGTAGGCTTGGACGGCCTGGAACTTGCCGACTTCCCGGACACCGGGCGCGGTGTCAAAACATTGCGGCCTTTCAAGGAAGGAGAAAAGATTCTCACCATTCCATCTAGCATTCTCTGGACGGTCGAACATGCATACGCTGATCCCCTTCTTGGACCAGCCCTGTGCTCTGTGCAGCCGCCCCTGTCTCCCGAAGACACTTTGACTACGTACCTTCTCTTTGTCCGATCTCGCGAGTCGGGATACGATGGCCAACGAAGCCATGTAGCGGCGTTACCTACGAGCTACTCTTCGAGCATCTTCTTTACGGAGGAGGAGTTGGAAGTTTGCGCTGGCACTTCACTGTACACCATCACGAAGCAGCTGGAGCAATCGATTGAGGATGATCATAGGGCGTTAGTCATGCAACTGTTTATACAGCATCGGGATCTTTTTCCACTCGACAAATTCAGCATCGAAGATGTAGGTGCTATACACGTGTGATAGATGTTACAAAATCACCCGCTTACTCTTCTTGCCTTCGTTTTTAGTACAAGTGGGCTCTCTGTACCGTGTGGAGTCGTAGGATGGATTTCCAACTGCGCGATGGGAAGTCGATGCGACTTTTGGCGCCCTTCGCGGATATGTTGAACCACTCGTCCGAGGCGAAGCCGTGTCATGTCTACGATGTCTCATCTGGAAATCTCTCTGTCCTTGCGGGCAAAGATTACGAACCTGGAGATCAGGTATGTTCATTTTGCTCTGATGGTAGTTACATCAGTTTGCTTACGTCGTGACAATTGTTTCAGGTTTTTATCAACTATGGATCAGTTCCGAATAGTCGCCTTTTACGTCTCTATGGCTTTGTTATTCCCGGTAATCCTAACGACACCTATGATCTCGTTCTTTCAACGCACCCTCAAGCGCCATTCTACGAGCAAAAGCATAAGCTCTGGGTGTCTGCTGGGCTCGATTCGACCTCTACCATCCCCCTCACTCTCACCGATCCGCTGCCGAAAAACGTCCTTCGATACCTCCGTATTCAGCGAGCGGACGCATCGGATCTCGCTGCCATGGCGCTTCAGAATGCTAAAGCAGATGAGAAAGTCAGCGATTCGAACGAAGTGGAAATCCTACAGTTTTTGGTAGAATCTTTTGGTCATCTTCTAGGTGGTTTTGGAACGCCGCTGGAAAAGCTAGAAGAACAACTCGCGCAGGGTGTCTATTCTCCGGGAGGGAACGCATGGGCTGCGGCGCACGTTAGCTTGGGCGAACAGCGGGTGTTGAGATTGGCGAAAAAGAGAGCGGAGGATTTGCTATCGGCAGTGGAGAGCGGAAGTTCGCAGTCGCCACTGGCGCGATGCGCGAATTGCGGAAAGGCTTCTACGCAGTTGTCGTTGTGCGGGAGGTGCAAATCCGTTGCGTATTGCGGGCGGCCGTGCCAGGTCGCTCATTACAAAGGGCACAAGGCAACGTGTCGAGCTCCCGCTTCGTAGAGTGGCTCTGGGATGAAATGAAAGTAATATCGACCGATTCATTACCATGGTTGTCACAGGATTAGTCGTATGCTCGTGCATGCTGCAGCCTGATTGGCCGAGTCCCAGCCTCACGCGACTGGGACCCTACTTAAGACCAGTCCTCTGCACACAGCTGCGACTGTTCCCTTTTCTCCTTCGTGCAATTACGTATATCCACATCACACCCTGCCCCTTGCCCGTGATAGGTTCTTGGTTGTCTCGAGACGTTGGTCTATCACTATAACCCATATCCTATCCCTCTCCCCACTTCATTCTCTTCACAAATTCTGCAACCTCAGCCTTCATCCGAGCACCGGAGCCCGACGCTGCCACGACCAACGTACGACCCAAGCCAAACATATCGAGAACCTTGGCGCCCGCGAAAAAAAACGAGCAAAGACCTTAACGCGCTTGATATTCAGCAACACACAGTCTTCTGATCGGGTGGAGCGACTACCCAAGATGTCCACCCCACTCTCCACTTTGAAGAGGCCCGACGCCGGCGCGCCGCGGCCCGTCCCGCACCATGTTAGCGAGCGAGGCCCGGAATGACATTGAACGTGATCAACGGTTACTGAAGGCATCCATATACCCCTTACAAGTATTGAAGAGTGTCCACGTCGCATCTAGCATCCATTCCCATTATATCACCGATATCTGGTATCAGGTCTTTGACCAACCGACTGCGGACAAAAGACGATGGGAAGGGTTGTTAAAGAAAGTTCGAACAAAGGGAAAAGAAGTGACTCCAGGACAAATGAGCATTCATCATGATTCGCAAAACTAAAAGGAGTGATAAAGAAAACGATACTGATAACGATATTTACGCATAGAGGTAAGAGGTACCTCTAAGGGGAGACAAGCGATAAGATAAACAGATAAGATAAGCGAGCACCAAAACACTGAAAATGATATCGCTAAAAAGAATGTGGAAGAAAAAACATACAACACCTGGGATTCGCTGGTCGTCACCGACCCAACTACTAGTCAGGCGATTGGTAGCTTATCTATGGGAGAGCGGACGGGATCCCGAGTTTTCTACCATCTGTGGTCGTATGTGATTGTCTTGAGCGAATGTAATGTTTATATACCCAAACAAAACCCGAGGACATTAGTGTCTTCGCTGTGCCCGGTTTGAGGATGGGCTACTTCTTCCGCCGCTGGATCGGGTTTTAACTTTGGAGACTTGGAGTTTGCCATTTTGCAGCGCGTCGTCGAAGTCGAGGACGGACCACCGGATTGGTATTATGAAGCAGCAATATCGTTTCTTGTTTGATCTGAAAAAACAAATACAAAAGAAGACTGTGCATATATCCCGTCATCGGAAATTCGTCGTGACAACCTCCCGAGTTCCTTGGAGAATTTTGGAGGGGAAGAGGAAACGATCATGATTATATAGTTATTACAATTTTGGTAGATCGCAGAAGAAGACAATCAATGTCATGGGGCTGATGTCCGTGGTAGTGGTTATTTGCGTCTGGAGTTGGATTAATAAACCATCATGTTTGTTTAGTATAAGCCAATGAAAATTCTACGTGTTCTAGCCTGTCTACATAAGTCGTTGTATATGAGTCCCGTGTCGTTTATCCTGTCGTGTATCCATCCGATCCTGTATTTATCATCAAATCATTGCATCTCATATCTTTCGGCTCTTCTTTGTAAGGACTTGCATTTCTTTCCTTCTGACATCAGTTCCGAGGTCCTTCCAAAGATCCTTCGAGATTCCTTCACAAATCCGTTTTTCAGAGATCCTCCGGAACCTCCTCCCCACCCACCGCCGCCACCTTCTTCAGCTTCTCCTCCTCCCGATCATACACCTTCCGGCCCCCAACCCAAGTCTCCCTCACTTGGATCTTCCTCAGTCCCTCCCAGTTATCACCCTCGCTAGCAGCCAACACCTCCAACGGCTCATCGAGCACCACCCAATCCGCAAACGCGCCCTCCCTGATAACTCCCGTTTTTCCCTCGGTAAACATACCACCGGCAACGCCCTTGGTGAACCCGCTCAGCGCTTCGTCGAGGCTCAACGCCTCCTTCGTGTACCAACCCTCATCTCCGCCGTTGGCGTTCTTGCCCGTGTGTGGGTTCTTGCGAGTAACGGCCGCGTACATGCCCTCGAACGGGTTAGGCGGCTCGACGGGGAAATCGGATCCCAGAACGGGCTGGACGTTGAGGTCGTGGATGAGGGAACGCATGCGGTAGGCTTCGGTGGCGGTGCGGTTGAGTCCGAGGCGCGACTCGGCGTAGGCCATGTCCGAGGTGGCGTGCGTGGGCTGGATGGAGGGGATGATGCCCAGGTCGCGGATGCGGGCCTGGTCGTCTGGGTGGATGATTTGGCTGTGTTCGATGCGGAAGCGGTGCGAGGCGTTCTGGCAGTCTCTGAGCGACGTGCCCTCGGGGCAAGCGTCTCTGAGAGCGGCCTCGAGCGCGTCAATGGCGTAGCGGTTGGCTAGGTCGCCGATGGCGTGGATGTTGACTTGGTACCCAGCGTTGGACCAGGAGCGGGCGAGAGATTCCAAGGTGGAGCCGTTGACGAGGAGGGAGCCGCGCGTGGAGGGTTTGTCGGAATAGGGGTCAATCATGGCGCTGCCCCAGGATCCCAGGGCGCCGTCGGCGAAGAGCTTGACGCTGCGGATGGTGAGCATGCCGTCTTCGTGGATGGTCTTGACAGCATTGGCCTCGAACGGGCAGAAGGCGTTGCGCTCGCCGCACTCGATCATGGCGTAGACGCGGAGGGTCCACCAGTCTTCGTTTTTGCTGGCTTCCTCGAACACCTTCAGGTCCGTCGGCGTCACGCCGGCATCGTTCATGCCGACTAGACCAACCTTGTGCAGTTCCTTCATGGCCGACTTGAGGAAGGTCTTCTTGCGCTCGGCGTCGGGCTTGGGCCACAGCGAGGTGATGATGTCCATAGCGTTGTCGCAGAAGACGCCCATGCCCGGTTCCCGGATGATCTCGCCGCCGGGGACGTCCTCCGGCAGAGACTCGGGAGGGATCATGTCTAGGATGGCTTGCGAGACCCAAGTGCAGTGCACGTCGACTCGGTCAAGCATGATGTATTTACCCTTCAAAGCTGGGTCAGACTCGAGCATGGCCTAGTCATCTGTTAGCGATCCTCTTTCCCCTTCTTCTTTCCCAGAATCCATAACAAGATACTCACAGCACTAGGCATCTCTCCCAAAACCATCTGATCCCACCCAACACCTCTGGCCCAGTTCTCCTTACTCCCCACGTCACTACCCTCACCCTCCTTCTCCGCATCCTTCAAATACCCCCTCACCCTTTCTAACCTCCTCCGCACTCTTCGCCCCAAACAGATCCACCGAATGCAAAAACTCTCCATACTGAATCAGATGTCCATGACCATCCCAGATGCCCGGGATCACGTATCCCTCCTTCGTCTCCACCGCCAAATTGCTTCCCCCATCGTCGTTGTAGTCGTTATCGCCCACAATCAAGACGTCCTCGGCCGAGTGGAACACCTTGGTGAACTTGCCGTCGGGGGAAATGGAGAAGCAGTCGGCTTGCTTGTGACTGCCGGCTTCGGTGAGGACGGAGGTGTAGCAGTAGGTTTTTGCTGTAATGCTGGAGTCGGCGGAAGAGGAGGAGGGGGCGCCACTGGGAGTGAAAAGGGAGAAGGAGGAGGCGGGGTGGTTGAGGTGGATGAGGAAGGCGACGGCGAGAGCGCCGAGGGAGACGCGGGGGGCCCAGTACAAGAATCCTGGGGGGTTAGAGTTTGGTGTTGGTGTTGTCGCCATTTTGTTTTGCCTATCTTACTATGTCTTCCGAGGTTGGGAGTGTGAGTTGTATGAGGTTGGTTTTGGCGATATTTTCTTGTGGGGATGTGTGTGTGTGTTTCTTGTGGTGACGTTAAGATGCAGGTTACTGATCTCGGGTCTTGCCTTGCAGCTTTGGTGATTGTGGCCACCTCTGTTGCTGTCGGTTGCGGCGAGAGTTTGCAACAAACTGAGATATAGAGATGGTGAATACAAGACGAAAGATAAGAAAAAAAATACCCCTCACATGAGAGTCGGAAGTTTGAAACAAACAAAATATGCCGTTAGATTTGTCAATAGTTCTTCGGACTAAAATAGTGAAGGAGTCAACATTTGCCCCGATGTCACTATCATGCACCTAGCTTTCCCGGCTATCTGGTGTGCGATAATGCAAGAACCCCCACACCGGCGGCGAACATTAACCGGCCTGCCGGAGCGGCAACGTCTTCCGAAGGGCCCGGACCGGGCTTTCGATTCGTTTGAGTCAACATCCAAGTGAAACGTCGAGAGCGGATAATCGTTGACAGAATCAAGGTCTTGTCGCAACTTCTCCAGGCCGAGGTGATCTGCGCCTTGCCGAGCACCGATATCCCTACAGAATATGACGTACATCGGATGGATCCAATACGGGGGCATCGGTATCGTGTCTCTAGATTTATATCATATCTCCTAGTCCTGGTTCCTGAATCGCAAACACAGACCACACGCTCCTCCTAGTTTCTCCCGGATGATAGTTGTACAAATGGACCTGGGCATTGCCTAATCCCATAACACCCAACGAACGTCAACGTATACAAGTAGCAGGATGCTAAAAGCTCACTACTTGAAGGGTCAAAAAAACAACATACAATCCATCTATATACAGCTCTTGTGCACCGGGGAGGGGTGAGGTAACAATGGTAGTCTTCTGCGCCAATTGAGCTGCGCACCAGAGTAGAAAGAACCCAAAAAGGATTGAATAATAAACTGATAAGAAAAGAGAAAAGAAATGTGATGCATTCATAATTCGACGCATGCCACCCAATACTCGTTCAGCAGTACCGTTCTTGCCTTCATGCAGCCATCGCAGCCATGCCACCATATCACATTCACCGTATTCATCCCTGCCCATAACCTGTCATCCTCTTTTTTTCGTTTACTCTTGTCCGAAACCCATAGTCTCCTCCACAGCAATCGTAAGCTTTTGCTGCAGCATCTCCAGAGACTTGTATGGCGGCAGATCCAAGCGGTTGAAGCTGTACAAAGAGTGTTAGCTAAGGACCATTCTAGTGTCTTCATTCTGGGGAACACGTACCATGTATGTGCCTTGGGAAGGTTGTTGATTTCTCCCGCCTTCTCGATCGTGAACCTGCGAGGACCATCACTACCCTGGAGATCCTTGAAACCGTTGACCGGGATACGGGATGTACCGGTCGTGAACTGGAGCAATCTCGACTTCTGCTCGCCATCCCACGACCGAACAGTCTGCCAGAAGAACTGGATAACCTCGTCCGACTCCGTGTAACCACGGTAATCCGTGTGCTTCTTCCAATCATCGACATCAATCTCGGCAATACCACCAATCAACAACTCAAGCTCGCGTTCGTCGAACACGTTGATCAGGTCCTGAGGGATGAGCTCGTGGAAGCCCTCCTTGAACGCCTGGAACTGTTGCTCAATACGCTTTTCGATCCTCCACTTGACCATCAAATCGACATATTCCTTCTTGTTCTCGTTCGTAACCGCAATGTTCCTACCATTGGGGATAAGATCCTCCTCGGTGATCACGCCGAATCGCTCGTCTTCAGTAGAGAAGGTCGCGTCAAGGACATCCGTAATGTCGTTGTCCAGCATCCACTGCAGAGACCGATGGAAATCGGCATCCACACCTTCCATATCCGCCAAGCTGACAGCCTTTCCGAGAACCATCTTGTACAGAGCGCCAATGAAGAAGGCATCCAGGAATCGCCTGTGGAAGATAGCCAGACCGACAACCCGACCAATGAACTTGAAGTAGTTGAGATGCTCAGGGTTGATGCCGGAGTGGGGGTTGATCTGAAGCGTGTAGTTGTCGTGCGCCGAGTACTCGAACAAGCAGTAGAAGGGGTTGAACATCTCGTGAGAGAGGAGGAAGAAGAACTCGCGCGAGAGACCGCCGTAATCGAGACCATCCTCGCCGTCGAACTTGATCATCAACCGTTTCTTCAGATCGGTAGCCGATTGCCTCGAAATTTCCGCGAACGAATCCTCGAAAATGTGCGATCTCCTGACCTTGATGTGACATTGCCCAGACATGATCCGCATAGCAGGCTGAGAGCGGAAGTAGATGAGCTTCCTCCTGAAGTCTCTCTTGTATTGCGGGACGTTCTGGTCCAGCGATGAAGGCAGACGAGGATCATCCCAGGTCGTTGTCTTGGTATTGTGATCCACAAAGTAAACGCGAGCCGTGTTAGTGAGCCGCATCTCCCATCCACTAGGCAGGGGACCGAGCTGGGAAACGGGCTGTTGTTGGATGGTGCCGTTCGTGTTGTTCTGTCCACCGTACATGCGGATATATTGCTGGCGCCGAGGGTCGACCCAGGTCGTAGTGCGCGTGTTGTGGTCGACGAAGTACGCCCTCCCTTCAGGGGTAAACCGCTGCTCCCAACCAGCAGGTAACTCGCCGGTTCCGGGGGTTGTCGCCCCGGTATGCATCATAGTGGCAGCATTAGCGGCGGCCGAGGCTTGCTGCTGCTGTAGGGTGGGGGAATTAGCGCCAGTGCGGTCCTCGGGAAGTGTTCTGTTCTGGTGGCGTTGACGTTCGACTTGAGTATTGGCTTCGGCGGTACGATTTTCTGCCGCCCCTGTGCCAGTTGGCCGATTCCAGCTCGTGGTTCGTGAATTATGATCAACATAATATGTCCTCCCCAAATGATCCTCGCGGCGTTCCCAACCGGCTGGCAATCTTCCCATTGAATCTTCGAAAGGGCTGAGAGTATTATGATGCCGGGCTTGCGACGCAACAATGGTCGATGGGTTCGTTGGGGCTGTTCCATTTGTACCAGGAGTTGGGGCTGTCGACGACGACGAAACTGCCATGCTGGCGGGCCGGCTTGCCAGATTCAGTTGGTTGTTGGCGGTTCCATTAGGTCCGGACATGGCTGATGAAGGACGTTCGTTCGCTCTATCGTTAGAAATCACAGAACTTTGAGGTGTAAGTAGTGACGGCCTGCTCGAAGATGGAGGAGGGGGACCAAGACGACTCATAGTCGCTGTAAGGTTAGTGGATAGGTTAATGATAAGTTTTCCGTGTACGACAAGGTTATCGGTCGATTTCTTAAGGTCTCGCGTGAGCATCTGGTCTGATGTTGCGATGCAAGTTAGTTTGAAGTCGCGCTAGTAACCTGCAAACACTGCTGGTGAATTGCAGCAAAGCCATACCTTCAGCATCGGGGGCCAATTCTATCACGTCTCCTATCCGGACATTGATGACACCAAGGAAACCCTGGTCCTTCTTCTTGAACTTCTTTTGGTCAAACACTTGAACAGCCAAGATGCTGTCCTCGTTTACTTTGCTACGGTGTATTAGTCAGTCATTCCTGGAGTGGTCAAAATCCAAGGTAGAGCCAAACCTACAAGTCGAAATGTTCATTCCAGTATGGGTTCAAGGTACGCTTGGAGACCTGGGTGGTCTTTGTCTGCTCACCGTTGATGGTAGCGACGGCGAACGGGTCGGGAAACCCTGTGACGGTGATGCTGTTAGCACATGTTCCTGGAAACGGATGTGAAGGTTCATGACAGATTGCCATGAGAGAAACATACTGAAGACATCTCGCTTGTATAGACCATCGGCAGCGATGACTAGATACGCATGTCAGTACACCGGTTTGTCATCGGATACGTTCATCGCACAGGGGCTGGTTACTTGTTACGCGAAGGTTGGGCTGGCTGTAATCGTGGAGGTCGTTAGCTGGCTGTTCTCTTTCTTATGATCCGATGTCCCTGGGGGTGACGCGAAGCAGACAGGATGGATAGATGGATGCTCTATTCGTGGGGAGGACTTACGCCGGCAGCCCCGAGTCCCGACTGCTGGTCATTTTCGCAGATGGAGCGCGTCAACACACTCGCACGCGGGTCTTTTTGTTTTCGTCTCGTCTCTCTTAGACCAAGCAGAGTGCTGGTCGCAATCGGGTCGGAACGTTCTGTCGCTCTCGCTCGTTTGGGATCGAGGAACTCTCTCTCGGCTGGATGCAGGGCGGGGCGGGGATAAAAGGAGGACAGGTCGACGATGGTAGCAAGCAGGCTGATTGATTGATTGATGCAAAAAGGCCGACACCTTTTGCGATCAGATGGACGCTGACGTTCGTTGTCGACAAGGAACGGGCAGTCAGGTCACTGGTAACGAAATGGATGCGGCAGGGTGGATGGAATTCCGTAGGTGGCAGTAGGTGGTAGATGGAAGCTAGAGGGACTCTTGAGCGCTCGGAGGTGGTGAGGCTGTGCTGCCCTTGGTGACTGGTTGTGTATCGGCCGGCTCCCCCGCTTTGGGAATCTCACGCTGTCAGCCAGGCCTTCCAGGTTGTCACGGCGGCGGAAGGCGGAACTGGCACTGCAAAAGGCCAAGCAATCCAAGAAGCCAAGGTCGGGCGGCTGTGGCTAATACGATACTCTGTACAGGCAAAGTCGGCAAAGTTAGGTTCTGATAGGTAACCTCTTCAGTGGATCAGCCAGTAGGTAGACTCGGATGTCTAGGTTCTTGGTTTGATAAGGTGGTTGTGGTGGTAGTGGCCGAAGTGGTGTTGAGGTTTATTGCCGTTGTTTTTTGTCGCGGTGAAGAAGCTTGGTGGAAGTGGCGGGTGGGCGGTTGGACCAACAGACGAGAGAACTTATCACCCGCGGGGCCAGACGCAGTGCAGCAAAGCGACGTAAGAGTTTCACTGACAGCACGAGTTGCCCTGAGCTTGGATCTGACGAACCAAAGCCGAACGTACGGAAATAAGATCCCTGGTTAAAAGGGCTCAACAACTTGAACTCAAGAACCCAGCCAAAGGATATGGGAGGAAAATCGAGGAACCTGGACGTCTTGGGATGTTGCAAAAAATGGTGCACCGAGCCAAGGAATTGACGAGGTCGAAGTCGGATGTGTGAAGAGGCAGCAGTCGTTGGTGAAGAGGTACTGCCCAGGGTTGTGAAGAGAAGAGGGACTTGTGTCCTTAACTGAAAGAGTTTCTGTCGGCGGTGCTTAGGATAAAACACCTAACTTTTGAGTTAATCTGCGAGGTATCTCATTAGCGAGTGGCCACTCCGATTTCAGACCAGGGCCTCAGCAGAAGCCTGCAAGTGAGCGAGAACTGAAGCGGAAGGTGCGCACAGTGCGGGACTTTTCTTCTCTTGGCCGTTCGAGTCCCAGGGGCCGCATTGCTTGGCACAGCATCCAGATCTCTCGATCAACATCATCATTATCACTAACACAAAGAACAACCTTATACGACATTTAAATAGACCGTCTCTTTATGATTTCAAGGCCCTCAGAACTATAAACACATTCTATACGGTGTAAGTCTTAGTTATATGCCGAACGTCGGTTAGTAATCAAAATTCAGAACATGCTAGTTTAAGATCTCTTCAATGCCCAGCAAGGTCCTCAGCCAAACGCCTCAAGCTGGGGCTTCCGAGGTCCCTCAGTGTGTGCGTGTCAAGATGTTGTGGAAGGAGCTTCTCCGAAACAATTCTTTTGAGGTCCAAACTATACGGAAGTGATCATGAAAATATCTACAACATCAAGTTACCATCAAAAGGTTAAAGAAAAACCAACAGTCACGAAGAAAAAACAGGATCCTTCAACGTGGCTCCAGCTCTTCCAGAATACCAATACAGTACGCCTCATCACCACGATACACGGTGCTTGTGCCCAAAGAAGGCGGTCGCTGGCGCGCATCCCGTTAATTAACCCCATTGCCGCCGGCCGAGACGCTGCTGTTTCCAACAATAGCATAATCACGGACATAAACGCCGACTGCGGGGTGTTACTGCATCTCAGGGTTTTGTTTTGAATGAACGTTTTCTTATTTTGTTTATGTGCTCTTGACGGCGGGGTGTGTTTTTGAAGGTATTCGCAGTGATTTGTCAGTGGATCATTGAAACGAGACAAGAGGAAGTGCAACGCCATTCGTTCGACATATCTTGAGTACATCTATGTAATGCAAATCTTATGACCAACTGTCTTCGGGTTTGACAACGGCTGGACTTTGGTCTCATGAGAACATAGAATACTTATGTGCAGATAGCTGTTGGGTAGTCATTCAAGCACGCCATTTATGTCTTCGAGCCTTCAACTCAATCCTGGTTGACAACGTTGAGATGTAGGTCCGCGGCAAAGCGGCGGCACATGGCATCTGACGATCCATGGACATTGCCATTTTTAGTGCCAGGACGACAATGGCGGTGTGGATGAAGTATCATTGTTCACTTTATCAGGCAAAAGTTCGTAAAGTTAGAGTCAAGTGATAGCTTCAATTATCGCCCGAAGCTCATCATTTGGTGAGTGATGGTGGCTAGCGGTAGTAGGCAGCCCCTTATTAACCAACTTCACTGATGATTCCTCCTCCTCCCTCGACTTTCTTGCGCATAACCTATCTGGAAAGCGAAAGCATAACATAGGCTGATCATAGCCATAGCAAATGTCAAAACTGAAAAGCAGGTGAGCGACGCTTATGCCCAAATATCAAATACAAAACTTGAATATGATAATGAAAAAAAAAACGAAGAAAAAAAGGGCAAATTTGGAATTGAGGCGTTTTCCTTCTTTTTACCCTCCCACCCATTGACGCCTTGCCGATACGCGAGCAGCCAAAATGAAAACTTTGTAAAATCCCATTGCTCCCATGGTGCAAAAACCAGGCCAAGACAACCAACCGACCCTTCCTTCTCTCCTCCACCATTCAAGTGTCCTTCCTCCTTCTCTTCCCTGCTGATATATCCTAATCTTACAGCCATTAGAAGCAGACAGAAAATGTCCCCATCGATCTCGAGCGCAACGTGTGCACCAGTTCCCTGACAACGTTGCTCAGAGGAGGTCAAACCGTCTTCATCTGTAGTGCAAATACCGGTAGTGTCCGCTAACGTCAAGACGGGGCCCAATAGGGGGGCGCATACAGCTCTGATTGTCGTGATGGATGCGGGATCCAGTGCCGTATGTCAAATCACCACCAAATGACTAGTAAGGAGCGTAGCCTCCTCGGCCACGTCCACGATAGCCGCCGCGGTAGCCACCCCTGGGAGGGAAGCCGCCGCCGCCCCGTCCACCGAAGTAGCCGCCGCGACCGCCTCCGCGGAAGGAACCTCTGCCACCTCGGCCGCCACGCGACATGCCAGGAATATTCGTACGCTTGGGAACGACCTTGATGTTGCGACCCTTGAAGACACTCTCGTTGAGGACAAGGGCTTGGGCGACTAGGTTGGGCTCGGTAAACTCGACGTAGGCATAGCTATGTGATGAGGAGCACGGTCAGTTTAAGTCCTTTTAATGTAGTTGACTAAGATAGAACGAAAAGTACGCACCCCTTGGGTTGACCGGTAAACTTGTCGAGAAGGATGGTGACTCGGTTGATAGACCCGCAGCTCTGGAAGTGCGCCTGGATCTCCTCTGGCGAGGCTGAGTAGTCGACGTTGCCGACAAAGATACTCCGGCTGTCAATATCCTCCTTGTTCTCGGTAAGCTCGTGATGCTGCTGGTCCAGGGTAGCTTGCATCTCGCGGAGTTTGGCGGCCTCCTCTTCCATCTCGGCGACACGGCGCTTCATGGCCGAGATCTCCTCCTGTTCACGATTACTTGGTGTTAGCGCCTGCACTCCGCGTGGAAGCAAACACGGTTGATCGTATCGCTGGGTTTGGGCCGAAGCTGGCGCACCTCATCATCGTTGGCATCGTCCCCCGCTGTCTGCTGCTGCTCCTGCTGCTGCTCCTCCTGTTGCTCCTGAGGGGCCTCCTGAGGCTTCTCCTCCTCTTGCGCCACGGAAGACATCTTGTTGGTCTGCTTGTTTGGGAAGCTGCTAGTCGCGGTTGTGGTGTCGCGTGTAACTAGGTCAGCTCGGTGTTGTGTAATGGAACTGAAGTTGACAAGTCAGTGAGGGGAACCCGATATGGGCGGGATCAAAAAGTGGTGGTTTGGGTCAGGCTGGCGCAACGGGCTGTAGGAGTCGTTGGTCACCGATGCAATGGTGGAGGAAAAGGAATACAAAAGTGGGGAGGGGTCCGCTCCCGTGGACCATCGAAAAGACGGGACCTGGGCTGGAGCAAGGGATGAGGGGACTGGACACGGGGCGGCCAGGAACCTTGAAGCTCAACTTAACTTACTTTGAGTTTGAAACGGGCAGAGCCGCCTTTTTGAAGGACTTGAGAACCTTGTTGCGAGCAAAGAATGTGTTTGTTGCGGTGGGAGGATGGGGGTTGACGATGAGACAATTGATTGAAAGAAGGGCCCTTGTCGACGCGAAGAAAGCGGTTTGGCCTTTTGCAGCTGTTCCGTCACGTCTTCTCCATGTGCTTTGATGGGGGAAATGGAATCGGGGGTCCTCCAAAAACCTGGGGCTGTCACCGGGAGGAGGCAGGCGGCGTGAGTGTAGTGATAAGCACTGTTTGCTTCCTAATCAGTGAAGAAGCACGTGCCACCTTGTTCGTGCACCGAGCCGAGACGACGAACTGGAGGAACTTCCACTTACACGGCACAAGAACCCATAAATTGCTTGACACATTGCGATGATGGTTCTTTCTTTAAAAATGCCTGTAGAAGACACATATTTTTTGGTTGAATCTACTGCAACTTATAATGACTTGGCATACCGTACTTCCAGACAATAGCTACGGGCTTTCTCTTCGACGTATTTCGATGCTCTCTTTCAGCTGTTGTAAAGCAGGTGACTTTGTAAATTTAGCATCCAAACCATCAGTCATCAAACATCGGAACCATTCCTGATCGGGTATGGTGTAGCGGTAACATCGTTGACTCTCACTTCTTAGGAGTGACTGCTCTCTCAACAGCCCCGGGTTCGACTCCCGGTATCCGAGTCACAACAATTCTTTTTGCAATTTTTGCATTGCTGTCGAGACATTTTTGAGGTACCAGGACAGTCCTCGATGTTTTTTGCCCTGGGATTTTGATTGTCACATGTAAGTTGAGCCTTGCGGCTTCAGCTTCATACTCCCTTCTCGTTATCTTTTAGCCTCGAATAGCAGGAGTCTTGAGATCTGGCAAGTTTATCCACGCCATGTGCATAGCTGAGTCGTTGGAGGCACTTGATTTTCTTCAATCCTGTCCATACCATCAAGCTATGCCATCTTCGTGCCATCATCTATTGAACAAAGCCAGACAACAAACACAGCACTCAAGCAGCGTCCTAGTCCGATCCTGAAACCGGCGGGTGATGAACCTGCGCCTGGACCAAGAGTAGGGAGCAACAGCTTAAGGGCAAATTCCCGAGAGAGATGACTATGCAATGAACCGTCGGGATATCAAACAAACGAGTGATCTTTCTTTGGTACGTAAAGAGCTGTTAAAGGAAAAGCTGTTTCTATGGCGACGCTTGTCAACAAATAAACACCCCCTTTTCACTCGTGGGTGGTAGCCTTGGCATAATTGCGACCTTCTCATTCTTGCCGTTCTTGGTGCAGTTAAGATCAAAGCGCAAGTACGAGTTTTAGGGCAGACTGATGACACGGAAATCGTGTGAAGAGTTGTCTGCGATGACCACATCATCATCGAGCAAAGTAGGTCAAAGTTGAGCATATATCCCGTCGTCTTTTTACCTCTCAGCCTGGAAACATCTTCAATCCAGATCGGATGCCGGGCACTGTTCTGTTCCTGCCCGCTGTTGCTTTGGCTGCAGCGCTACCCCGCAACTCCAACCCCACTGTCCATGTAGGTCTCCGCCGCGCGTCCCACTGCATCATCAACCAGGCTCCAATGGGCTCCATCTGACACCGATCTGACACCTTGGAAGCTCCCCTTGTTACGAGCTCCCAGCTGGGTTCATAGTCCCCTCGGCCTCCTATAATAAATAAACACCAACTCGCCGATCACTTACCTTCGCGCCTCCCAAGCCACCCACGAAGCAGTAACCCACAGAATCAGAGAAGACAAGATGCCCATCGAAATCGACAAGATCTTGGCCGCCGCGCCCGCCACGACCCGTGGTCAGGCTACCCAGCTCTCTTGCGATCCCAAGGGCGAGCGTATTGTCTACGCTGTAAGTCGCCTCACCGCCAGCAACACCATTGCAAGCCAAGGTACACTCGAGCTTACCAAGACACAACCTTGAACCACCCTAGTCCGGCAAATCCATCTTCGTTCGCACCATCGACGAGCCATCCAAGTCCCTCCAATATACCGGTCACACGACCACCACTACCGTTGCCCGCTTCTCCCCATCAGGCTTCTGGATCGCCTCCGGTGATGTCTCGGGCAAGGTGCGCGTCTGGGACGCCGTCGGCGCCGAGAACACCAAGGGCGAATACTCCATCATCTCCGGTCGCATCAACGATATTGCCTGGGACGGCGACTCACAGCGTGTGATTGCCGTGGGCGATGGCCGCGAGCGATTTGGTCATGCTTTCACCGCCGACAGCGGCAACAGTGTTGGTGAGGTTACGGGCCACAGCAAGGTTGTCAATGCCGTCAGCATAAGGCAGCAGCGCCCATTGCGCGCGGCTACGGTGTCGGACGATGGATCCATGTGCTTCCTTCACGGCGCACCCTTCAAGTTCGCCGATAAGGCTTCGGAGCACAAGGGTTTCGTTACCGGCACGGCGTTTAGTTCAGACGGTACAACACTAGTTACGGTTGGTGCCGACAGGAAGATCCAGCTTTACGACGGAAAGACGGGCGCACCGACAAAGACCATCGGCGACGGTGTTCACACGGGCGGTATTTACGGTATCAGTTGGGCTTCGGACTCGAAGCGGTTCGTCACTTCCAGTGCGGACCAGACTGTTCGTGTATGGGATGCCGAGTCGGGCGAGAACACGGAAACCTGGCGGTTCGGCCCTGAGGGCACTGTCAGCATTCCGGACCAGCAAGTTGGCGTGGTCTGGCCGCACGGCCGCACCGACGGGCTTATCATCAGCATCAACCTTAACGGCGACCTCAACTATTTGGTTCCCGGAAACCGAGACCCCATCCGCGTTGTCCAAGGCCACAACAAGAACATCACCGCCCTCGGCGCCAGCCCCGACGGCAAGGCTCTCCTGACGGGCAGCTTCGAGGGCCGCGTCCTGAGCTGGGACCTCGCCACGGGTACCGGCACCGTTGTCGATGGCCAGTCGCACTCCAACCAAGTCACCCAGTTCGCCTCCTCTGCCTCAGGCGGCACCATCTACAGCGTCGGCTGGGACGACACTCTGCGCTCCGTCGACGTGTCCGCCAACACTTTCACCGGCGCCTCCACCAAGCTCTCCGCCCAGCCCAAGGGCGTCGCCACCACCAGTGACGACAAGTTCGTCGTCGTGGCAACCCACACCGGCATCCAAGTCTACCAGGGCTCCGACTTCATTTCCGAGCTCCCCATCACCTTCAACCCCACCGCAATCGCCGCATCCCCCTCGGACGCCTCCGTGATCGCCCTCGGCGGCGACGGTAACACAGTCCGCATCCACACCCTCTCCAGCTCCGACGGCACCCTCTCCTCTCAACCCATCACCGTCCTCACCACCTCCTCTGCCCAAATCTCCACCCTATCGTTCTCTCGCGACGGCAAGTTCCTAGCAGTCGGAAACTCGACCGGCAAGATCGTCGTCTACAAGGCCAGCACATGGGAGGTGGAAACCGACCGGTGGTCGGCCCACACAGCGCGCGTGCTGAGCATCGCGTGGAACGAGGCCGGCACGCACGCCGTCAGCGGCGGGCTGGACACCAATGTCTGCGTCTGGAGCCTGGCGAAGCCCGGGAGCAGGACGAGCGCACCGAACGCGCACAAGGATGGCGTGAACGGGGTGGCGTGGACGGAGGAGGATACGGTGGTTAGTACGGGTGTGGATGGGGCTGTTAAGGTTTGGAAGGTTTCGGGGTTGCCATGAATGCGCTGGCGCGGATATGGTGAACCCTTAATATGTACTTGAACCCTTGGAACAGGGTCGTCTTTGTCATAATTTGTGAATTTGAGCAGGTGAGCAACATGAATAGCAAGGAATGATCAAAACATAATGAACGCGGCTGTAGCTACTTGCATGGCATTACCACTGGGAGATTTGAGTGAATAGCGAACTCTTCAACGTCAAAGTACCGCATCAAATTTGACCTTTGGGATAGAAGGGACTTGGTAACTTCAGCGTCCCTTTACTCTCTTTGGGCCATCTTCTGTCTATTACGTCGTACATGGATTTTACTCCTTTAATTCTGGTTCTTATGATAACTTCCCATGCAAAAGTAATGCGCAATTGAGATAGAGTACAAACCGGACTGACAGAAATTTGAGGTAAAAGGATGACAACCGAGGTCTGGATACAGCATCCAGCATTGAAATTCATTGAAAACATTGTTGGATCTTTTTCTACGGCACCTAAAAGAAGAAAGAGCTAGTATATCGAATACTGTACTGATTCCTCATCCTTTCTTCATTCTCTTGTCACGCTCTTCTCATGTTCGTTTCATTCCCTTTTCATGTTCTTTTCATCCTATCTTCAAACTCTTTTCAAACTCTTTTCAGTTCGCCTATAGATGAAAATAAACCTGTCACAGGTTGACAATGGCTACATAGTGTGCATTTCGTGTTCTGCCTTGCAAGGAGAATATCGTCCTATCTTTTGTATGTTCGGCTATCTGGGCATATGCACCCATGACCTGTCATAAAACATTACAGGTAGAAGAACGGTTGACGAAACCTAAGAGGGTGTTGAACGACACCGTCGAGCATGGGGCTAGCGACTGAAGACCATTTGTGAATTTTGTGGTCTAATAGAGGCAGCTCGCCAAGTTTTCTTACCTGGTCAATGGACATCGAAAAACACACATTCACGTAGCGTGGGGGCATGAATGAACGGACGAAGGTCCGAACCTATAACAGAAACTTTGGCATGGAACCATTGGGGAGCAACAGGATTGGGCATCTTACCTGTTTATAAAATGCGCAGGAAGGAAAGGGAGACCGTATAAGATGAACAAGACTACGAAGTAGGCGGCTTCATGACTGGAGATAGACAACACATACACCCTGACACATATGATCATCAGCAACGTAGTATATGAAGACGGGAGTTAATCATAGTTAACCGCGATCATGAACAACATAGATGCATAATTTTTTTGAACTCCGATTATTTATTCCATACAAACCAAAACAAACAGAGAGATATGTCCCATAGCCAAGACCACCCAACCCATCAGGGTATCATCCATCTTCATCTTCTTCCTACATCCTACATTCATCTCACAGTCGACAACCCAACCGCTTAAAGCTTGAAAGCACCACTCGACGTAGGACCCTTCTGCTCCGCGACCTTCTTGCCATCCAATCCAACCGTCTCGCCCTTCCGGTTGATAACCTTGACGCCGCCCTTCTTGAGCTGGCTCATAGTATCCTTGCGGTCCTGGGCACCCTTGCTCATATTCTTGGTGGCATCCAGACCGCCGGCCTTGCGGATGCGCTCCTTCTCGCGTCTGCGTCTCCTGGCCTTCTCCTCGCGGCTCATCTCCTCCTTGGCGATGGGCAGACCGCTCTTGGCCACGACCTCGCCCTTCTCCACCGAGTCCTTGTCCTTGCCAGGGGCGTACACCTCCTGGGGCGCGAGCGTGCTCTCGCCACCGGTGACGCCCTGGGCGGTGGTGGGCATGGCGTCCTCCATGGCAACAGTGGCGACGTCGGTGACGACGCTGATGGTGGGCGCGGCCGGCTTGGGCTTGTAGTGCCAGCTGGACAGGGCGTCGAGCTTGGCGCAAATGTCCTTCCACATGGTCTTGATCTCGGCCTCGTCGCGCGTGAGCTTCTCGTCCGAGGCGCTGACGTACTCGTCACCATGGGCCTTCTTGACGTGCTCCTCCTCGTAGATCTCGGCGAGAGACTGCTTGCCCTTGGCGTCGTCGATCTCGACGAGGCCGCGGCGCGCGTTGTTGGGGTTGCCGAGCGTGTCGGGACGTCTCCGGAGGACCTCGTCGAACTCGTTGGCGAGAATGCGGCGCTTGATGAGCGCCTCGATCGTCTCGGAAACCTCCTCGGTGATGACGGGGACAGGCTTGCCGACGTGCTCGAATTCAAGGTCTTCCTCCAGAAGCGAGTTCATGGGACGGGCTTGCGCGGAAGCCTCACCGGACAGAGTCCAGGCGCGCTTGGCAACAAGCTCGGACTCGAGCCTGCGGATCTCCTCGGCAATCTTGGCTTGCCTGCGCTCGTGGGCGGAGCGACGAGATCTCGGGTCACCAGCGTCAAGATCCGAGAGCTTGTCCTCGTCATCCTCGTTCTCCGAAAGGTCGTCGAAGAGATCGCGGCGCACATCGTTCTCGGCCCTCTCCATATCGGCCTCATCAGGCACCTCCAACTTCCTCTTGGGGAAATAACCTCCTTTCCTCTGGTTGCCAGTCTTCTTCTTTTGTTGAGGTGGCGCAAAGAAGTCCTTGTAGTAGATGTCGTTGGCGGTAAGATCCATATCCATACCGAGAACCCCATCTGTCAGGCCGAGATCGTCGCCGTCGTCCTCGAGTTGCTCTACGTTCTTCTTGCCCTTGAGCTTCTTGGCGTGGGCGGCGGCAGCAGCCTCGAGGGCCTCGTCGTCTTCGGATTCGTCGCCCATGTCGACATCGCTCTCGTCCTTGTCTTCGTCCTTCTTCTTGTCGGTCTTGCCCTTATTGGACTTTGGCTTGGTCGCGAAAGGATCGGCATGCCAGTCTAGCTGTTCGTCGTCGCTGTCGGCATCGACGTTGGGGTCCGCGCGGGCATCCGCATCCTCCCACAACTGTGTCTGCCTGTTGAAATCGTCTATTGAGAAGAAACCGTCGTTGAGGCCGTTGGGGTCTTCGACAAGTTCTGGCGCTTCCTCTTCCTCTTCCTCCTCTTCCTCTTCCTCCTCTTCGTCCTCCTCATCCTCTTCCTCCTCATCAAACTCTCCCTCTCCGTCTTCGTCCGAGAATACAACCTCTTCACCATCGATCTCAACCTCTTCATCGTCATCAATCCCGCTGCCCTCCGATCCTTCTAGTTCCTCATCATCGTCATCGTCCTCATCCTCTCCTTCAGAGCCAGAACCAGACTCGTCATCACCATCCTCTTCGTCCTCGTTGGAATCAAGCTCAAACCCATCCTCTCCAAACTCAATAGTCTTATCTTGTTCCTCGCCGGTGCCCACGATGCCGTTCTCCTCTAGCTCCTTCAGCACATCACCAGCCTCCTTGACGGCGCTGGCAATGATTTTCTTGGCCTGCTGCCAGATCTGCTCCGTCTCGAACCCTTCGTCGACGTGCAGCTTGCGGATCTTGAGCACAGCATTCTTGTCATAGCCGGCCTCACGCTTGCGCTTCTTGCCGCCGATGGTGGCCGCGATCTCTTTTAGCTTGGCCTGCTGGTGGTCGCTGACCTGGGAGGCGAGCGCGTCGAGGGTCTCCTTGGCGAGCAGGAGGGATCCGGCGGGAAGGGTCGAGGGCGGCTGCAGGAAGACGTGGCGGTTGGATTCGTCGGCCAGGGCCGAGAGGAAGGAGGCGACGATGGGGTTGTTGATTGTCGAGGGAGCGCCGGTTGGCGATGTGAGAGCGGCAGCCATGATGCTGTTGTGTGTGGAGGGGTCGTGGCTGATGGTTTGGGATGTCGAGGTTGCGGAAGAGGTTATGCTGCCAGTTCCGGCCATGTCTGGTTTTTTGATGTCGGTCGGACTGATGCAGTCGCAAAACGGGCCCAAGGCTACCTAGGGTCGATCGAGGCTGGCCTTGTCGTCCGAGTGTCTACCTGACTAAGGGTTCAGTTCAGATGTATGACCCTTTTCGCTTGACTGGGCTGTAAGAATGGAAATCGCAGGGCGTGGTTGGAGTTGCCCGTTGCCAAACAAAAAACGTCGACCTGGCGATGTCTGCTTGCCAGCCGGCGAGATTGATGGACCAAAATTTTTTCTGCCATGGTGCTCCAAGATCCAAAGGCGAAGCGTGGAAGGTCCCCGCACTGGATTGTGGGGCTATACGAGATTGACCAATAATGGACGACCCTGTTGTCTGGAAATGGCAATAGGTCCCACTCTTCCTTCTGTTAGGCTTCAGGCCGGTACACTGCTATAAGACGAGGATACCTTAACACTTACAATCCGGTGACGGCGTCACGAACTATCACGGTGTCGAGGCTATTCGGAGCAAGATGCTGAGTTGGAATGCATACCCAATCCTGTTCCGAGTTGGAGATACATAGTGACGAGCCAGTTGAGCTGGACATAATCAAGTTATGATCATTCACGCCGCAACTAAGTGCTACTAGTTGCCTCTTCAACAGAGGTACCTTATTCGGCTTATCATCACTTCCTTATCTGGAATCTCTGTCAGCCATGTAGTTTCTCCCTCTTTCACCGGTTTGTTCCGATGGTAACTGGAAGTGTTGCCTGAAAAAGATAAAAGGTAACGTCGTACAAAAGTAATAGGTAATAGGTTGATTCAACGACATCTCTTATGTAGTGAAGGACGACAGTTTCGTCTCATATCAGCTGCAATGCAGTATGCTGCTCGTGTGTCCTTCAACATCGAGAGGAGACCTCTACGACAGACATTGACAGACTCTTTGGTGTAGACTATTTACCCAGTCGACTATTCTCCCGCAACTTGGACCATAGATGTATATAGCAAAACCTCTCGGTAGAAATCCAAGGTGTTATCTAAGCACCATCAACGAAAGAAGTTGCAATATCATACGGAAGAGTCGTTGGAAATGCCGTCTCAAGCCACATCCCTATACATCTGTATAGGCAGTCTGTGAAAATTTCGACAGAAGCTTGCTCATCTGAAATACGACGGTAGCGTTGGGTGTGCTTGTGTTAGAGTCTGGACCGTTAGAGTTTTCATTGAATGTGGCTCGCGGGGAACTTCCCGTTGAGCCGCCCTCAGTGATACTTCAAGACCTCGAGGCCCCAGAACAGGGAAATATACCATCTCCTTGTCTGTTGAAAGAACCACTGCAATTGATATGGTGCTATGGGTGATTGGGGTCTTTTTGACCGGGGTATCGGGTGCTTCATGTAGAACTTCGTTCTGTATTCCCTTAGTCTTACATGTGAACCCCACGGTGAAAGTCGTTTACCAACCACTGACATTGCTGTCGTAAACGGTGAGGTATCGGTCAGTGTCAGCGGCCTCCTGTCTCAGCACGACATTTGTACCTCGACGCTGTGTGGCGTTGCTCGTTTCATCCGCACCACGCCCTCTGCTACCTACCTAGAATGGCCAAGTTAACGGCAACATTTCCGAAGTCGTACCGAAGGTCGCGAGAAGGTTTCGGTTGGCTGCAATGACTGCAGATCGCGCACTGTCTGGTAAGAGAACTGACAGATAAGCCGAGATGGAGGGACGGGAATCCTTTTCAGTTGCCGGATATTGCTATTAAGCCAAGGAGATCTCGGCGGGAAAGACCTGGAAGGGCCGATTTATTCTTGTTTTCCTATATCCGCCTCCATATGACAGCCTCAGTCTGTGTGGGTGAAGAGAGAAACTGCATCTCACAGCATGTCTTCACAACAGGACATGTCAAGAGCACCTGTCTGTCATGTCATCCACCGCACGCTGTGGGAAGCCGCCCTTGCATGCTTCAGCAGCTGTATGTCAGTGACAATTCAATCGGCTTTTTCCGGAATCAAGTTGGTGATAGACTCAACCTCGACATGGAAGGTCAATTCCCCCAACACTCGCTTGTGGATAAGGTAACCACACAGACAACAAGACGATGTGACACGGCTGTGCTCGTAGCTTGTCGGCTATTGAATATCTCATGATAATGTGCGTGCCTTGCCAGAACAAAGAAGGGAAGAAGCTGAAAAAGATTCGAAGTCTAACAAATCCCGAGGATGGCTTGCCGGCGTCAAGACGGGTCAGCAAGCACGTGCCTGTTTACTGAATTATGACAGGGCCGATGGATCTAGACCAGGGTGGAACTCTTCGACGAACCCTACCAATCAAAGACTATGTTCGGCACGGTAACGACGGGAGACAAGGGCTGTTGTTGAAAGCAAGTTCCTGTGAAAGATAACGAAACAGGTTCACAGAAAGATAGTCGCAAGGGGACAGACGTGGTTGGAAAGGATGGAAAACAATCTAAAACTCAGCTGCAACCACCTCCACTTTGGCTACGTCGTAAAGAGCCCACGGGAAAAACCTCGAGGTTCCACCGGAAAACCGTCAGAGACACCCCTGAACTTTTGACTTGCTCCCCTGCGTCCTGGCGGAAAGACCCACCAACAAAGGCTTTGCACAGTGCACGGAGGGTCCGAAAAGGGTCCTGTTCCTAGGTGGTCTCGTGGCGGTTCTTCTTGGCGCTAGCGCATTGGCTCTTCCTGTTTTTGATTCCTTGGCTTTTTTGGAACAGATCGAATCCTTCATGTTCTCTTCAGCTTGCGACTCCAGTTTATCTTGTCCGCTTGTCTCAGAATTGCTGGGCTCTTTTTAGATTCGGCCTGTCGTCACACAGTTTTCTTCCTTTCCCTCTCTTTTTACAAAGTTTGCCAGACCCGTCTTCGTTTTTGTCTCGTTCTGCTCCCCGCCAGTTCTTTCTTTGAACCCTTCTTTTGGACATTGACACTAAAGACTAGAGCTAAGCACAATCGACAGCCAACAGTTGGCCAGCCACTCTAGACCACTCCAGCATCTCCACGAAGATTAGCAACTCTCTGTCTCCAGCAATCCGAAACGAACCTGAAGTGTCTGTGTTGATCGCTTGGTTGAAACTTCACCGTCTTCTCCAAGCCCACACGGTCCCCCGTGCCCTTACCACGCCTACACTACAGCCTCAACCAGTCAACACCCTTGGCTACTGAGTCCCCATTCCCCCGACGGTATCCGCCAGCGATCAGAGCTTTTATCCCACACTTTCGTCATTGCCACAGTGCCGCCGTTGGTGCAAGAGACGCTGCGGGATCCCGACCGACAGTTGTACCTTCGATCCGTGCATACATATTAACCGCCTGCCTCGCTCCAACGACATTGTCACTACAGATTTCTGGCATTTTTGCATTGCGTTTGGCGTCGACTTGCATCAAAACAAAGGCACAAGGGACAAGCTGGTTTTGGAGATTTTACATTCCAACAGACCGGTTCTCTCGTACATTGACGCCACCGGGTGTAACCATTCCCAAGACGGGATTCGACGACGTTGTGTGGACTAACAAGGACGTTCCTTACCTCCCATCGCAATACATACGTGTATTACAAGTGCCAATTCTTAACACTCTTACAACCTACCACCACCGCCATCACCATCACCACCACCACCACCAACACCGCTTCTACGAGGAATGAAGTTCGGAGAGCAGTTTGACAGGGAATCTGTCCCCCAATGGCGAATCCGTATGTCTTTTGCCCCGTCTTTATCCGCAGTTTGCTGATGACTGTACCATACTTTACCAAAGGGTGCCTGCTGATCTTTACCTTACCGAACAGATAACATCGACTACAACTCGCTAAAACACCACATCAAGGCGCACACGACCAGGTCCCAGGGCACTGCGATTGCCATTCCAGGCCACCAAGGCGCCGCACTCTCAAAGTTCGAAGACGAGCTTTACGACGAGCTCTGTCGACAACATGATCGTGTCGACCTGTTTGTATCAAGCAAGGCCGATGAGATAGCCCGTCGTATTCGTATGTTATTTCGTCACACTGCCACTAATTCCCCTGATTTCGGTTACAACCACTAACACCCTGGGTGTGACGTCGGTAGAGCACCTATCCAATCAAATACACGCCTTGATTGTCCGATGCGCATCCTCTACGAAAGCACGCACGTCGCCCAAACGAGAGCGCCGATTCGCGAAATATGAAGAAGAATTGTTAGAATGCGGTGACGAGGTACACGCCCTCCAGCGCTTTGTTAGTGCGCAAACTGTCGCCTTCCGCAAGATCCTAAAGAAGTACCGGAAATGGACGGGCTCGGCGACTCTCGGGGCACGGTTTAGGGAAACCATCTTGGCGAACCCAAAGAGCTTCACCAAACGCGACTTCTCTCCGCTTCAATCCCAACACGACGACCTACTCCAGACGATACGCGCTGCATCGCCTAGGGATTCGAGCCGCAGTGGCAGCTCCTCTCCACCAACCCAACCCGCTACACCCACCCGCCCGGCCCGCGCTGGAGAACAACGACTTCTACCCAGTGTAACCATCGTTCCCGAGGAGGATGTCCCGACAGGCTATTGGAACGAATATGACCACGGAAGCGAGGCTGGCGATGACCGCTGCGATGAATATGCCATCTATGTCAACCCGGATGAAGATATGAGTTTTCCTGGTATAAGCAGTGTAATGAACTGGATCTCGTCGCCGATGAAGAAGATGATGGGGCGTAGTCAAGAGCCAACACCAGACACACGCGCAAACGAAAGTGCAGAAAACCAGCCTCTACTAGGATCCTCGCGAAACCAGTCGACTGATCGGTACGGTGCTACCCTCGCGCCGCCAAGCTATTTCACATACCCTCCTGGTGTTGCCTACTCAGATACCGACATCGACGAGGACAACGTTAGCGATCGCTTTACGAACTCGCCTCCACACAGCTTCCGCCGCGGTCGTGGGCGCGCCGAGAGACGAGGCTCTTATGGCTATGCATCGTCGGAAGAGTTTCCTGAGTCCGGCTACCGAAGCCTAGAACAACGGCGCATTGCGCGCCATCGTGATGAAATGTTGTTCTGGGGTACTTGGGGCTGCTACCTGGTTGCGTTTGTGCTGATGGGTATTGCGACAATGCTGATCATGACGGGCCGACATAAGATGAGATTGGAGGTCGATGCTGGTGTGACAGTTGGCATTGTTACCTCGCTGGGTACGGCAGTCGCTGCGTTGTGCTTGTGGAATTCGAGGCACGAGTCTCAGGCACCCTCGATGGTAGGAGAGATTGCGGTGTGGGTGACATTTGTGGTGGCGTGCGTCGGCAACGCGATATTGTTGGTCTTGATGGTGGGAAAGGCACCCTGATGGCAGCCATCGCTTATGCAATTATGCAGGTGAGAGTATATTGTCTATGCCAAGGGTCGAAGGCCTACGGGGGTTTTAAAGCTCTCGACAATTATATATAGCAGCTCCTATGTTACACATACGTTTTATCTTTTTTCAAAGGCTTTGGATAGCTAAGGACAGCATTGAGTAGGACAGCGGAATAGGGCTGCCAGACCCACAACGTCACTTAGCTAGGATAAGATTTACATTATCACTGATACAAGTCAGACAGTACCATACGTTCACCTTTGATCGCGAGTTTTGCAAACTGATGATATTTCTGTCTCATTCTGGAGATCTACATGATGTTTACTTGGGTCATGCAGGGACTCTGCATCTCACGGCCGGCTTTCTGACCACAGCTTCGGATTTCATTTGTCAAACATGGCCGAGAAGAGGCCTTGCGGGGAAAGGAACTGTGCAACAGTATGAATCACCTTTGTCCTCGGTTATTCACCCCTTGTCAGGCCCCATTTCAAACATCCCATTCAGGAAATCGTTCGGTATAACACAAGTTTTCCAGCGAAGGAGTTAAACCTCAGCAAGGTATCGAACGGAAAGCGCTCGGCCGTCGTCGTATATAAGAGTGACCTTTCTCCACTTTATTTGCAGTGTGAGTACAACCTCCGCGGACCTCATCGACGAGTTGGAGTATATCAAGCTACAATTCACCCCGCATCTCACAACCTCACTTGAAGCTCCAATCTGCATCATTCTTCATCTTCAATATTACCAACCTTGACAACACCAAAGACACTTTGATATCAGAATTATCGAAACAAATCAGTTCAAGATGCACTTTCCAGGCCACAGCAGCAAGAAGGAGGAATCCGCCCAGACGGCCCTCACCCAGCTCAACTCTTGGTTCCCCACCACCAAGAACCCCGTCATCATCAGCGCCCCCATGTACCTCATCGCCAACGGCACTCTTGCTGCTGAAGTATCCAAGGCTGGCGGCATTGGTTCGTACTCCGTTTTCTCCCTTTCATCATCTAATCTAATTAATCACTTCACTTCATCCAATTCTCACCCCAAATTTTATACTACTAAAACACCTAAAACACTAACCAAAACAACAAACAAACAGGCTTCATAGCAGGCGGCTTCGACTTCCGCCCCGGTTCCTCCCAACTCACCAACCTAAGCAACGAACTGCTCCTAGCGCGCAAAGCCCTCGACCTCGCCGACCGCCCCCTGACACCCCTCCCCTCAATCGGCGTCGGTCTCCTCCTCACTCACACCGTCTCGGTGCCGCACATCGTCGACACCGTCCTGCCCATACTGCAGGAACACTCCCCGCAAGCTGTCTGGCTGTTCGCCAGCGACCCGGACTTTGAGTCCTCCAGTAAGCCGGGAGCAAAGGGGACGGCAAAGCAGCTGATCGAGGCTTTTCACGCTTCGGGCTTTGTGGTGTTCTTCCAGGTGGGCACCGTCAAGGATGCGAGGAAGGCGGTGCAGGATGGCGCGGATGTGATTGTTGCACAGGGAATCGATGCCGGCGGGCATCAGTTTGCTGAGGGGAGCGGGATTGTCAGCTTGGTGCCGGAGGTGGTGGATATGGTTGAGAAAGAGTTTAAGCCTAAGGGGAGAGAGGTGGTGGTTGTGGCGGCGGGAGGGGTGGCTGATGGGAGGGGGGTTGCTAGCGCTTTGGGTCTTGGTGAGTTTTTGTTTTCTTGAAAAGTTGAGCTTGAGGGGTGAAGGGGATGGAGACGGGTGATACGTGCGAGGTGTGCTAACGTGGACATGATGGTTAATAATAGGCGCCGAAGGTGTGGTGTTGGGTACTAGAGTGAGTCTCTCCTCAACCTTTTCTCCCCCATTCCCCAGTTTCGTTGGGCTGAGAAAACCACTGACAAGTCTTGCTCTCCCTTCAGTTCATCGTAGCAACCGAAGCTGCCACCCCAGAATTTCGCAGGAAGCTCATCCTCGAGACCAACGATGGAGGTCTCAACACTGTCAAGTTAGTATTTCCTTAAAACTCACTCCCCACTCCAGCCAACCTTGAAGTAAACCAACAAACAGCCTACATGTACTAACAACCAAGAACCCACTTGCCAGATCCCACTTCCACGACCAAATCAACAGCACCAAAATCTGGCACAACGTCTACGACGGACGCGCCGTCCGCGGTGCTTCGTACGATGACCACGCTGCTGGCTTGCCCTTTGAGGAGAACCACAAGAAGTTCAAGGAGGCTGCGAGCGTGGGAGACAATTCGCGGGCTGTTACTTGGGCGTATGTTTTTTTCTTACATTTCCTCTCTCTCTCTCTCTCTCATTTTCTCTCTCATTTTCTCGTCTTACTTCCAACTTCCAACTTCCCCGCACGAAGAAGCTCTGAGTGTTGTTGTTTGCTAACTTAACTGGTGGAATACGTGCAGCGGAACCGCCGTAGGTTTGGTAAAGGATCAAAGGCCTGCTGGCGAGATTGTGAAGGAGTTGAGGGAAGAGGCCAAGGAAAGGATTAGGAAGATTCAGGTTTATGCTGCTTAGACGAGGGATGATATATGGATGGTACCTGTATAAATGATGACAGGTGTGTGGGGTTAATGAGATTAATACGCAGTGGGATGAATGATGGGAGATTGAAGTTGCGAATGCACATATAACACACATCTTGCAGGCGAGTTGCTCTTTTTGTTATACCCGAGCCTTTAATTGCCCTGGAGATTTTTTTCATTACCTAAAAATGAAAAACTTCCGTTTGCTTTATGTCTTGGTGTTGTTGAGGTGTGTCTTTTTATAGGACTGTTAGAAAGAAAGTAAAGAGAGAGAGTGAAGGGAGAAAGTGAAGAGAGAAAGTGAAAAAAGGATGTAACATCTAAGCAATCCCGGTTTTACCAAGTGATACTTATATAATATTAAGTTATCTGTATCTTAATCCTGCGCAATACTTTATGATCATGTCGGTTCGGCTTTATTGATTAATTTCCATCTGTACAATAGCCACCTAATCAATAATGTATATACAATGAAAGTCTACTCTATCCTGACAAGCGAACTAGCTTAAGGCCCATCGGCTTCCTGTGAATATTCTAATCATGTTTGACTGCATGGGCGTTAAGATCATCGATGCACAGTCCCGCCCTGAGCTAGAGTTTCCATTGCAAGGCTTAAGCCAGGCTGGCGAGCGAGTGACTGATATGTAAGAATTGAACCATTCTTTTGTCTTTTTTTCACTTTCAGAGTAACGCTGGGCGGTCCGATGACTTCTGTCTTGACCAAGTAGCTGGTTAAGAACTGCACGGATCGTAACAACATGCATTTTCCTCTCTACCTTATAAGCTCACGGCACGCCTCAACTTATGTGTAGAACTGCCAAAAGAATATATCAAAGCCCTAAGAAAAGAAAACACAACTTAAAACCGCTACCAAAGCTGCCTTTGTTCATTGTCGCAGTTTTTGAGGGCAGAAAGGAGCAAAAAGTAAGACGCCAACTTTGAGCATAAATACATCTTGTCTAATTTCCACTGGGTTTCCTTTCCCATGAGCCGCTGTTCTCGAGCTCTTCCGTCTTGTCCACCAAAACTCTAACCGTCCTGTTCTTCCGGTTTTTGCCACCACTCGTCGTCTTCTTCTCATCTCATCCACGGGTCCTCCGAACTACCTACCCCCTTCTTTCATACCAAGAGTTACCCCCATGACCACACAAAAGTAGATACCAAGCAATAACACATCTACTTGCGATACCACATCCGAGTAATCTTGGTATTCCGCATCTTCCTCTGCAGCTGGAAAATGCCATACATGAGCGCCTCAGACGTAGGCGGGCAACCGGGAACGTAGACATCAACGGGGACGATGCGATCACACCCGCGCACGACGCTGTACGAGTAGTGGTAGTAGCCGCCGCCGTTGGCGCACGAGCCCATACTGATGACCCAGCGCGGGTCGGGCATCTGGTCGTACACCTGGCGCAGGGCGGGCGCCATCTTGTTGGTCAGAGTACCGGCAACGATCATCACGTCCGACTGGCGGGGCGAAGCACGGAAAATGATTCCCAAGCGATCTTGATCGTACCGCGGGGTGGAGAGGTGCATCATTTCGACGGCGCAGCAGGCGAGGCCGAAGGTCATGGGCCAGAGAGACGATTGGCGGGCCCAGTTCACGATGCTGTCGAGGGTTGTGCTATATTGAAAGGAACATATTAGTGGTTATTGACATGTGGTTGTTGCTGCCGTAGTGTTGTGTTGTGGAGAGATGTTGTTATGATAGGGGATATCCTTGTCCGGATGTCATGAACGGGTGTGGAGTTCGTGGAGCCCCGGATTCTCGGTAACGTACAGAGCATATTGAACAGCGCCCTTGGTGCCCTCCTGGCTGGCAAGAGGAACCTCTCTGCGCTCGCGCCTGACGATGCCGCCGTGCTGTGCGCCAGCTGGGGCGACGGCGCCCGTGGCATCCTTGCGGGAGGACGAGGAGATAGAAGCGGCCGAAACGATGCGGAAGGGGACGATCTGGGCGGCAGCGACAGTCGGCCGGGCTGTGGATAGTTCCGTTATCGTCAGCTGGAGTTATCGTCGCCGTGGGGATTATCGTGATGGAGTTCGTTGAATGACTCGCGCGCGGACTTTCGCAGTGTGTAGGAAACAAGAAATTGGAAAGACAGCTTCACCCACCTCTGAGAGCCATCGAGGCGCCTGTCCTCACAGAGAACAACATGTTGGAAATATGCGGTTGTCGCAGTGAGAGCGAGATGTCTAGGGAAAAGGAGTGAGAGGAGGAGAGAGCGTTCCTTCGGACGGGGCAAAAGCGCAAACCCAAGATCGCAGCAATGATATCGACGTCGTCCCGCTCTGCGGTTACATACAGCGAGCCTCCGTCTCCCAGTTACAGTGATGCTGCTGCGGCTTAGCTAATGGTTGTCCGCGGCATTCGCCTCCACACAGTGACCCACTTTGTGGCGTCGAATAAGGCTGGAGCTTTTGAAGACTGAGGACCAGCCCGCTTTCCATTGGGCAGAGCTCCTTTCTCTTTCTGGGGAAGTGGAAGCAACAGGGAAACTCCAAGGGGGCCGTGTTATTCAAGATCTTTGCATCTCGAATTCTCGCGGCAATCTGCAATGAGTGAAGGGCATATGATACCGTTCGCTCGGCCTTAATGAGGTAATCTTTCATTTCAAACCGACAAGGACATGGGTGCATTTTAGTTGTTGTGTCCTTCCATAATATGCTGAGGCGACGACCCTCGTCGCAAATGGTCTGGAGTGGTCTGGCGCTAAGCAGTGCCAAGATCTGGTGATAGCTTCATCGTCACTATTCACTTTATAATCCAGATAGCATCCGACAGACCCAGAACGTCACGCATCGCATTATAGGATGCGAAAAGCAACCAAAAGAAAAAGGGGCAAAAAATAAGAGACAAGGGCGGGATCGAACGGAGGACGTCACGTTTAACTGGAAAGGAGTAGAAGAGCCCTATTTGCGTAGCCCGAAGACGCCAGTTTTACAGTGCTTCCAGGGAGTGCCCCACCGCCTTTAATAGCCGGGGGCCCTCTAACTGGCAGGTGGTGCGCAACCCTCTGAGTGCAAAGAGAGCTCAGCGCACCACACCGCTTGACCACGAAGCCACTTGTCAGTTGTTAAAAGTATGTTAACTCAAGGTTCCTTAAACCCCAATCTAAAGGCCACGCATGATTTGGGGGTTGATCAAAATTGCTGCAGCAATCTATTAACAGCACCCGTCGCAACGAAATGATACATAACGCACGCCAACACCTTCCTCCTATGGTGGTTTTCCCTTCCCGCCCCAATAACGCCTGCGAATAACAATTTGGTGTCGGGATATCGCCTTAGCCGAGTAAAAAAGAGGTATGCCTGCTATCTCTCAGCGGTATCTCTCAGAGATCCTATCCATGGTCGAAACAAATCTGTCCGTCTCAAGACTCAAGCCATCCGTTTGTCCGTGTCGGCCGACGCGCTTTCGCCAAGGTCTGGGTTGAGATAGTTGGCGTCTTCGGCAGCCTCGTAGTCGGCAATGAGGTCCATGACGACCTCCCTGGCTTCGTCAAACTCGTTGAAGTTCTCAGAGAACGGCGCTGTCTTTTTGTAGGCTTCCATGAAGGCGTTGCGCTTCCGCATACCGTCGTACTGCCTGACGATGCGCTTGAAGAGCTGCGTAAAGAATTGTCAGTTTAACCACCCATCTTGTCAATACGCGAACAATTGACGTACCGTAGCAATACTGGTATGGTTTGCCAACATCAAGCCACTGACACGATGTGCCATGGTCACGTAGGGACTCCTCTTGGTCAGCGCCACCTGAATGCTGCGGGACCCCAAGGAATGAATGTAGCAAGACGACGCTCCCTAATACGGAGCAGACTCTTGTGCACATCGGTTGGGTCCACGTCGCCCTGGATGACGTTCAGGATGGAGATGTAGCAGCTCTTCTTGCCGGGTACAGTAGACACCATGCGATTCTTGGGCTGCAGCAATCGTCTCATCACGTCGAGAACCGTCGTCTTGCGCACCGTCTTTGCCTGTTCCACCTGGTCACCGGTAAAGGGCGTGTACGACGTCATCAAGAAGTGGCATCGGGGAGTCGGGATTAAAGAGGCAAGGATGCTGACCAGGTCGTTGTGCATGTAGCCGGGGTATCGGAGGGTGGTTGTGCTGGCGGACATGACGGTCGATACGAGTTGGTTCGTCTGCTGGAAGGAAGGCTCTTGAACGTGCAGTCTGTCGGCGGCAATATGTGAGAGGGCGCCGTTGTCAAGCACCACTACCGAGTCGGCGTTTTGCGTTAACCTCCTCATCGCAAGCAAGCTGTTGTAAGGGTGTACGACAACGTCGCCCGCGCTGGTCGTGTCGGGAAATACTGAGTATGTCTGGATGATCTTCTTGGGGAAGCGGTCGTTCAATCGCTCGAGTAGGAAAGAGCCCAGTCCGGATCCTGTACCACCGGCAATGGAGTGTAGCATCATGAAACCCTCGAGGGAGTCACTGCCGTCGGCTTCGCGCTCAATCATCTCCATGATCTCCTCGTGTACCTGCTCGCCTGTCTGGTAACCATCACCCCAGTTGTTGCCCGCACCAAGACCGCTCTTGCCCACATAGAAGTTTTCGGGATTGTATATGTTCCGGTAGGATCCCGTCTGAATGGTATTGATGACACGCGGTTCGAGATCGATTAGGATGGCGCGGGGAATGTATCGCGTATCGTCGCTCTGGTAAAAGAAGACATCTTTACGATCGCCGCCTTCGGTCGCAAAGTCTTCGATAGTTCCATCTTGACTGATGCCGTGTTCCAGACACAGCTGCTGCCAGAACTGGCTTCCGACTTGGTGATGTTAGCAGTTGCGCGTTGAGCTGTCGGGTGTTGAAGCGCAAGACTGGGTAAAGGTCGGCCGCCTCGTCAGGCTGGATTGGATACTCACTGCTGTTGCCACACTGGCCGGCCTGGATAGTTATTATTTCTCTGTTTCCTGGTGTTAGTGAAATTTTGTTACGGTAAACCATCAAGTTAGGTGTTGGATTGGGACGCGTACCTGGGCATGGTGGTGGCATTAACGAGGCGCGAGACCTCCAGGCGGAAATTGTTGCAATCGGGACAAAAGCGGAGGGAGCATCAGTAAACACAAGGACGTCAGCAGAGCACGGGAGTTCCCCACATGCAACAGCACGTTGCCCACCGCTAGGTACCTACACAGCACGCTAAGATTCCGCGACGACGCGACGACGGGGGAGGGAAGCTGTGAACGAACAGCCGAACTGCAAGGGAAATCACCAAATGCCCGGTCCCGCAAGCTTGGAAAGTGGAAAACATCCCCAGAGTCTAGGCCCCAGTACTCGCCTCTTTGATCCAAACTAGAACGGCAAAACAACCAAATATTCGTTGGCAATGACAACCCGTCACCAGCACTGGTGTGTTGATGTTGCTGTAGTGTACATGTACCGCTGTCCCGTCGCTACAGTGACGCCCGCTGTCAGCTGCCCTGTTGTATCGGAGAGGGGCACCTGCAGAGACATCCAGTCCATCTCTCTCCATCTCATGGGCCGGGCTGAGTGGCTGGCTCCCGTCGGTTGGATCCAGCAGTTTATAAGGCGCCCCAGACTCCTAACCTTCTTGGGCATAGTTTCTGCAATTTAAAAGACCGTGTCTGCAGGTCCACTCCAACCTAAATTGACGAACCCCATTCTCTCCAGCCATCCAGGTGCGACGGCGCTGACGGGACCTCCTTCCAGCGCCTTTGTTTAGCGGAGCATTGCGCTACCTTGCAACGTGACGGAACGGGATCCTTCGTCTCACCACTTTGACTAAAACAAACACAGGCAGGTATGAGGCACGTTTTTGACTTTCAAACATTGACGTATAACGGAGGCAACTTTCAAGATATCAGAATGGAGTACAGAAGTAGAGTAGGTGAGAGAATAACCGTAGGCGTACTCACTGCAACGATAGATACGCCACAACGAATAGTTACCGTTACCGGACGATAACAGTAACAGGAGACGCGCGCCAATAACAATAACCTCTAACTTTTGACTTCTTCTCCTGCCCCTTTTTGCGCCTACATACCTTTACGGGGATGCTGCCCGCTCTGTAATACACTGCATACAGTTTGCACCTTGCTTCAACGTCACCTTATCATCTTTGGTTTACTCTACTTCGACCTTCACCCCCTAATTCTGAGTGTATCTGCGAACTTACACCTTCACTCTAGCTCGGGAATAATATCACCTTTCCTACCAGCCACGTCGCCATCGTGTTTCACCGACCCTGCTGGTTCGATCGGAACCACTCTACCTGCCGCTCTCCTATCCGTCGTTGGCCCGTTCGGCCCCAACCCGACCAGCAATTCCGATCATCGTCTCCAACAAAAAGTTGACCGCCGTCTGCGAGCCCCTGGAGGGTTAAACCGCTTCCCACGACTGAGACGAATTCGACGAGTACTTGTGAGCCACGGCATGTTTCGCTACCGAGGATCTTTCACCTTCTTCCTTCAAGAGATTGTCCAGGTTTCCCAGCATCAACCGCAAGAACAACAACAGCAACACCCTACTTCAGCAGCCCCCCAGTAGGCTGGCCAACCATCAACCGCCCAATCTTCCACCATGGCCGACCCGAACCGATCCAGCTCGACCAGTCTGCCTGTGCCAACACATTTGCGCAAAGAGAGTGTTCTGCAATCAGGGACCCTTGAGGAACTACCCACAATTACCCAGGCCCAGGTGTTTGGCGTTCCATCACCAATCGGCTCTGACCAGTTCGACTTCGCAACCAAGGCGAGCTCTCCGAGGACACCGAGAGCGAATGACAGCCCGTCCGCCTCCGACTACCTGAACGGAGGTCAACCACACCCCGACGGTATCTCCTCCGGACCGGAGCAAGGCCCGCCCGCCTGGTTGCCGCTTCAAGATGTCAACGCAACCACCAATCGCTCCTCCGTCCCCTCAACCCTTCCTACAGCTGGCACAGGTCCTTCCGACGTACCCTACTCCGAACGTAGCGTACAGTTCGCCAACAACGATATCGTCCTCGAACCCCCACCCGTCATACACCACGAGCGCCATGGCTCATGGGATCACAAAGATACCATGAACAGGATTCGAGGGTCCAGTTTCATGACCAAGTTGAAGGAGCTCGCCGGCCCCAGCACCTCCCAGACTTTCAAGTCTCCAAGCTACCCGCCCGAGATTAACTCTACAGCTAGCTCTCCAACCGTGTCACGCCACCGTCATCCCCGATCAGTCGACGACCGTAGCGACGAAGATGCCGACGCAGAGGAGACCGCCGATGAGAGGGTAGGGGAGTCACAGATTCGACAAAAGAAAAAGAGACGGATTAGGCGACCAAAGTTCGAATCCTTCTCGACTCCCAACACACCTCGAATCGAGCAAGAGCCGACCACGCCCGGTGGACATGCCCGCTTCGGGTTTATACGTCGCTCTACGTTATCAGATATCGGGGATCGTGGAGGCCTTTCCGAGGGCGAAGGCAGGGACCAAATCGCCAGACAGCGCATCAACAGAAGGACGAATCTATGGATGTCGAATCGGCCAGATGGTGAGGGTGACGAGCTTGAATCTCCCCGTAGGATCGGGCAGCATCTTCGCCGCTTCTCCAATCTCGGCGGTGGGGCTTCTGACGGTGATGCCACCCCGAGGAGGCCCTTTTTCGGCACAGACAGGGCTGCAACTTTTGGTGCTCAAAAATGGCGTCAAGTCAAGAGTACTTTGCGCCTGTTACGACAGAAGAGGGATGACCAATACGACTATTTCAAGTCTGCTGAGCTCATGGCCGAGCTTACCGCAGTTACACCGGCTGTCTTGATGTTCGCCAGTATGATCCAGCGTGACGAACATGGAAATAAGAGAATCCCCGTCCTTCTCGAACAGCTGAGACTCCGGATCAAGGACAGTGCGCCTCTTCCAGGCAAGGATAGCGAGAGACATGTCCTGTTCACCATCGAACTCGAGTACGGTAGCGGCCCCAGTCAGATGAAGTGGACCGTCAAGCGTCACATAAAGGAGATCATGAACCTCCACTTCAAATACAAGATCAACCCCCCTAAAGACAAGCTTACACTACACCGCTTGCCAGAGGGTAGTACTAGGCCCAAACAGCCGAATTTCCCTATTTCCGCTTTCCCTTACTTACGCGCAGTAAGAGGCTTAGAGGACGACGAGGAACAGGAACCACAAGAACCACTCGAGCCCCCTCGCATACTCGAAGATCCCGCTGGTGAGGCGACTGCCGGGGAAACGGCTGTTGAGGGCACCGATGTCGAAGAAAATGGCAGGCCGCAGGTACGGAAAAAGAAGTCTCGCATGGGTGCTTTTGGTGGGCGCCGCAAGAACTCGGCCATGGGTTCCAAGGGTGATCTCAATCAGATGGCTCTTGACGCCGTCACCAAGAAGAGAAAGTACATCGAGCAGCAGCAGAGGATTCTGGAAAAGTATTTGCAAGAGATGGTCCGTTGGCTCATGTTCCGGGCAGACAGCAACCGACTCTGCCGATTCTTGGAGCTTTCTGCTCTTGGAGTCCGCCTTGCTGCCGAGGGAAGCTACCACGGCAAGGAGTGTTACCTCCACATTCAGTCCTCCAAGGGACTCGATTTCCGGAGGGTCCTGACACCGGGCAAGGTTATCGCTAGGCACAGCAAGAAGTGGTTCCTTGTTCGCCAGAGTTATATCGTTTGCGTTGAGTCCCCGGAGAACATGAACATTTACGACGTTTATCTTGTCGACCCCAAGTTCAAGATTGTTTCTAAGAAGGACAAGAACAAGTACCTCAACGCCAACGCCAACGAGGGCGAGGAGGATCTCGAGAACTTTGACCTAACCACGGCGGCTAAGAAGAAGTCCAAGTCCTCCAACCACCACACCCTCAAGATCATGACGTCCGAGAGGAAGATCAAGCTGTTCTCCCCCAGCCAGCATCTCATACAGCAGTTCGAGGAGTCCATTCTGGAGATGCTCAAGAGTACGCCATGGCATCAACGGAATCGATTCGGAAGCTATGCACCTGTTCGTACGGGCGTATTCGCCCAATGGCTGGTCGACGGTCGGGACTACATGTGGAATGTCTCAAGAGCTATCAGTATGGCCAAGGACGTCATCTACATTCACGACTGGTGGCTGAGTCCGGAGTTGTACATGAGGCGACCCGCTTGCATCAGTCAAAAATGGCGTCTCGATCGTCTACTCCAGAGAAAGGCCCAGGAAGGCGTCAAGATTTTCGTCATTGTCTACCGAAACGTCGAGGCCGCAGTTCCAATTGACTCGGAGTACACCAAGTTTTCCCTACTGAACCTGCACCCTAACATCTTTGTTCAAAGATCACCTAATCAGTTCAAGAAGAACCAGTTCTTCTTCGCTCACCACGAAAAGCTGGTCATTGTCGACCACGATATTGCATTCGTCGGCGGTATAGATCTGTGTTTCGGTCGTTGGGACACACCGCAGCATCCTGTGACTGATGACAAGCCCACCGGATTCGAGCCTGATTCGTACAATCTGCCCAAGGACGCAGAGCATTGCCAAATGTTCCCTGGAAAGGACTACTCGAACCCTCGTGTCCAGGACTTTGTCAGGCTCCATGAGCCATACGAGGAGATGTACGACAGGTCTAAGGTTCCCAGAATGCCGTGGCATGATATCGCCATGCAGGTTGTTGGCCAGCCAGCCAGAGATCTCACCCGCCATTTCGTTCAGAGATGGAATTATGTGAGACGCGGCCGGAAGCCCACGAGACCTACACCGTTCTTGCTGCCACCTCCTGACTGCAGCAGGGAGGAACTCGAGGCCGCAGGCTTGAATGGAACCTGCGAGGTACAAATGCTCCGTTCAGCATCGACGTGGTCGATCGGTATCGATGAGACCGAACACAGTATCCAGTCCGCCTACGTCAAGATGATTGAGGAGTCTGATCACTTTGTCTACATGGAGAACCAGTTCTTTGTGACCAGCACAGAGACGCTGAACGTGAAAATCGTCAACCGCATCGGTGATGCTCTGGTTGAGCGTGCTATGCGTGCGCACGAAAAGGGCGAGGACTGGCGCGCAGTCATTATCATCCCACTGATGCCCGGTTTCCAAAACGAGGTCAATGACCAGGATGGAACCAGTGTTCGTTTGATTCTCCAATGCCAGTACCGGAGTATCTGCCGCGGAGAACACTCCATCTTTGGCCGTCTTAAGGCTGCCGGCATCAACCCGGAGGACTACATCCAGTTCTTCAGCCTGCGTCAATGGGGTAAACTTAAGAACAACACCCTGACGACCGAACAACTTTACATTCACGCCAAGTGTATTATTGTCGATGACCGCATCGCCTTGATCGGATCGGCCAACATCAATGAGCGGTCTATGCTTGGAAACCGTGATTCGGAATGTGCGGCTGTTGTTCGTGACACCGACATGATCTGGTCCACAATGGGTGGGAAGCCTTACCAGGTTGGTCGTTTCGCTCACACTTTGCGTCTCCGACTGATGAGGGAACACTTGGGCTTGGATACCGATGAGATTCAAGAGGAAGAACGCCAGGCAGAGCTAGATGAAGCCGAGGCAAGGGCTGAAATGGAACAACGCACGGAACACCACATGGAGCATCCGAACTTGGAATATGGCGAATTCCATGACGACTCAGAAGACTCTATGATCCCCGAGAGCTCGTCCAGGAGACGCAGGTCATCACATATGTCGTCTCATATTCCACCCAGCACGCCGCCGCCACCGCAACTCCCTCGTCATAGAGCGCATAGTTTCAATCATGACGTTGAGATGCAGGAACTCCCAAGGCCAGACTCCAAGGGCAAATCTGTTGCCGGTAGAGACAGCCATGGGCATGGGCATGGGCATGCCGGCGAGAGGCACAGACGGGAAGTGGAAGGACATGGTCCTGATCATTGGAAGGCTGCTCAAATGCAAGGTATCGACGAGGGCAGAGACTCAGTCGTGGTGAATGGCCGCGAAGTGCTGGTCCACGATATCGCTGCAGAGGGCAGAGGCACTCTGGACAGCCCGCATGAACCCCACGAGCTTCGCACCCGACTTCACGATGCTGCATCTCCTTCTGAAAGCATCGGCAACGAGTACATGCCGCCGATGCCGCCGTTTAACAGACGGACTACGGAGCAGCTTGGCCTCCCTAGAGCCAATCAGTTGCCTGTATTGCCTGTTGTGGACGATACCGATATTGGTGGACCGCCTGTCCAGATCACAGCAAATGGCACTCTATCTCACAGCCAGATGGCCATGAACATTGAGCTCGCCAACATTGACAAGGACTGCATGCGGGACCCTCTCAATCCAGTCTTCTACGATGATGTTTGGTCTCGTGTCGCTGAGAATAACACCAAGATCTACCGCCGCGTCTTCCACACCATGCCAGATTCTGCAGTAACAAACTGGGCCGAGTACAAGGAGTTCAAGGCTAACGAGCGGGAGTTCAAGAAGCAGTTCGAGGGTGGCAAGACGAGTGAGGAAGTCAATGAGAAGAACGCAGTAGCTTCCGGGCATGGACAGACCAGCGCTGGGGCCGGTATTGCCGCACCTGGTCCGGCTCAACTCAGCAAGAGCTTGACAGAGAAGCTGGTCACCCCTGTCTCTAAGCTTAGCGGCGGTGGTGACAAGGGCGCTCGGGAACGCACTGGCTCAAATACGACGATGGACGAGAAAGACCACGCCCGCAAGGCCCAGACCTTCCCACTCGATGCCGAAAAGACCGCGATGTTGGCGGCGTCGCAGAATAACGGCGAACGCCCGCCCACAGCAACACCCAAAGACGGCGCTGATTCAAACCAACATAACGACAACTGGGGATCTGGAATCTTCCTAAGCGCCAACAACGCCACCACCAATAACAAGGAGCGACACGCCACCTTCTCCAACAATAACCAAGATTTTAACCACCCTCCCCCAACCTCAGCTAGCGGTAACTCCACCACCACCATGGCCGACAACACCAACAACGCAACCCCCAACAGCGCCGCCGCAGTGTCCTCGGACAACACAGCAACCAGCGCATCCGCCACGGGCACTAATGGTGCCGGTGTCAAGCCAGCCGCGTCTACCCGGCAGCAGCGTCGTAGGGCGAACACGGGCCGTAGTAAACGCGGGTACAACCCCTTCGACGCGCAGACGCTGAACCCCGTAGAGGCCGAGGAGACTCTGAGGCTGATGCAGGGCACGCTGGTCCAGTTCCCGTATGACTGGCTGGTTACGGAGGAGAATAACGGGAATTGGTTGTTCCAGGTTGATCAAGTGGCGCCTTTGCAGATCTAGTAAGTTTTTTTTCCTCCCCTAAAGTGACCTGTGAAACCGAGAAAACGGACGGGGGCTAACCACACGGTGTTTGTTTTAGTAACTAAATCTTTTATTGTCTGCTGTGTTGTTGTTGTGTTGTTGTTGTGTTGTTGTTGTGTTGTTGTTCCACGGCTATGCTGTTCACAATCCTACTTCCATCCTGCTGTTCTCGGCAGCACTCACCTTTTTCCCGTTCAGTTCTTTCTTCAACTTCACTGTTTTTTTGTTTTTTTTAACTCAATCTTCGCAATAACATGTAATCAATGGGGCGGCGATGGCGGAAGATACACAAAACGAATTTATTTACAGTAACACTTCAGTATTCATGGCAAGGCGTTGTTGGCTTGGTGGGGTTTGACATATCATCTTGTTTGTGGCTGTAACCATTCGGGATATACCGGTGGTGGCAAGAGCCTCTTGCTTTTTCTCGAGTCATTCTTTGTTCTCGTTCTCAGCTTATACACCTATTCATTTATCCATCTATCTATCTATCTATCTGTAGCTATTACTAGTTTTGTTGTTAAGTTCACACACCGCTGTCTTCAAAACGCAGGTAGTGTGTATCTGTCCTTTAAACTCTTGTACACTATAGTATATTTATTTAGTATCTTTTGTATACCGAAAAATATCCTTGGACACTACCGTACGTGTCAGCGTTCTAGGAAGAGCTGGGGATGTTATAGTAGTGACGCTTTTGTAAAGTGTTACCATAATATTCCACGCAACGTATCATATGCCGTGATTACAGGTTCGTATAAATATAAGTTTACATACCAGTTAGGCATATATATGTAAGGAGGAGGAGATGGGCAGATATCCGTAAAGGGTCTTCATTCATATTTTTTCGCCGTAACCAATATAGGTAGGTTCCTGCTACTTCTAAGCTATCCATTCCTCATCACCCAAGCAAGTGGAAGCCAAGCTAAGACGGCCAAAAGCTGCATGTGACTATGGTCTCCAGGTTGATGTATATGGGCCCTGTTCCCACCAAAAGCGATTCAGCTGGCGGGATCAGACCAGATATCTGCCTGTGTATAGTTTGATCCAGGCTTCTTGTGTTTTACCAGCGCCCCCCCCCTTCCCCAGAATCCCACTTCAAACCTCTCTATCAAAGCTCAATATCGATACCAAGATCCATGGCGCCAATAATCTCATCATCCATCAGCGGCGCCGAAATCACCGGCAAGCCGTTCTTCTTTTGTTGCTGCCTATGCTGCTCCTGCAACTTTGCAATATGTGGCAACACCCCGTTTGCGTTCCTGGTCTCGGCCTTGGATGGCGTACCCGGTGCGGGTGTGCCAGCCTTGGACGGACTAGGCGTGGGCTTCTCAGACGAGTCGTGCACAAACTTGGGTCGTGTGATGAGCCTGCGGCTCATATCCTCCTGCACGGCCTCGCCACGCTCAATCTTCTTCTCAATTTGACGGGCCCTGGCCCGCTCACGGAGCTGGGCCTTGCGCACCTCTTCGGCGTTCTTCCTGCGGTTCTCCATGTTCTTGAGCGCCAGCTTCTCCTGCTGGGTCAGGTCCTTCTTGCCGTCCTTCTTGGTAAGCGAGGTGCGGAAGGCAAGGCGAGGTACCTCGAGCTTTTCAAGACGCTCCTGGTAGCGGGCGATAGCAGCCTCGTCGTTGGCTTGGCGAGCAATGTCGAGTTGCTTCTTGATGTAGTCACGCTGGGCACCAGAGAATTTGGCTTGCAGGGCATTTTGACGCTTGAGCTTGTCTGAAAGCTCCTGCTCGGTCCAAGTCCGTTGAACGAGGCGGTTGATGTCGTCGATCTTGTCGATAAGGGTCTGTTTGTCCGGGAAGGGGACGCCCTCGTTGAGACAGACTTGTTTGTAACGGTTAAACTCGGCCTATTGACGCTCAAATTAGTGATACGTCAAGTGAGGAAAGGAAAGGGTTGCATACGTCTGTGAACTTTCGGTCGGAACATGTGATCAAAGGCCACTCGCGAACGGCTTTGCCGTGGGCAGCCTTGACATACATGTCGACAACCATTTGGTGACCCTGATGATCTTCCAAGGCGTAAGCCTTACCGGTGGTGAAACCTGTTCGCTGAATGTTAGTGACCCGCATATGAAACATGAGTGTCCCGGAAACAAACTTACCCTTAATGAGAGCCATACGGTAGACATCCTGGCGAGTATCGGGGTCGGGACCAATGTTCAGACGAACAAAGCATCCTGTGAGAGCCTCATCAAAGCCGGGATAGAAAGCAACCTCAGCGAAGCGACTACGGCCAACACGAACACGCTCAAAGTCTCGAAGCTCGGCAGGTGGACTCTCCCTGCTCTCTGGCGAACGAGACCTGTGCTTCTTTTTGCTCGGGCCATCCCATTCAACATCGCTATCATCACGGCCTGGGCTGCGTCGGTACGAAGGCGAACGCTTACGACGATCATTCTCCCGCTCCCGCTGCTCCTTGCGGTTGGAGCGTTCCTCCCGGGCCCGCCGGAGGGAATCCATCTTGTCGTCGGCCTTGGTGCGAGCCCGTGATGTCTTGCGTGACGAATCATCGAGCTCGGCTAAGCTTGCCTTGCGTTTCTTCTCTTGGTTGACCTTTAGCTGACGAAGCATGCGGTTCTGGCGGATACGCTCGTTCTCCTCTCGACGTTCGGCCAGGATCTGTTCCCTTTCGATTTCTCGCATGCTCATGATCTGCTCCTTCTCTTCGTAGTCGCGGAAGAGACCGTCGACAGGGTATTGGTTCACCTCATCGTCAACACTACGCCTCGCCGGCGAGGCATCCGAGTCTGAGTCTGATTCGTCCATGGGGGCAGAAGCTTGGGAGTCCGGGGACCCCGGCGCCAAGCTGTCGTAGTCATGTTTTTTAGCCATGATGATAATGATGAGGATGTTGAGCAGAATGGTGTTATGGAGAATGGAGAGCAGCATCGTGAAGGGAGAGGTTAACGGAATAAAGAGGGAAAAGAGGCAAGAAGGGAGGAGCGAGGAGCGAGGGGTAAATAAAGGCAAGCAGGAGGCTGAGGTTAATGTGCTGCATGGACAGGGAAAGCGGCAGCCTTAGGGCTACCTTGGAAAGCATGGTGAAGGGGAAGATGAGCACTTACGCCTGGTTTTCATCCTCCGACTCGTCATCACTCCTACCACGTTTCCTGCCCACTGACTTCTTCGCCGGTCCCCTGGCGGACGTGTCCTTCTTCCTCGAAGGATCTGGTGACGGTGAGCGGGAATCGTCCCTGCTCATGTCCATAGCCTCATCTCCGCTGTCGTCGGAGACGTCACCGCCAGCAAGGGCGAGCAACTCGTCGTCGATATCTGACATGATCGCTTGTGTGTCGGGGCCTGTCGGTCTTTAATGAATAGGGTTGGTGTTCTGTGCCTGTGATGCTAGGGCTATGCAATGGCTTGCGCGCAAAGCAGGATTCGATGGCAAACCGTCGGGTGCAGATGGTGACCGAGATCCGATCTGAGATGCGCGAGATTGCGTCGAGGTAAAGCCGACTGTTTCGTCGAGTCGAATGTAGGTACTGTTGGTGGATGAGTATGACCGAGACCACTAATGTCCTCCCAAGTGTGATTCAACAATGCGCCAAAAAAGAAATGTGTCGGTATTCAATCGGGTGGTGTTGATGAGGCGAAGGGAGCGACGGATGGGCGAGGAAGAGACAAGAAAGTCCAAGTCGGAATATTTAAGAAAGTTTAAAAAGGGAGGTGAACTCTCCTATTGTCCAGCAGTTATTATCGGGAAGGAATTCAATGGGGTCTTGCGGTCCAGGCTGATGGCAAGGCAAGCAACTGGGCGGCGCGACCTGGAACACTCCACCCGCTGGTGTGCGACGGACGGTTGGACATCCAATGCTTGGCGAAATAAATGGGTGGTCAAAGCGCCCAGAAGTTCCACACCGCCTAAAGGTTGAAGTTCTATTGCCGGACCGGCAACTGTAAATTGGGTCTAGCTCAGTGGCCTTGCACCCCTGGCTTACCAACGTCATCGCATGTGCAGCAATGGAGCTTCCCCGGCCGGCCGGCGCGCCGTGATTTTGTAAGTGGGCCGATTTTCTAGAACTGGAACCCGGTCTCAGGTCCCGACTTTCACTCGGCCTCGGCGTATCTCCCCCGAACTCACTACCCTCACCATCGATTTCATCCAGTCTGTGCAACATCGTATTCTCCACAACCTCATCGCAGTTCTTGCTTCAACCCGGAAGATCAAGAAGACAATCACAGCCATAATGCTTCGCCCAGCAACCCGTCCAGCCCTCGCGGCCACCAGACAAGTCCGGCAATGCGCCGCGCGCTTCCTCTCCTCCCCGGCCTCACCTGACACCAGCTCCTCGAGCGTCAACAACGCTTCCACAACTCCCAGAACCAACTCAACATCACCACCACCAAACTCCAAGTCGTCGTCGACAAATTCCAAGGGTAAAAAACCCCTCACTGCCGAGCAGCGTGAGTTCCTCTCATCCGCCCTGCGCGTCAACCAGGCCGGTGAGCTAGCCGCCACCCTCATCTACACGGGACAGACCCCGCCGCTTGTCACCCGGGACCCCTCGCTGCGTCCGCTCATGAAGCACATGTACGACCAAGAGGCGGCGCACCTGCGCACCTTCAACGATCTGATCTACCGGCACCGCGTGCGGCCCACGGCGCTGTACCCGCTTTGGTCGGTCATGGCCTCGGGATTGGGCTGGGGAACTGCTATGCTGGGCAAAGAGGCGGCCATGGCGTGCACCGAGGCGGTTGAGACGGAGATTGGCGGGCATTATAATGCGCAGATCCGCAGGCTGCTGGAGATGGTTAGTGAGTGGGAGGCCGAGGGGTATGAAGTTGGGGCCGAGTTTAGGGATCTGATCAACACGCTGAGGAGGATACGGGATGAGGAGCTGGAGCATCTGGATCACGCGGTTGAACATGATGCGCAGAAGGCGGAGCCGCATTGGTTGTTGACGGGAGTGATTAGGGCGGGGTGCAGAGGAGCTATTTGGGTCAGTGAAAGGGTGTAGTAGGAATGGGGTTCGTCTTTGAAGTTGGAGGTCAACGGGAACGTTAATTCATGGGTAGCATTGTGTCGACAAACACAGCGAAGTTTGTTGGGGCAAGCTCCAAGGAGCATCCGCAGCATGCTCTGAAAAGCACGGATAACAGACAGGTCCGTTTGTATTATTAACTTATCGGGAGGCAGGCTTTGAAGCAAAAGATGCGAAGGCACCGTTCAGAATACTCTTTCGCTTACTCTTTCCAGGCACCCCGACGACAAGACTTGATCACAGACGATCTCTTTCGTACGCTTCACCACTTCGAGAATGTCTCTTGGGGGAAGCTCATGTGAAAGATACAAAGGGCGGTATCTAGGCCTCCCTTCTATCCTATGTGCGTTGTTCACGGAGTTTTATAGGGCTTGGAGATGGCGACACGGACAATTGGAATTATGGGCTGCATTACAAGTATGAAGTTGCCGTGACTTTGGTTTCAGATCCAGTTACCCTCGTGGCTGCTGCTCCGGTCGGCGGTAAGTGACACTTGCTTGGGTGAATTCCCCATGTCGACAACATCAGCGCTTTCGTTAATCTCGTTTCGTCTCAAAGCGCAACATAAAGGATTTAGGATTCAAATGGCGTGATCTTCTTGGGGAAGGGGGTTTGAGTATCCGATTGAGGACCTGGGAGGACTGGAGTGAGGCTCTTAGCCGAACCCGGAGGAAAATGAGGTCAGTGACACGACGATCACATTGTGCTGAGGGCCTTGATAGGGGCTCGCCCCTCATTAACAGGAATGTGCCGGTGAATTCTGGAGCAAGTGATAATGCAACAAAACATATGGAGCCGGCCGAAGATGCAATCGTCAGCCTATCCTTGACGCACAAAATAAAGTAGAAAGAGGGGTTCGAACGGGAGAAAAGATAGGTTCCATATCTTTTTGACGGAGATGGGAAAACCACTCGTTGTATTTCACCACTCAACACCATACTTCCGAGCCATTCCCGACCGTGATGATCTGTGCCTCACTCACCAGCATCACTGTCATCACTATCACCGCGCGGGGGCATCACATACTCAATCTGACCAAAAAAATAAAATGAAAAATGAACAGAAGCATAACATCACCTTATATGCTTTTGCCCCGTCCATATGATAATGATAGGTGGTGCAATGGAGAGTAAGAGAGCGAGCGTAAGTGATCATCAGTCACAGTGACCAAACCCACGTGGTCTGTTTGATCATTTCAACCACTCTCCACACAAAAACACGCACACACAGAAAATAGGATCATCATATCGATGTGATGTTCACTTGCCGTAAAAACCACCCACACACATCACAACACCACCTCGTCACACAAAACCATTAGTGTAGAGTCTAACATTCTCCTCATGCCCCTGTCCCATGGGACATGCCCCCCTGTCGCGCCCAGTAACAATGCGCCGCAACCCACCCAGGCTCGCCAGGCCACCGTCCACTCCTAACCCATCACTGTGATTCTCCCCTGAAACGATCAGGTACGCTAGCATTTTGAGGTTTCTGATTGGCCAGAAAGGCATAAAGGCTCACAACTCCCGGCGCTTGCAGACATGTTAGACACATTGTCACCAACCAATCAGAGCGGGGATTCGGTCGTTTCGGTTGCCGCTTTGGATTGATTGGGGTCTGGACGACTGGTGTACCTGTTGAACAATTTTTTTTGCCTTTTGGTGTTTGGGAAGATTGCTGGGAGGGAGAGACTGGAAGTAGGTTTCGCTTGGAATTATTGAGGACTCGAGGGAGTTACACGTGGGACTTGGAGCGGCGGCGGTGGCGGTAAGAAAAGGACAGGAGAGGACGGATGCAAGTATGAGGACCAGGCCGCCGACCGCCGCTGGCCACTCCTATGGGCATGGACTCGGGAAGGCGAGAAGCCGTTCTTTAATATAGCAATGGAAAGACAAAGTGCCGAATGCAACAACAGTTCAGTGATGGGATTTGTTGATTGTGTGTGGGACAACATGATAATCGACTAGGTTCAACCAGGCACGCCCAGGCACAGTAGTAGGGGGGATTAGACGCAGGCGAATCTCGGCGTCACACAACGACAGGTGAAGATCTCGTCCGCATTGAAAGATTGGGCATCGTCAGATCACGGTAGGGTACGGGGCATTGGGTCCTTTTAAGCTACTACAATACGCTAAACCTAGCAGATACACTAGATCCTCTGGACTCTTGGAGAGGCAACCACTGAGCGAGTGAGAAAGAAAAGAGGGCCTGTGGTGTTGACCATTAACGTTGCACATATACATCTCTTGGGAGTAGGAGTAGCCGCCGAAGCACATCGCGTCTATACAATACATATCCACCTACCACCTACACTTTTACCTCCCAAACGCCCTGTCTTTTTTTTTTTTTTTTTTTGGTCACGCCTCCTTCCCGATTCCGTTCCATTTTTCTCATTCTCGCATTTCCTCTTCCCACTGTCATACCATCCATCACCCGACTTTGACAGTCGCGCGTCGCATTTCCTATCGGTTTTCGACCTTGCTTGCCGGGCAACGCAAAAAAGTGGTCTCACCTCATCCGATATTGACCCCTTCAACACACCAGACCGACATCTCACTGTAATCTCATCACTACGAGGCCGGGCCTTTGGAATAAGAGACAACAGTGGCAGTCGTATAAAGGGAGGAAGAGAACCCCCATCAACCACGGTCATGTCGTCAAACGCCAACTACGAGCCGGATGCGAACCCCGGAAGCGTCGGTGCTGGTCCAATCATGGGGGACGATGGAAGTATCGCTGGTGCGTCCGGGACGTCGACGAACAACGTCGGGCTATCCCAAGGTGGTCTGATTGCCATTATTGTGGTTGTTTGTGTCGTCACCATATTCGGTGGTAAGTTTTCCTCTAGGACACCAGAAATACCGCATGGACCGAACAAGCAATTGACACAATCCCAACAGTCAGCAGCGCAGTTCTCTTCTTCATGGCGAAGAAGCATGAGTGGAAGGTCAGGGAGACCATCCGACGGTCGGCAAAGAGGGTCGTCACGGCTTTGACACCACGACGCAGCGAGTTCCCCAGATCAGTCAAGGGATCTTTCCGATCAACCCGATCTCAACATAAGGGCCGCGTGAGGATCGATGATGTGCCACCAACACCCCGCATTAAACCCGAACACCTGGATTTGGAGAAGGGCTTGGAGAAGCCGGAGAAGTCGGGAAAAACACGCATCAACTTTAGCCGCAAGTGAGCCGGTGTGGCAAACTAGGGTAGTAGATTGGAGGACAGCACGAGTTGAGATAAATAATGAACCATTTGGTGACGAAAATGGCAAGCTTGGGGTATATTTTGGGTATCGCTTGGTCGCGCGAGCCTATTGCTTTGCGACTCATATTCGGAAAGAGGAAACGCCGTAGACGGTAATGATGGTTTTCAGCCGGTTCACCACGGCCTGGGGAGTTGATATGAAAGATACCATGACTTCTTCACATGTATGATATATAGGGTTGGACCGATAGGGTTCTGGCGTTTTACAGTCGTCTAAAGGTGTTCGTGCTCGCACTTCTCCTCCCATCATCTCTCCTCCGTTTTGGTGCCGCCTCGGGCTCGGCCTGCTTCTTCTTCTTGGACTCGGGCACGAAAGTGATCTTCTGCTCGCCGACCACGTCCGTACGGGTCTTGGTGACGCGCCCAGTCTTGGGGGCTCTTTGGCCGAATGCCGTATCCTTCGCCTTGCCGCCCGCGATCTTGGACGACGAAACCTGCATGACCACATCATCCTTGCTCTTCTTCTTCCGAATGTCCTCGACTTCGCTCTCGGGATCGCTTTCGTCATCGCTGTTGCTGGTAACTGAAGAGTCGTCCTTGACGTGCTGTACTGCAACTTCTTGTCCGCCAACCTGGGTGCTGGGGTTGAGGGCCCTGAATTCGTAGGACATCTCATCGACCTTGAACTCCTCATCCTCGAACAGCTTGCCGAAACGGTCATCGCCCAAGACACCAGCGGCAATCTTCTTCTTGTCGGAACGATCCACGATCTTGTCGACAAGCTTCTGGTTGACCTTGACCTTCTTGACACCTCTGATACGACTCTCACGGGCCTTCTCAACCTTCTCCTTGACGCGCTTGGCCCGCTCCTCTTCCCAAACATAAGGGTTGGCAATAAGACGAGCCTGATCGTACAGCTTGGAATGTACAAAGTAACCGTGCATGTACGGGCGCAACAGGTTGGTCTTGCCAACCAAGTGAGCCAAGCTGAGCTGCTTGAGTTCGGGTATCGTAAGGAACTTGTAGTTGTCGTATGTGTCGACGCGCTTCTCGTTCTCCATTTCGTGCACCATGTTGTCGAGGAAATGGCACCACCTGGGAGCTAGGCCGAGGTTGGGAATAAAGAAACTGTGCATTTGCTTGCCCTCGTTCGCGGTCAATAACATGCCGGAATCGGGGACATGCGCCACGTGGTTGATTTCGACGGTTGGTTCGATCGAGGTCCAAAGGTCGCCAGTCTGTTCGTCCCAGAGCTTGATAATTCTCTTGTCGGCCGTAAGAAGCTTCTTTTCCTCGGTAGGAGTCGTCAAGTGGATGATGTTCTTGATGGGAAGACCCATGCCCTGATCCTTCTTCATAAGCGGGCGAGGGTTTCTCATGTCGAAAACTTGAACAATACCCGTGCTTGTTCCGAGCGCAATGGAGAGGCCGTCCCTGCTGTAATCCAATGCAGTAACCTCGCCTTCCTGGCCACCCAAAACAGCGACGCGATTCCTGCTGCGAGGATCGTAAAATTCGACTGTGCCAATGCTTGTTCCAAAGGCGCAAAGACCATGTGTAGACTCGGCGACCGTCGCGACATTGACCGCTCCGACATGGATGCTGCCCTGAAGACCAGCACCGGGCGCATCTTCACCAACATCCACCTGCCATGGCCTCAAAAACTGGCCGCGCTCCAGATCAAGGCGGAAAACCTCACCCAAGCCAGAACCATCTGCGCTCAAGCCGACAGAGGGAATGAGCACTTCTGTACTTTGGCGAAGATATGCGAGGTCTCTGCCGAAACGCGGGAGCCTGACTTCGTAGTGGCATCCCATGGGGGTATGGAATTCGATCGAACGGTCGGATTGGAGGTGTACGCTCTTGGTGTAATCTTGGCTGAGCATGAGGAAGGTGGTGTTTTCGGATTTTGTGTGGCGAGCGAAGGACAGCGACAATTCCTGGGTGTTGTGAACGTGGAACTGGGGCTTGTAGGTACCGGAGCTCATGATCCAGTTGCCATCTTCACTGACGCGGACGCAGTTACTAGCCTCCTCGAAGTCGAAGTTTTGGAGGAGCTCGAAGTTGTTGAGTTCTTCGGGTTCATACTTGGCCGATCTCTTTCTGCGGCGGGCGAGCCATTCTGGAAGGGGTCGGGCAGTCGACGGCCCAGATACGGTGTATCTGCATAGGTTGTTAGCATTTCACAACAGGTTTCTGATTCCACGGAAAATTAGACATACACTGGCACCGCGCCGGGATTTGTCAACTTCATGGTGGGTGGTGTTGTTGGTGGTGATGGATGGGGCAAGGATGCAAGATGCTGGAGAAAGAGAAAGCTTCAAGGGAATCTGCTGAAGGGAAGTTTTGGAGAATAACCCTAACCCGTATCTGAACTTTTTTGCGGCAGAAAATCTGCGAAAGTTTTGAGGAGGCGCCATCATGGCCAAAAGAGGAAGGCGGACAAGAACCGGTGATAAAGCGATAAGGCGATAAGCTTGACAGACGGGAGCTTCCACTTGACCTCCGGGCGTCAGCACTCAGCACTGCACTGGCAGGCATGGATTGATAGTTGGCGGCAGGGTCTTTTTCGGTGGGTCATTGCCCAGGCTGTGGATAATGTGGGTCACCCCCGTCGCTGATCCGAACTGGCTGTTCGCCTTGTCGCATCGGCATCCCGAACTGAAACCCAACTGCAACTTTACTGGACCTCGAGCCGACCGACCTCCATGCCCGTGTTGTTCAAACGAAGTGAAATCACGATTACTGCCTGCCGTCACCGTATTCGTTCGTTAACAACCAACTGGACCCCCAACTGCTGAACCAGAGACTCCATCCTTCGGTCCCAACCTAGACAAACATCGAATCCCATCCGATACCATCGCATTCGTCAGCAACTAAGAAACGCGACCGACCCCCATCCCCCGCCTTTTGCAGCTCCCATCTCCGTCCCAACCATCTCCCGAAACCCACAAATGACCTTGTGGGCGCATCGTCGGTGATTCGCGACGGTTCGCGCTGCTGTTGGACAGGGGCCTTGTAACTTGCTGCCATGGAGTCCAGCATCCCAACGACGTATCCGTACCACTACACATACAGCTTAACAAGAAGACAACAACTACCGAGTCCATCATCCATGCTTGAAGCACAAGCTCAGCTCCCACAGCTTCCAGTTCCACTTCCACTTCCGAGCGCCGCCACAATAGACTTCTTTCATCTCAACAACAACACGCCATCCCACCATCCATCCGGTCACCGTCACCGGCCTACATGCGCCCAGCACCCACTTCGCTAACACGACATCTCTGCGCCTAGTGCATGGTCACTACGACTTTTGCGACTCCGCCTACAAAGGCATCTCTATTTCAGATATGGACACTGGCGACTATGATACCAATACCTTGCTAATTGTATGCTGGCCTGCCTTCTCCTCGGACCGTCCGCCCTCCCTACTCACGCGTCTCTCTTTGCAGAATAATCTTTCCGCCATTGCCTTTCGCGTTTACGAACCCGTTGCCGCCAACACGGCCTCTTACACCTTTCAGCCGCAGGTCGTCGAAGATGCCTTGCGCCGCGATGGCCACCTTGTCCACGTCGATACAACTAGGCGATGTATATGGGTATTTTACCTGACCACCAAGGATGGCTCGTCACTGGGACCCGAGGAAAGAGGGCTCACCGCCAAGATGGAGGTCTGCGGTTATTCGTTAGGCTTGTCTGGAGAAGGCAGCTTTGAGCCCAGCAGCTTGTTCAGAAGCAGGCAGCTCGGGACAAACTCTCTCAATACTCCAAACAGCTCGTCATCTGCTGGTTCCGCCGTTGACCCAACATTTCGGAATCCGCAGGCGTCGGCCTTCCCCACGGCAGCAGGAGGAGCTATGGCCGGCGCACCGGCTGTGGACAACAAAGCTGCATCGCATATAATGTTGGACTCGGATCGCTTCGCCCATGTGCCGATTAAAGAGAAATACGACTTCTTCATCACTGCGACCCTGGCATCTCTGTCCTCCTCGTTATGCCACACGATAGGAGCAATCCCGCTGGATCACAGGTCGATATTGCTTCCCAACCAAGCCTACTACTTGGACGAGTTCATCATAGGCCCGAAGCCTCATAATTCCGCCTTGGGTACTTTTCGCGTGTACCTTACATCGACCGGGACCCTCGTCATTTCTCTTTCCGTCTCTTTGCTAGAGGGACTCGCATCGTTTGCGGAGCTGGCGCGGTCGAATATGCTTCCATCCAATCCAGTCGTGCTTGCTGCCCCCCTTGGAGCATTCGGTTCCATGATGAACCCAGTGGATGGAGACTTGTATGGACTTGATAGCGGGTATGGCCAATCACCAGACACCCAAATCAGTCGCCTAAGGCCGGATCCAACCGATAGGCTCTCACAATGGAAGGCAACTTGTTGCAAAGTACTGCAAATGCGTGGTATATCACCCTCGCTGATCAATGGCTGCTCCTGGTTCAACGTTCATTTCCTGCAGCGAAAACCATACGAACACAGGCAAGACGCCAAGAGAGCTCCTCTGATGCACCCACCTCAAATCGCGCCTTGGCCATCGGTGCTTTGCTTTAGAAAACCAAGGATCGATGTTGGAGCTGATAAACGTTCATCCAAGGCATTGGCGGCGAGCACATCCGACTCGCTAGACCCGGTGGATGACGCGAGGCAATGGTGCCAAGGATTTCCTGAGCGAGAAGAGACCATCGCAAAGCGAAAGAAGGAAAAGGATGAGAGGGAGGTGCTGGCAGCCGTGTCTCGCAGTATTGCTGATGCTGATTCAAATAACAACCAGATCAATGCTGCGTCGCCTATGGCGCTGCGCCGGCCAAGCAATGGCGGGGCCATAACCGCTTCCAGCGCAATGTATCCGACACCTCCAGACGGAATTCAACCCTTAGGCATGGCTTCCTCTGTCGAGACGGGCTTTGCTGCCAGTCCTGCAAATCAACCCCAGCTCAATTCGATGGGTGGCATAGATATTGTGCTGCAGAACAATGCCCCCCATGTCCAGAATTTTGGCAATGGCTGGGAAAGCGGCGAGATCAAGCGGGAGCAACAGGCCGGGAATCTTCTGGAGGGCGACAATATGTTCGGCGACCTCGGAGAAGACATGTTCGAGGGCAATGAGCTTACCGACGCCGACTTTAACTTCTTCGATGAACAACTCAACGAACAACCCGAAGGTGTCGAGATGAATCTCGCCACAATACCAGAGATGGGAACAGCAATGGATTTGTCTGCTGATACGGGCCAACCAACTAACTCAGCTCCCCAAACTAGCGACAGAGTGGAACAATACAAGACAATTCCGCAACCAGCGCCGCCAGAATTCACCAAACCCGAGCTTAAACATGCACGCAGTACTCTCGCTGAAGGAAGTCGACAACAAGCAAACCAAGAAAGCTTCAACCGTAATTCCACGATAGGAATCAAAAGACAGTCCAGCCCCTTTAACCGAGAGACTGTGTACAAGCGAATCAAGGCGTCGCTTCGACCGCCGCCGAAACCTCGATCTCCCAGTACAGCAAGTTCTCAGCGACGAAGGAGTATATTTGAAAAGGTTGATTTCGACCCTTCACTGTCGCTGGTTAACAAAAAGTATACCGAGAACGGCCCCTTTAATTACATGGTTCCGGCCGTACAAGAAATGCAAAAAACGCGATTAGAACTGCGGAATCCTTTGGTCACGAGAGTCGAGAAACCTCCCAAGGAACCTCCAAGCAACTTCGGGGCTCTTCTAGCGAGGATAGCTCATGGGATCGGTGGTGGTTCGACAGGCCGTGAGGAAATTGCGTCAGAGACTGATGACTCTAGTTGGGCGTCCGATCGAGACGATTCGAGCGACGAGAGCGATTACGCGCCGTCTCTCGCCAAGTCAGGAATATCAAGGCGACGTCTAGATGACGACGTCCTCTCGACTGCTGCTTCTTTCAAAGACCTTGAAAATGTTGTGGCAGATACACCAGCATATGGGTCGATTGATTTGGCTCGGCTGTCTCATCCCGAGGTGCCCGAGTTTTCTATCGCCAAATACTTTGCAGATCCAGAGCCTGCGCGGCTTCATGTCTCGTGTTCTGACATGGATTTTATTACCATTGCTCAAATACTTACCGAGCAAGTAGCGACCGGCTCGCTACAAGTCGCTCCCAAAATTCTGAACCGGAAGCCCCAGGAGGTACGCAAAACTCTAGCCAAAGCAGTGCGGTACTCCATGCAAGGGTTACGGAAGGCTCTGCCACGGTCACTGGCCGATGCGGTCGAGTGTTCGCTCAAACCATTCGCAGACGTGCAAGATGTGCCTTTGATAGCACTGGCACAACCACAGCGTATACAAGCCAAACCCATGGGGCAAGAAATGACAACTCGAAACATTTATCCGATAACAACACCCCATATAGAAATCCGCCGCTATGAAACCCCCTTTTCGATGCTACCCACAGCTATTAGCTTCTGGGAAAGTTTGGGCCTCAGTCCGGCCAAAGGCACCAAAGATATTGTTTCAGTCTGCGTGTTTCCAAACATTGACGGGATAAGGGACAGCGCTTCTGCCTTTTTGCAGCGGATCCGCAGTGTTTACGAATCCCTGAAGTTGGGAACGTTTGATATCCTCCCAGCTGTTATGGAGCTTGAGGATGGACTGCTAGCATACATGTCGACCCCGCAACCAGCTGTTCGTGACGAATGGTCTATATCGCCGTTTGATGGACCCATGAGCTGCCTCGCAGATGCTCTAATGAGTGTCCAGATGACGGACAAGAACTATGTCGTCTTTTTTGTCTACCCAGATGACAGGCCAAGTTCGGTCGTGGAAACATGTGCCGCCTTTCACGATCTTTACGAGCGTTACAAGAGGTGTATGGCAGACAACAGGAAGCCGATCACGAATGAGCTGGTTCTTCAACTGGTACCGCTTGGTTCCATTGCCTCGGAAACAACTGTGACGGTGATGTCTCCTTTCGACTACATCAAACTGTGTCTGGAAACCTACGATCGCTGTACACTCTTCGGCGGGCCCATGCCAGCGCCTGCCATCGTCCTCGAGCCACAGGTCCTGCGGGCGATCGACTTCAAACTCAACACAAACCCATCTCCAAATCTCCTCCAGGAAAACTCATGTATGCACGTCGCCTATGCGCAAAGTGTGGACGAACGGTGGATTACTGCCGCCTGGACGGATTATCGAGGAACAAGGCAGATGACCACATCATACTGTCTCGGTAGGCGAGACAGGCCACTGACCAGGTCCATAATCGAGATCATACAGCAGATATGGGAGACCACCATGGACCACATACACTTTGCACGGGTACATTGGCGGGTTGTCGTCACCAAATGCAGCCCCATGGAACAACAGGAGATCGAGTTCTGGGCCAACCTGCAACAATCCGAAAGCTATGCGAATGTCAGCCTGACGCTTCTAACCGTCGACACCAACCCTTCGCTACAACTCATTCCGCCAGCGCAAAGAATCCAGATCCCATCCGCTGCTCTCTCCTCAAATAGCCCCGCTTCAACACCCCAAGCTTCGGTCCTCTCACCCGACCAAGGCGGCCTGGGTCCACCAACCCCGATCGGCACCGGCCCCAGTAGCAGCACCAACGCCGCGAACGACAACACCACCAATAACAACACCACCGACTCCGACGCCGACTCCACCCTCGTCGACCAATTAGACATGACATGGGCCGTCATCGCCGCTCACCGCCTCAACAACTCGACCTCCCTCACCGAACTCAACCACGCTTTGGCCAGCGGCTATCTCGTCAAGAGGGGCGGCCTAAAACTGGAGGACGTGCCAGTAACAATGGAAGTGAACGTGATCCACTGCGAAGGGACAAACATCCCGCAGCCGCATCAGTACCCCAGGGTCTACGAGATTCTGCTCAAGGAGATGCTGTCGCACTTTCGCGGGCTGGGCACGCTGGCGAGGGCGAGAGGCGTGGTGGATCGCGAGACGGATGTTAGGCCGTGGCATATTGCGGCAGCGGAGAAGGCGGTTAGGGCGCTTTATTTGTTGATGTGAGAGGTTGTTGGGAGGTCCCTGTGGTGGATGGATGGATGGGTTGTTCTAGCAGGGGCACGTTGTATAAAAGGATGTCAAGATGGAGAGAGGTCGTCAATAGGATAGATGACCTTGAGCGTGTTATGACTGAGTAGAGGAGTAAGTAGGTTGCCAAGGAAATTCTATGAAAAGGTTAAGTGAGCAATAAGGATTGATTGGTTGACGAAACCTGGGTTCTGTTTGTTGTGTACAAGCAAGGCATTGAACCAAAGCAATGCAATGCAAAGCAAAGCAATGCAATGCCAAGCAAAGCATATCCACGATGGCTGGTTGTCGTGGACGGGCGCAATTTAGGTTTTTGTTTTGCGTAACACGGTTATGGATAGGGACTCTATGTGTCAAAACGAACAACGGTACTGGAAGAAGGATTTACCATAGGTACCTATCTATATAGCAGCTGTATCAAAGCATTTCTTAACGTTACCCCCTTTACGTGATTCCGGCCTGGTTCTTGGAGGGATTTTAAGCAGCACTGCCTTCACACCTTTGTTTATTTGGCAATGAAGATGAGCCATAGCTGAAGGCACTGATTGGCCAGCCAGTTAAACTAGACACCAAACCATACAACCGGATGAGTGTATGTATATCACATCAACTGGAGGTGTAAAACCATGTTGTTGAACTTGTATGAACTTGATACAAAAAGGATATCTATGCCGCTTATCTATAACGCAACGCTAAGTCTACGTGCGCTTTTCCATCCCAATCCTGAAGAGCCCTTCCCGTGTCTATAGCCCAATTCGTTCCCATCACTATCATGGCAGAAGATTTCATGAATATCTTCATTCCCGCTTAACCCCCTTTTGTAACCCAGTCACACTCTACTTCTCCTCCCAGAAGCCAGGGAAGAGGAACTCAACCCTCTTCATAGCCTCAGGATCACGGCCCTCGGGCTTAGTCATGAACTTGACCGCGCCCTGGGCGCTACCCTGCCACTTCTTGGCCAGGACCAAGTCGCTATTATCCTGCTTGAGCAGCTCGTCCAAAACCGCACCAACGAGGTGCTTGGCGTTCTCGCCGTTGGCAGCCATGTACTTCATGACCATGGCGACATCCACATCCTCGCCGGCCTCGTCGCGCCAGCAGTCGTAATCGGTGGCCATGCAGATCATCTGGTAGGCCAACTCGGCCTCGCGGGCCAGCTTGGCCTCGGGCAGAGCAGACATGTTGATGACGCTGCCGCCCCACGAGCGGTACATGTGGCTCTCGGCGCGGGTGCTGAAGGCGGGGCCCTCCATGCAGATGATGGTGCCCTTGTTGTGCAGGACAACACCGTCGCCCTTCATGGCGGAGGCGCACTTCTCAACAACAGCGGCAAGGCCGGCGTCAAAGGGGTCGGCAAAACCGACGTGTCCTACAACGCCGCCCTCGTAGAAGGTGAAGGGGCGGATGCCCTTGGTGCGGTCGATGATCTGGTCGGGGATGACGAAATCCATGGGCTTGATCTCCTCGCGCAAAGAGCCGACGGCGGAGAAGGCGATGATGGTGCGCACGCCGATGGAGCGCAGGGCGGCAATATTGGCGCGGGCGGGAACCTCGTGGGGAGCCAGCTGGTGGTAGAGGCCGTGGCGGGCGAGGAAGGCGACGGCGTGGCCGTTGTGCTCGAAGATCATAAGGGGAGAAGAGGGAGAGCCCCAGGGAGTGACGGGGTTGAGGGCGGCGACGGGGACGTAGCCCTCGAGTTTGGAGAGGCCGGTGCCGCCGATGACGGCGATGTGGACGGGGCCTGTTGGAAGAGAAGCATGGTTAGCTGTGGCTCTTCTTGTTCCTTACTTTTTGTCCGTTTCTTGAACCGTATCGGTAGAGACAGTCACTACAGGGCAATTGGCGCTGGGAACGACCATAGGGTAACCTGAATCAAAGGGAAAGATGACGACGATGTTGACTTACCATCGTAGGTGGTGGGAAGGTTCTCCATTTTGGCAATTGGGTATATACGAAAACTGAACGCCGGGTATATATGCAGAAAAAGGAAAGAAAGAAAGGGAAGAAACGGGTATCAAGAAGCAGACAAGACAGAAAAGAGAAGATGTGTAAGCGCACGCAATGAGAACCCCCCGAACCGAATTCCCTCGCTGTACACGACTTATCGCTCTGTCGTCCCGGCTGCCGTATCACCTAATTTTTTGGATGATACCCCTCGATGGAGCCGATAAGATAAGGAATTATGCCAGGGACGGGCATTGAAGCATGCGACGGAAGGAGCATGGGTCTTTGCAAAGCAGAAGTCTTGGCGTTTCGGTTTGTCAGTTTGAAGATGCTCCACCTTTGAAAATCCATTTGCGAACCACTTTGCCTGCCGCTGACCAATGGCCATTGCTCTTGCCTCGATTCTTGTGAACTTCAGAGAGCTTCTTTCACTTGCATTTGATTCATCAGTTCTGTCTGAGCACTGAGTAGTGTGTTCGGCCCTTTTCCCATTTTTCCACATCTCTCATTCGGAGTTGGGATTACTGGCTGTTTCTTATCGAACTACAACACCATAACACACCGGTTCATAGCCTTACAACACAATACCGGCCCAATATCTCAGCATCTTAATACATTAGACAACTACTATCCCGTGTCGCCTCACTTATTCGAAGAACCCCGGTCATCTAGGTGCTCGAAACCCCGAACCACACCAACCTCTCATAGACCTTTTCCGACAACAACACTTCTGAAAGACATAACATCATCTTGCCGCCAGAACATCATCATGGCGTCGCCTACCGCGTCCGAGGGCGCTGTGGCGGCTGACCATCGCCCTGCTCTCACGGTCGAGGAGCTCTGCTTTGCCTCTGCCATGAGCTGCTTTGAGGGGTGGCTCAAGATGGACCCTGCCATCGGCCCCCGTACCATGTCCTATGTGACCAAGTTTATTTCCAGGACTTTGGAAAAGACACACAACCTAAAAGAAGTCAGGTGAGGAAAATCTTACTTATATCAAGGTTCATGACACTAATACCTGTCTACAGAGAAACCCTCTCGAGGAGTGTGGAAGTATGGGTGTGGCTCACAAAGTCCTTCGCCGCCGCGCTTCCTAGCCTGACAACGCGGTCCATTGGTCCTCTGCAGAACCTCAATGACCCCGAAAAGGGCGTCACCCCCCAGGAGAGTACCGCTCTCATCACAAAGAACTATACCTCACTTAAGGAGGACTTGCAGTTGTTGATCAAGTTGATGCACATTGCGAGGAATCTGCTTGTCGTTCCCGAACCAGAGATTCCCCAGGACCTGTGCGCTGCTGCTCAGTTCGACAAGATGCTTTACCAGACAATCACCCTCTGTGTAAACGTCACTAGCAAGGCCTACGATGGCGATATCCTGGAGGAGACTGCACGTCACAAACTCAGCGAGATCACGGAATTGTACAAGAAACTCCTCATCACATGTCTACAGCAAGCCCACAACTGGATCGCTAAGAATGATCGGAACAAGATGTCGTTTTGGTCTGCCGTTCTTTTCGACGACGAGTCTGGCGAGGAGCAGCAGGATGCCGGTGCCCAGTTTGCCGATTTCCGCCCCGATTTCGCCAAGATGGAGGTTCACAATTGGATTGAGCGCAACTCCAGAATGTGCGACAAGGCTCGGCAGTTATTGGTGGATTATCAGCAGAATCTGGGGTCCAGAGGTTCCCCTCCTGGAGGTTTATCCGAAAATTCCGTCTTGTCGTGGAACTGGATGCCGCATGTTCGTCCGCGGGCCGACGATATCGGTCAAGAAACCAAGATCACGCCACAGTGGAAGGAGGACGAACAAGACAAGTTCGAACAAGACAGGCTTTACGGCCGCGTGTCAAGAGAAGTCGACACATGGTGGCTCAAGGTGCGGGATCCAAACTACGACGAATGGATCATCTCCATGCCTTCGGTCGAAAAGGCGCACCAGCTTATTGAGGGTTGCAAGCTTAGCTCGCTAAACCGCTATCCTCATTCGTATCGCAACGATGATCAAGAGGGCTCCGTCCACTCCGCCGAGAATGTTCAGATGCCCGAGCACCAAGGTCCAGAGGGAGAGGTCCGAGATGATCGTCACTACAACCTACCGGACTATAACGATGACATGATTGAGGACGAGGATGTCGATGATGATGAGTCGTATGGCGAGGGTCCTATGAGCGGCTTGCTCACTGAGGTTCCTAACATCCTTGATCCGAAGCAGATAGAGGCGCTTCACATGATTGTTAAATCCTGCATTCTCGACAGTGCAGGTATTTCACTCAGTCGGGCCGGCGAGAATCTACAGAAGACAAGGTGCAGAATGTTCCTGTCTCTCGAGTGCGGCAGAAGTCTGTTGCGTGAGATCTTGGTTTTCATCGCCGTGTGGGAGAAGAGTGAGCAGTCTCTTATTTTCCAGCTCACCACTCAGATTGTCGAGGCCATTCACCACAGTGCTTTGATCCCCTTTGCGTGGCAATCGTTGCGTATTCCCAAGGACATTATCTCGCCTGCCCAGACCGTCTTGCTTCGGTTGGTCAACAACATGTTCCGGACCCGTCTTCAGGATCCGATACAGCCAGGTTCCAAGGGGCACCTGCGCGACATCAAGCTCCTCCAGTTCCTTTACATTCAGTTCCGCACTCGCATAGTACCCGAGTGTACCGCTCTTATGCACCTCCAGACCCAGATTCGGAATGAGGTGTGCGATCCTGTCGACTTCCCTGTTGACAGCTGGGATATGGAGAGGGCCAAGGACGGTCTCCAGCAGTTCCTTGATCTGCTGATGACGGTGAATGAGCCCATGGAGTGGAGGACGTGCCTGATTCAGTGGGAAGCTGTGTTCGATCTTCTAGTACTCCTCAAGAGTCTTGAGTCTGCCGTGCCGAAGAAGCCCATGGTTGACCTCCCTGACCGCTCGGCCCACCGGCGCCCACCTCCGCCTCACGACGATGACCGGGACCATGACTACGACAGCGCCGATCCGCCTCCGCCCCCTCCTCCTCCCCCCATCCAGGAACATGCTCACAAGTTCCCTTGGGCTGGCATCAAGGGCCAGATTCTTCACATTATTGCTGGACTCTTGCAGCCGGAAGCTGGACGCAGTGGCCCCGGCAATCCTGTGGTGCAGAAGCAGATCCTCCAACACAATGGTATCATCAGCTTGCTGAACTGCTGCGTTTACGACGACCACAACAGGTTCGCGCGCGAACGTGTGCAGATCTGCCTCAAGTGGCTCATGGACGGCTCTGCTGAAGCCAACAAGGTATTGCACGACCTCGTAGCCGTCTCGCCACCGCCCAACCTCCAGCCTGCCCCCGACGCCAATGGGGTCAGCCAGCCCGTCCCTCTCCGCGTCGACGGTATCGCCGGCGAGGTCAAGGTCCGCGTCAAGAACCCTCAGTCATCCTCTTCCGCCCAGCAGCAACAACAACAACAACAACAACAACACCCGTCAGCGGCGTATAACCAATATCCCCCTCGCCCGTCAAGTGCAGCTAGCAACGACAGCAGGACAACCACCAACTCCAACACCAGTACCTCCAGCAGTCATGGCGACCACATCCACGACCACGACCATCGTTCAGCACAAGCAGCTCCAATGGCCATCAACACTCATATCATCGACGCCCAAGCAGCAATAGCCCCGGTCCGCGTCCACGGCCCTGCGCCCCCTCCACCACCCCCTGCTCCTCCCGCCGCGCTCACCCTCCCCTCGCTCGCTTCCCCTCTAATGTCCGTCTCACCCTCGGACTACGAGCGCTTCACCAAGGCGTACATGAACGCTTTGCCACCGCTGCACAGCGCCGCCACCGGTGTCCCTGGTGGACACCTCAACCATCCCATGATGCAGGCTGTTCGGAACCATGGCGGGAGACCGGAGGATCTGTTCAAGGATATCTTGACGCTGGCGGATGAGGCGGCCAGGTTGGCGATTGGACAGCCGCCTTTTGTATCGCCGAGTGGATCTCCTTACCACGGTGGGTCCGGGTCAGCCAGTGGTTCGGGTTCGGGCTCGGGCTCGAGGCAGAGAGATGCGGAGGAGACGGAGGAGGAGGATTTCATGTGAGGCTGTTGATGGGAGAAAGTGAATGGTCATTGTTGGGGACGGTGGAAGTTGCGGGAAAACAGAATTGGGTTGAGGGATTTGGTGTTTAATAGGTTTGGTCAATTGCATTCTTTCTTTCCTCTTAAGTAAGGTAGCATACAAAGGTGTACGTGGGTCTGTGTAATCTGCAATAGATCGGAAACAGGATAGGAGGTTTTACAGACTTCACTAAGGAAGCATGGTTAGGAAAACATCAAGCTCACAGATTCGATAGATGTCGTGCTTGTAAATTCCGAGCCGACTACGCCAGTACAATTGTGATAATGATAGGTCTTTCCAATGAGGCCACAGCTGACCAACAATGTTTCCAAGAAACACTTTTCCTTCCTCGCTCGCTGTTTACTATAGTATGCACAAGAAGAAAATTTTCCGACACCTCCACTGTTCACACCACTTCCACGTAACACCAGGAAACAATGAACCTAGTAATATCCAAAAACCTCCGAAACACCCGAATTTCCATGAAGTAACAACGTTGAATGGCCACCTATTTCACTTCACATAAGAAGCACATAAGATGATATCTCCTAGTTATCATCTCCATGTTGAGACTGAGACGGCGTAGACGAGTCGTCCGATGGGCGGTTCCATGTTCGGACATGACCGGACTTGCAACTCGTCACGATGCCGTCCTTGGTGAAGTCAAGCCAGCAGAGCGGATCGTCATCAACAATCTTGCTCAAAACAGGTGGCAACATGGCCGTCCTCGCCCTCGGCTCCACGGGATGCGGTTCAACCTTTTGCTTTGGCGTGGTGGGCATAGCGTGTGTCTCCTCGGCAGCCACGGCGTCTCCCGAGCTCGATAGGTTCGAATCCGACCGCAGACGATTACTAGTCGTGGTGTTCTGCGTTTCGGCCCTCTGGAGAGATGCGAAACGGGACGAGAAGGAAGATCCTCGCTGTCTGACTGATGCCTGTGATTTCATCCGAAGGTTAGAACTATCGGATCGAAGTAGTTGTTCACCAGATGGAATGACTAGAGACACCACTTACAGCTTTGGGTCGGTGTAACATGCCGACACTGAAATCCCACAAGCATAACCGACAGTCCTCGCCAACACTGCCAAAGCGGTAGTTCTTCCCGTCGCACTGCCAGGGGTCAAAGGCCACCGAGGTTACCCACGAATGGTGGCCCTGGCACCTGGCGATGAGGGCAGATTCGGAGATACACCAGATGGAAATGAGGTCGTCCTGGCCGCCGGTGAGGACGTACTTACCGTCTGGCGACCAGCAGACGCACATGAGACCGCCATAGTAAGAGTAAAACAGGTCAATCAGCCTAGTGAGTTGAGGTTAGCTATCTGGGTGCATGAAATGAGGTACCTTAATGGAGGGAGTACTAACTCTTCCTTCAGATAATCGATTATCCTCAACGTTCCATCTTCCGAAACCACGGCAAGATGCCGGTGGTCGGGAGAGCAGGCAAACGCGTTGATACGATGGTTTGAAAGCTTCCACACAGCCACTGGGTTCGCCTTCTGGTTCTTTGAGTGGACTGATTTGTGGACATGGATCTGGTTGGTGTAGTTGCAGCCCTTGACGCCGTTGGGAACCCCAATGCTTTCCCCACTGGCGCGAGTGGCTGCCTCGTCTTCCGGCGAGAAACTGGAATCTTCCTTCTCTTTATCGTACACGACTAATGTTCCATCCATGTGCGCTGCCAGAAAGAGATTCTCTGATCCGGGGATCCATTGGATCATGGATACCGGTGTCTTGTTGATGAGGCCCTTCTTGTTCAGACGAGTGTACCCGTTGTGATATGGGCTCACCAAATTATTTCGCCAGTTGAAAAGCCCATAATCACGTCAATGTGTGACGAAGTCTTGGTCAACCTGTTAACATCGTGGCAGAGACAATGAGCTTTGGTGAAAAGAATTTTGGTCAAGTAGTCGGCTTTTGTGGGTGAAGAGAGATCCAACCACTGAAAGGCTCGGTTGATGTTGGCAAACGCGAAGAGGCCGTCGGCTGGTCGATCATTTAACTTCTTGTGTAGAGACTCGTGAACGATAACTCTGGAAATAAACGAGGAATTGCTTTTTGTCATGCTGTTCTTCGGCTTCTTCCGCTTATTGTCCTTTGAGTTTGTCTGAGTCAAAAGCGTGTTCCCTTCGCCAAATGCCGGTGTATTCGAGAAGATAGCCCCGGCATCGCTAGAAGCGGCACGGGCGCCCTCGCTGCTCCCACGCACACCGGAAGATGACCGGCTTTCATCTGGATGTTCTTGGATGCTCTGCTGGACGCCATTTGCTCGAGAACCGACCCTAAACAAGCCCGGCGGTGGAGGACGGATATCGAGGTTGACAACAGAAAGGCTCGTGCCGGCAGTGGCAGGTTGCGGAGTCGTCGCGAGAGGATTCGGATTGATGATTGGAGCTTCGGATGGATGTGGTGGGGGAGTTGCAAGATGTAGGTCTTCCTTGAGCGTGTACAAGCCCTCTCCGACCAGGAATTGGTACTCGGGCCCTGAGGGGTGGGATAGAATATTGTTGGTCTCTATCATGGGCGCAACATGGCCAGGAACGAGTCCGTATCCCGCCTGGCTTGGATACCTCGGCGGTGGAGGAAGGACACTATAGATGGAATACGTGATATCAGCCTGCATGCTCCGTGCTTTCTGGTTTTTTGTGTCTCTACGGCTACGTCTTGTTTGTGTGGGGGTTTGTGCTTTGCGCTTTGTCCTCCGACTTGGGTATAACAAGAAGTGGCAGCTGGCGGGTGTATCTCTTCTTATCTCAAGAAACTGAACAAGGTAGGTTTGCTTACAACATGGCTGCTACTGCGGACTCCAGCTTGTCGGCTTACCGCGCTTTATGGCGCTAAAGTCAACAACTTCGACAACTGCTGTTCGCTGGGATAGCCTGGAGAGGCGTCTGGGCGGACTTTGGCGTATGCGGTTTGTCTTGGCCGCACGCAGGCGCAAAGTCGCAAACAGCAGGTGGTCGGCAAGCTGGGCTACAAGAGGTCAAAGACACGAGGATTGGGGGGTTTTGGAATGGATTGGGCGAGGGCGATGGTGGTGTCGTCGGCGAGTGAGAGGTTCGGGGTGGTCGAGAAATCGAATCCGACTCGTTGTCGCAAGCGGGATGCCAAGATGGATGGGAATGTGATGACACTTCAGCTTCGAGCAGCCAGAAGCAGGAGTTCGAGGATGAAGAAAGCTCAATGGGGAAAGCAAAGATAAGGAGATGACAGTATCCAAGAAGTATGGGAAAGCTCAAGAGATTAAATGTACAGAAGGCGGATCAGGGCGGAAGGTGACGGGGAAGACGAGGTTGGAAGAAGAGAAGCAGAAGAGACGCCTCAAGCTGGAATCGAGTTCGGGGAAAGACACATGAAGGAAGCGGGATCGACGTTGTTTAAGCACAAGGTACGCTGACGCGCCAATGCGCTAACAGCACAACATGATGTTGGACTGGGACGGACAGGGGGGTTCTTTAGTCGCATTTTGGATGCTTCAGAAGGCTGGGGAAGCGCGGATGGGGAACTGCGGAGCGGGCGGGAGCCACTGGGACCGCTCCTCACTGGCCGGCTCGCCTCGAAAACCACGCGGGATGAATGGATCTCCGGGAAAGTGTGGGGTAATATCGGATGAATGAGCGACGACATGGCCCGGAGCATCGGCGGCGGGCCGGACCTTTGGGGCTCGTTTGGGATGTTTGCCATTCCTTCTAGAAGCCTTGTGTCAAACCAATGAAACGCCATCTTTCTTTACACTCTCTTCACAGTCACAACAGAAACACTTCAGCCTCTGAATACTATCTCAAGAGTACAGACCAGACAATGAGCCATGCAAATAAGGGTCGCCCGCAGATGCACAATTGGGGTAATTGGAACCTTAACAATGCAACGGTTGGCGGCCCCTCTTCCAGCTTCGACGTCGTATTCAGCGGCTTGGATATCTTAGCAAACGTTGACATGCACCTAAAGATATTCACATATCTTTAGGAGCCATGATGCCACTCCTGGGTGTTGTTGATTGAGTCGGGGAGCCATTGAGCTGGTCATACCGAACATAAGACTCCGCAAGCGCCGGTGCCGAGCGCGGTATGCTCGGGAAAGACATCCATCACCTGAGCACTTTGGCACCTCATCATGGGATCCTGGCTGGACGATCTAAAGCTCTTGCATCGGTAACCTTGGTAAACTGAGCTTCATGGTTCAAATCAGCCATCATGTCTTGCTCTCAAAGTCCTCAAGTTTGAACCGTAAAATACACATTCCCATATACAGTAAACCAGTTGTCTAAGAAAGGCATCCCACCTCAGACCTTGACCTCACGATTGTGTACAGGTGCAACAATAATCGAGATGCGGTTGTCCAGACAACTTTAGCCAAGCGGGGAGATCTGGACCCACCGACCCCAGTTCGCCCAACCAGCGCTCTTTCTGAGTGGTCAGTTGAGCAAACGAAATTCTCCACTTTAAGGACCTCGACGACTCCTTGGCTTGAGCAACTTGAAGCTCGCCTGGCTCGTTCGATTTCAACAAAACCATCCGACCACCTGCACCACTGCATATCTGACACTGACAAGTCAGCACTTTCGACCTTTCTTCTTCGTCTTATCAATCATCCAACAAGGTATCTCCGTTCTGAGGATTGCGGCGCGAGTTCAACCGTTGAAAACAATCCGTACCGGTTACCATGGAATAGCAGCCCTGTCGTGTCTTGAGACCATACCACCATGTCTACTGGTACGATATTGCCATATTCTGTTGTGCTTTATATACACAATTCACCCTCTGGAAGCCTGTTAACCAAATACATTGTAGCAGTTCGAATCTGTGTTTGCGGCGATGAGGGGACCGGCAAGTCCAGCTTGATCGCCTCTCTTGTCAAGGGCGTCTTCGTCGCCAACAAGATACAGGCCGTCCTGCCCCAGGTTACGATACCACCGACGACCGGGACACCCGAGAACGTTACCACCACCATCGTCGATACCTCCGCCCGTCCACAAGACCGAACCACATTGCGCAAAGAAATCCGAAAGTCCAACGTCATTCTCCTCGTTTACTCCGACCATTATAGCTACGAACGCGTGGCTCTATTCTGGATGCCATATTTCCGATCCCTAGGAGTCAATGTTCCCGTTGTACTATGCGCCAACAAGGCGGATCTCGTCAGTGATGGAAATGCTGCGCAAGTGGCCGAGGAAGAGATGCTTCCTGTAATGGCCGAGTTCAGGGAGATCGATTCGTGCATTCGAACAAGCGCAAAGGAGCAGAAGAACGTAATCGAGGTCTTCTACCTATGCCAGAAGGCCGTTACCCATCCCATTGCTCCCTTGTTCGACTATAAGGAAGGTCAGCTGAAGCCCGCTTGCGTGGATGCATTGAGGAGGATCTTCTTCCTGTCAGACAAGGACCAGGATGGGTATCTGAACGATCAAGAAATGCAGGACTTTCAACAAAAGTCCTTTGACAAGCCACTTTCACAAGAGGACCTTGATAACATCAAGTTGACGGTCAGCAAGGCGGTGCCGAGTTCCAGCACAGACAAGGGATTGGATCTCCAAGGGTTTCTGCAACTGAACAAGCTATATGCCGAAAAGGGGCGGCACGAGACGATTTGGATTATTCTCAGGAAATATCACTACACAGACAGTTTGAGCTTGGAGGACAACTTCTTACATCCACGATTCGACGTCCCCGACAATGCGTCCGCAGAACTCAGTCCGGCCGGGTATCGGTTTTTCATGGATCTTTTCTTGACTTTCGACAAGGACAACGATGGCGGCCTCAATGACCGGGAACTTGCTGCCTTGTTTGCGCCTACTCCAGGACTCCCACACTCTTGGGCTGAGACTTCGTTCCCCTCCACCACCGTCCGGAACGAAGCTGGCCACATCACTCTCCAGGGCTGGCTTGCCCAGTGGAGCATGACCACTTTCTTGGAACCCAAGACAACCCTCGAATACCTTGCATACCTCGGATTTGAGACACCAAACGCTCGCGAAACGACAACAGCCGCTCTCAAAATCACAAAACCCCGGAAGCGGAGACGTCGGCCAGGGCGCGTCGACCGTAACGTAGTCCTCTGCTACATCCTCGGCTCCTCCGGCGCCGGCAAGTCTTCCCTCCTAGACGTGTTCCTCAATCGGCCCTTTGACACGCTCTACCACCCGACCATCAAGCCCAGACGGGCCGTCAACAGCGTTGAGCTCCAGGGTGGCAAGCAGTGTTACCTGATCCTGGAAGAACTTGGCGAACTCGAGCCGGCCATTCTCGAGAACCAAGCCAAGCTGGACGCCTGCGACCTCATCTGCTACGCCTACGACTCGTCCGAGCCCGACTCGTTCTCACACATTGTCGAGCTCCGCAAGCGGTACCCCCAGCTTGACGAGCTGCCCGCCGTCTACACGGCGCTGAAGGCGGACCGGGACAAGACCACGCAGCGCAGCGAGCTGCAGCCCGACGCGTACACGGCCGCCCTCAATATGAGCGCACCCCTCCACGTTAGTGTCACCTGGAACAGCATCAGCGAGCTCTTTGTGGCGCTGGCGGAGGCGGCGACGAATCCTAGCACCGCATTCCCCCGCAGCGAGGACCCGCCAGCGGATAGGGCCAGTTTGTACATGGCCTTGGGCGCGACGGCGTGCGCGGCACTGGCGGTGTTTATGATTTGGAGGAGGTCGACTTCGAATGCTGCTTAGATTGCAGAGTACCGTGCCGTTCGTTTGTGTATGAGTCGGTTGCATGAGGCGTGGCATGATCTTGTTTCCCTGGATTGGTTACAGCCATACCCTAGCGACAATCTTCTTCTCCTGGGGTTTTCTATCTTTCTCTTTGATTTTTGGTTTTTGATGGCATGATGTCGGCTGGTTGGTTCGATTGGTTGGTGGTGGTGTTCAGCAAATACACATATGACATGGCGCATTGAATTGATTCATGATACCCTCTCCCCTACATATATATTCCCGCTATGAACACACAGCCTCCGAGTGTCAGTTTTGTTGGGGGCATTCTTAAAAATCTGTACAGCGTCTTCACGTCATTTTGCCTTAGGGTTGAGGAGATATAAAGTCATCACCACAAAGAGTCAAATAGCGAATTGTTGGTATTCATTCGTATCATCCACCTTCCCACTAGACAAAGTGAACACAAGAGCTGTAATTCCAAGTGACATGAAGAACTTGCTCCATCAGCCCTACAAAATCGACCGTCGGTATGGCCTGTCGTGGGGACAAGCACCAGCTCCACAACCGGACATGGCGAAACGGGAAGTCTTCATGAACTACACAAATAAATGAGAGAGAAAAAGGTCTGTAAAGCCAATAAAAAGTAGAGCTACTTGTTCCCAAAGTATATGCCGGTACATGCATGAGTCTTGTCGTGGTTAGGTTGAAACTCCGACTCCGAAAAAGAGAAGAGGGAGGGAGAATATAGAAGAAAGAAAAAGGGAAAGGAGATGAAAAAAGAAATGAAACCCCCCACACCCACCCCCGACCACCCGAAAAAAAGGGGAAAAAATATATGAATATCGAAATAAATCGATCCACCCAGGGGTCGAACCTGGAACCTCCTGATTCGTAGTCAGACGCTCTGCCATTGAGCCAGCGGACCCTGTATCATTTGATATAAGCTTGTTGCAAGCTCACCCTCCATAAACCTTAATATGGCGAGGCTTCTTTCATATCGTTGTGGTCTATTTTCCGGGTGTTGGTAGCTTTGGTTTTGACAGACAAGAATGTATTTCTGTCCAGCGAGCTACAGGCACGTCGCAGGTACGGACTTCAGCTGAGGTGCTCAAGGGTCTTGATAAAATTTATACTGTGCATTGTGCATTGCGCGGTTGTGGTGAGGTGGTGTGCAGCCGCTGCAGTTTCTTTACTTGCGGTTGGATTTTTCTGCATTTCCTTGAACAAAAAAGTTGTGATGACGTCAGTGGTTTACGGCGAGCTTGGCGCGGGCGCCGGGGCAGTTGTGATCGACAGTGGACGGTTGTGCATCCGAGAGATGCTGTTGGTTGATGAATGAATGAATGAATGAATGAATGAATGATGAATTTTTCGACTGCGTTTTACCAATACTAGATAATAAGTCGTGCCTGCGACGGCGGCGTGGCGTAGGTACATAAAACGGGAAAAAGCCTCATAGGTCAGCTAGGTCGGACCTTAGCGTGGTCGTGCGCTGGAAAACCCTAACTTCTGTACGGTTTCGAAAAACCCTTATTCTAGGCTCCCAAAAGCCTTCATTTTCCTATCCCCGGCATTGCGAGGTTATCGCCGTCCTTTCCGATGTTGAAATGAAAATGGATTGAGAAGAAAATCCCGATTAGATTGCGGCCCAGCCGTTTTGGGTCTAGCAAGGGGCGTTCTAAGGGGAAGGTTTCGAAGAGTGGTTGTCGCTCGCCCTCCGACAAGCTATTGTCTCTCCGGTGCTCTTTCTTTTCGAAATACTTTTGAAGAGCTTCAAAAGCTATCGGCTATGAGGGAAGAGACGGCGGTGAACTCTCCAAAGGCCGCCGTCGTAGTTGTTGTTATCGTTCGAATTGTATCTTCCCGAATTCAACACGATAGAAAAGCGGTGGATTAGGCCACTGGTAGCCTTAAGGCACCCATTGCACCAAAAATAGGGTAATTTTGGCTTGACCTCTAACAACCGACTAACAGAGGGTGCCAAGAAAAATATTTTCGGGGGAGAGTTGTTGTTGGTTGATGATTCCCTTGGTTGGATTGGAGGTCTGAAATGTGCAGATCAGGGATCAGGGTTGGGGTTGGGTATATGTATGGGGTTTCTGTATCATAACACAGTAAGTGGTGTTAAAAGGGTTATTTCCTTGTTGGGTTTATGATTTGCATCTTTAATCCTTGATTAACAACCCTTGATCAACAGAATCTGTGGCGGTACATATGACGATGACAGAACCACAAAATTTATGCGCAGCTTGTCCATTGGTTGGAGGACCGAGGACTTCGGGATTCTGTGTAATCAATGTTTCGGTTTTCTTTTAGAACCCCATCCTCATATTTCGTAACCTGGAAAAGAGTAAGGATAACCGATACCTTCTACACTACCCTTCAAATTAGCGGTATGGCGGAAGGGGCAAAGAGAGAAGGTGTGACAGAAGCTGTCTGTTGTCTGTGATGTTCTTGATTTGCCTATTTTGGACATCCTGAGATCCCTTTGAAGATTGCGTGTGATATGATATACGCTTTAGGCAACTGGGCTCTGGTGGTATGGTAGACATGGTATGCAGAGCTGATAGCTGTCACAGCGCCGTGGCGTGTTGTGTTGATGAATAAGATAATGATGGTGTCTGGTTTCACCCCTTTTTGTATGTTTGGGCAGCAAAATTGGAAGGCCTAATTCAAGGTGTCAAGTCATCCGAGTTGCGAATGGAAAGGATATGTGGATAACTGTGTGCGTAGTAGATTCATGTGCCCTGCTGCTAAAAGTCTCAAGGAGCACCATAACCTGTGTGTGTATCTCAAGATCCGTATCGTCCTCAGACGTAAGTCAAGTATCTCCATCTCAGTATGGTAGTTCGTTTTTCCGACGAGGTTATATTCGATTTCTGGTTTTCCAAGAAATACTGTAATCAACACATATTCCCCGTCGCAGTGTCCAGTTTGACCTTCACTCATTATGCGTAGCCGTGGCTCGTCTCGGAATGATATATGTGTATTCATTTGTCGCCCGCTCGGATAAACTGCTCCAAACCCAGATACTTTTGATCCTCGTACGTAAAAGCCTAGATAGTCCCTCGCGTTCCCTGCCCTGCCCTGCCCTGCCCTGCCCTGCCTACTCAATCCCTTCCTTCGTTGATTCGCGAGAACAATAACTTTCCTCCTACTTCTCGTCCATTCCCTACTTCTGCCAGGCCCGCCCCATGCCTCCAATACCATAACGTAACAGTCGATAAAGCTCCCTCTTCGCCAATAATTCTCGCTCGCAAATATGCCCTTGTTCAAAGTAACAAAAAGATGAAGAATGAAGATCTAAAGCAGGGCCAAAATGCCGCCGCTCTGTAAATCTGAACAGGTAATGTAGCAGCAGTCTTCAGTGGTATGCGATAAAATAAAAATAAGAACAATCAAATACCGGATTGGTTCCTTTTCTCTTTGGGAAAACGACATGAAGCGAAGAAGCCCATGAATGAATAATGATGTGTGCGTATATGAAAAAAAAATAAAAACAGAAGACGAATCTCATCGCCGTGCCCAATCGCAGAATAAGACGCCTTTCGCAATGATGTTGATGGATGTAAGCTCCCAACCAAGCCAAAACGTGATAAAACCCCGGAGTGTGACAGAAAACCAAAGCAAAACCCTGAAACGCCCCGACGTGTGCCAGATGATATCGTGTCTAACCCCCCCATCCATTCCCTTGATGTTGTCCTTGTTGTTGTTGGTATTGTGATTGCGCGCGGTGCGGCGGTGTTGTTACGGTTGTCTCTCGTTTCCTGCCTCTCTCTTTCTCTTTCTCTTTCCTTTCCTTTCCTTTCCTTCCCTCTCATCGTCAAGTCTCGCCGCTCTCTCATTCCTTTTCGCACTGGAAGCCCATGCTGAACCGGTATTCCCCCGTCTCATCTCGCACCGGGATCATCGTCAAGAGGTTGACGAACCGTTGACCGTTCTTCTTGAAGTTGACCACCTCGACCTGCACCTCGGCGTTCTTGTCGATCGCTTTCCTCATCCTCTTGATCGTGGTAGGGTCGACGTACTTCCTCGTCGATTTTGGCTTGACCATGCCGTCGGGCGACTGAAGAAACCGGCAGTTCCTACCCAAGACCTCCGCGCTGTTGTACCCTGTCATGTAGAGAAAAGCGTCCGAGGCGTATACAATTGGTTGGTCTTTTTGCTTCAGGTCGCACATAATCAGAGCGCATGACGTGTCAACGGGCCCCAAGTCCACCTGGGGGTTTGGCCTGCTCATAATTTGAACCTGTTACAGGGTGTTAGCCACTTTAGATCCCCCCCGTGCACTAACAGCGAACAGACTCCGTGGGCTGACTAACCAGATAGCTCATAATGTCGTAACCGCCGGGGGCGTACAGCGTATGGAAGAAGAGAGGGTCGGCCGAGGGTGCGGCTTGATCATAGTGGTATTGCTGGGAGGTTTTGTTAGCAGGGGTACCGCCACCAAGCAGAAGAAAGAGAGCTGTTTACCTGATACGCCTCAACTTCCCACGGGTTCATGGTACTGGAGTTCACAGTGTGGCTCATGGTTGCTGCTGGCTATGAGACAGTGTGTTGGTAGGGTTGATGACGGTCCCTTTAGTCGGCTGATAAGGCTTTCAAGTAATGGCACAGGCGGCACTCCCCCAGTTGGCAAGGGCTGACTGTTGATGGCAATGTTCTAGGCCGACCTGTCTGGGACAAGTGAATCGGTAGTGTAACCGGGATAGGTTATCGCATAGGCCAATGGAGTCGAGGACTTGGTAGTGGTTGTTGGGTTATGATGATATCTTGGTTGAAGGAATTTACGGTGGCAAGAAGCAAGGTAAAGGAAGAGACCATGAGGTTGAAGGAAGAAGAGGGTATTTAAGAAGGCCCCAAGACGCAAAAGTCTGGTTGGGGCCGGGCGTCGGAATGCCGTCGATCGAGATCTAGGGTATCCGGAGCAGGAGTTGACGGCGGAACGAGGTTGTGTCAGTGCAGATGTGAGGGCCGAAAGGTGGAAACAACCCAACGAGGACACAAGCTTCGGTGCGATAAACGAAGTCAAGACGCAAGGCCCCAAACAAAGTCTGTATCGGGGATCCGGTAGACCTGGCCAACAACCGGTATCCTACTGGTACTAAAGTGGGAGCCGGGGGTGTTTGGGAGGCCCATGGTCCTGTATGGAGAGACACCACAGCTTCAGGAGCCAGGCAGGGCAGGCCAACGGAGGGGGCCAGGGACATGTAGACAAAAAGAGAGACAGTTGCCAGAGACAAGACGCCGATCCAATCGAACGGTACACCACGACTTTACACGTTCCATGTACGTAGGCAGCCAGGGTAGCCTGAGGGCACACAAGGGGGGCCACGGCTCGGACAAGACGGGAGGGAGGTGGGAGCTCTTTGAGCGTGTGAGCCATTGACAATACGCGGCAGCCAGGCCGTGGGCGGTGGATTCCAGACCATGCGGATGCCAGCGACGGGCACGTTGGCCGTTTCGTTCTTTGCAGACAGAGAGGAAAGATGCTTGCTGCTGTCCCGCTTGTCCTGCTGTCCCGCTTGTCCTGCTGTCCCGCTTGTCCTGCTGTCCCGCTTGTCCTGCTGTCCCTGGTGTTGCTGCTTGCTTGCTCCGCTGTCTCCCTCTCCTGCAGTCTCCATCATCCCGTCTCAGCGCCGAGGCCAGGATCTGGGGGGTATTCTGATCACAGCCTGCATCGGGAAGCTCTTGAGATCGGGAAGCTCAAAGGACACACAGGACACAACGGGAGTGGCCCGGTGGCCGAGCACTCGGGTGGATCCAATGATGGGACCGTATTTCCTTTGAGCCCCTAGGTGGCAAGACCCTGCCTGGCATCAGACAGTGTGCGTTGAGCGGACTGGATTTTGAGAATGCCCATCATGTACCCCGTCTTTTATCGACAACTTACACCGTATGGAGTTTTGGTCATGATGCTCATCATCGACGGACGCTCAGGGCTGACCATTGCACCCCCAACCCAAGACCAATGGCACCATTTGCCATTGATGATGAGCTGCCTTTATCTCTGCAGAGTCTCTCAATGAGCTGATGGTGCTATATCGGCTTCAGTCTTTTTTAGATGGCAATTACTGTGGTGGCTTTCGTTGTCCAGATCGACGCAAATCTCATCTTGCGGTCTCGTCTACCAGGACAGTGTCGCCAAGAAGAGGAAAAAGAAGAGAGTATAAGCGTTACCAATTACGAAAGGAGGTTGACGAGAGCGAGAGCCCGATCGGTGAGGAATGCCAATTGTGGAGAAGCAGAGGGGGCCCTGAATGAGAGTGAACAAGAGTCCGAAGGGAGGAAAGAGACGCCGATGGAGTCATGGACGTAGGAAACAGCCAGTCGGATCCAGAGACCGAAAAAGAGGGTTGTGGCCAAGGGGCCAAGGGGTCAAAACGTACAAAACGTACCGATTCGCGGACAGTACGGAAACAAATAGGAGAGGCAGGAGCAGACAGCGGTGCAGGGAGGCAGGCAGACGGCGTGCGAAATGCAAAGAGCGAATGTGGATGCCAAGAAAAAGTCCAATGGGTAAAATGGGGACAATGATGGATGACCGATCGCCGCTGCCAAAACATTTGAGGGTCCCAGATCCCCAGCGATCGCACCGGCGCCCTGGATCGAACCAAAGAACGAGACCCACGCGCCAGCATAATGGAAACTAACAATTGGAACAGCACCAACCAGCCACGGGACAGTGCAGATGGGAAAAGAAAACCACGTTCTTTTCGCTGCAACGCCAATCCGAGCCTAGAGTAGTGTGCTCTACGGGGTTAGTGACTTCCGTCTGCTGTCCCTTTCGGCTCCTTTGTCCCGTCAGTTACCGGTTGTCGAATACGCACTGCGCACCACCACTACCGTTTTCCAAGTTGACACTGACCTTGACCACGAACGTCAATCCGCCCAGCCCCGGGATAGATAGGTGGGTAGAAAGGTAGGAGGTATGTAACTACTCAACACCCACCCCTATCAGCGGAACGGCAATAACGGTACCCATTCTGTCTGGTGTCTGTTTGAAGCGCTTGCTGATATCGTTGCGCTAGATACCTAGATGTGGTGGTGCCATGGTTCTGGGCCCCGGTGTTAAGGTGTTGGACATTCCATCTGCTCCCTTGTAGGCGTTAAGGCTGAACCCCAAGCAGTGGGCTCAAGCAGGCCGGTCGTGTTGCTACTATCTACTGTACCTGCTCCCTTTGCGCCAACCAGCCGTGAGGTGACCCATGCTCCACGCTTGTATGTCTGGCAGCCAGAGAGCGGATCCAACAGCAACCGGGTTCTCACCGGGTGTTTCTACAGTCAGTCTACTGTACAGCGATAGAAAGGGGCGGGGGATCGTAGGAGCCCTCAGGAGCAGAGGGCCCGGCAGGCAGGTACAGTACCTCTAAGCGGAGGCGCATGGGGGCATGAAGTGGTGGATGGACAAAGAAGGGGGCCGCGCCCCAGGCTGGGGACTGAGAGATGACCATGAACAACAACATGGCGGCCTGGTCTCATGCAACTGTAGGGACGTCACATGGATGCGGTCAAAAAAAATGGACAAAACTATCGAAACCCCGCCTCTTTCGGAAAGTCTCAGACTCCTCATCATGATGGGAATGAGGGAAATGGAACTTGGCAGATTGGGGATGGTTACCAGCAGGACATGGGAGGCCATGGGAGGCCGGGAAGCAAGCAAGCCGGCATCACGGGGCTGGCGTGGAATGAAGCTTGGTTGCGTCGGTGTGCGCGGAAGAAACATGACAGCGTCGGCGTCGGGGCATCACAGGAGGGGGAGTAGGGCAGAAGTCACAACACGAAACTATCGCAACTTCCCCTTTCGGGATGTGCTCGGGTTGCGTTGCGTCTGGCCCCGGATGCCTGTCACCCATTTCGCAAAGTCGCCTTGTCCTTTTTTCTGCGCATTCCACTTGTTTCCCATCCGTCTGCAGCCGCAAACGGGATGGCCTTGCTGTGCCAACTTTTGGGTGCGAGACTTTGCCCATGCGGTCGCTTAATTTCCAATCAGTTCCATGATAACCGGTGACTGCACGACGGCGGAGCAGTTTGAAATCTCGATGTGATACGGCGCACAGTTCCAGCGCTTGGTTACACGGAATAAGCAACGGCAAACCGGGTATTCGTGGTGAAGGTTGCCCTGTGCTAAGTCAGCGTTGGATCTCCAGAGAGGCCCATTGCTGTTCATGTAAAAACCAACAATGATTGTCCGGCTGGGGTTGAGGTTGAGGACTGTGTGAGGGTGTGTGTTTGATGCCACCGCATCGCCGTCCAGGTGAGCGAGTGAGCGTGATGGAAATGATCGTCCAACGTCGACGGGGACGCAAACGCGCCAAGAGCGGGATATCCCCATGGGCTTTTGACGGCCAATATCCACCATGTTCACATTCTCATTTCCCTTTTCCGACGAGAGACGCCGACGAGCTTCGCCGACGAGCTCTGGGAAATGGCGGGTTGTTGGTTGATGAGTGCTCCTCCTTTGAAGATCCCGTCTCGTTGGCTGCGTCTTGTCTCGGTCATCAGCCATCAGTGGCTTTCGCTACCGCTAAATAGACTTGTCATGATCCGGCCGCCCGGTTCTTGGGGGCGGTAATGTGTAATGTGTAGGACCGGCGACCCGCTCGGCGAGTAACAGCAAGTCAGCGGCCAGGATCGAGGATTCACAACAAAGCTCTCATTCTCCCTTACAGTTAAGGGTACCCTAAGCCAAGGAAGAGGTGGTTGTTAATGCCCGAAGCCATGTGTGCACGTGTGTGAAATGGCACTTATAAGCAGCCCCAGTCCCGACGCAAGAAGGGTCTGGCTTGTTTGAGAGACAGAGTGGACAAGAGTACTGTAGCCATTCATCGCTGAAAACAAAAAAAGGTTGAGGCTGAAGCTATGTTGCGGGAAGCCCCTTGTGCCTGATGTCACACATTGACCGCCGATTGATGTCAGTTTGGAGATCGGGATAAGTTCCGTCGTCGTCGAGATCTCTGCCACACAAAAAATCCCTACATGTACACGCAAATGCTGGTCAAGTACCGGGGTGCACTGACAGACCCGGCCCTGCGTTTTTGGCTAGTCCCCGGCACTGGAGGCTACCCAGAAGAGAGTCTTACAGATACGATGCTTCTCGTATACTCGCAGAATCAAAAAGAAATCTGTAACACGACGGGTACGAGTTGAGATGTCCTTCTATTGCTGGATCGCTTGGATGACTGGATCGTCTTGTTCAGGGAACTGGGTAGATTTTTTTGTGTACAGTAGTTGGGGTACGGTCAAAAGGGTCTCTTGTGCTAGCAGTCTTAGCTTCTGCCATTTCCCTAGCCGGATATGGCTTAGTGGCTCGAGCTTCTTGACCAAATCCCGATTTCGACGCAATCACTTTGTCTCCACCGGCTCTTCTCCATCGGCCTCCACTCCTCGCTGCCACTTGAACCGAAATGCAAACGTCCAGTGATGTGCAGTGCAGTGGTCGAGACGCGTTCCGCTGGATGGTAACACGCGTTTTACGATCCCGACGACAACCCCGCCCCAATTTCCATCCAACATTTCACGATTCTCATCAACAAAAACACCAAACCTGGTTCGGCCAGAACAAGGAATACCATTCATTGCCTGCCGCCGAGACGTCTCGATCGCCGTGTTCGATCTCTTGTTCGATCTCTTGTTCGATCTCTTGTTCGATCTCTGTTCGACGCAGGTCTAGCAGGGCTACACAAGCATAGACAAGCAACCTTACCTCTGATTGTCACCATCGTACCATGTCGGTCCAAAACCGCATGTTTTAGACTTCCTGATCGCTAAATATCCCGAAACTCCACGGCAATCAAGAACTCTTCCGGCCCTTGTTTCGCTTTTTTTCCCACCCGCCTTCTACGCCTCAACGGTTCAGTTCTTTATCTGCAAGGCAACCCAACTGACGCCGTTCCTGCGGTACACTGCTCACCTGGGGACACACAGTGGCACTAAACTGCCAAGCCCCCCGGCCAGCACCACGCCAGTATCATATTCGATTGAAGGGTCCATAGCCACGGCAGCCGATCGCCTACCTAGCACAAAGCGAGCAAGCTATCACGGATACTCTAGCCAGCGGCCACATACACCCAGCCGAGCCAGCTCAATACCAACAATCATGCCATCAGGACGTCTCGTTCAGGGTTCGCGCCGCCCTCAGTCAACCGCCTCTGCGGCGACATCAGCCCACAATGGCTCCGACCTGCCCCCTTATGAGCCTCCCTCGCATCCAATGAACGATGCAGGCAGACAGGCCCTGGCCAACATCACCAGCAACAACCAGGACATGCGCAAGTACGAGGACCATCTTTCCAAATCCGCAACCTACTTGCGAGAGGCCGTCGGCGCCATCAACGATACCCTGTTTACTCGTAAATCACTGTTGACGAGGAAGATCGAGAAGCGACGGGGCCGCGGCGAATCTGAAAAGGGGGAAGACGAGGCCGAGCTGGAGGAATATGTCAACAAGCTAAACGGAGATGTGACCCATTTGACTGATGAGATTGAGGCCGCCTTGCGACAGGTCATTGACTATCGTGCCGAAGTTCAGGGCGAGAAGCTGGTGCTGGGCTCAGTGGTGGACCTGGTACAGAGCCAAAAACCCCGCCAGGAACGCCCCGCGCGAAAACGGAAAGCAGCCCAGCGGGCCAACGACGATAGTGACGAGGAAATGGGGGGGTGTTGATGAAGAGCCTGAAGAGGAAGAGGCCGCTGAAGCCGAGGACGAGGCCTCCCTGACCTGCGTGCGCGAGGCACTCCACAAGGCAAGAGATTCCAAGGCGAGACAATACCGTGCCACGAGTGCCTATGACCGTTACGCCTCCAACAACGAGTATATCGCTTTCAAGAAGATGTGGCATGATGCTCAGCATCCCGAAGATCAAGTGCCCCTGCCTGATGCGTCCACCTGGTTTGATAACCAAGGCAGGCCTATCCGGGACGGTGCTCCAGCGGGCGAGGAGGATCTCATTATTGAGCGTGAGGTACAGGACCTCACTTGCAAGTTATCGCTTCGGCCCTTCAAGGAGCCATACGCCAACCATCAATGCCCCCATGTGTTTGAGAAAAGCGCAATATTGGAATATTTGAGAAACACTGGCGGCAAAGCACAGTGCCCTGTATGCAACAAGGTAAGAATAGACGTATCATTTTTATGCAAAGACTCTCCAGCTACTGACATGTCACCATTAGGAGCTTCGCATCAAGGACCTGTATCTCGATGAACTTACGTTGCGCAAGGTCAAGCGAGCAGCTCGAGCAGCAATGGAAAGCGAGGACAGGAGCTCCAATGCGGGTCCCGACGAGCAAATGGATGGAAGCGTTCTCATGGGTGAGAGTACCCAATCACGACGACCCCGCCGTGTGAACAACGAGATCAAGCAGGACGATTCGGAGTAAGAATGGTCGTCTCGGCATCGAACTAATGAGCGAGGGCGGCCACTTTTTGAGCGGAGTTCATTCCTCCACTCCTGATCAAACCACAGCAGGTGAATCGCTCGCTTCCTTCGGCAGTCAATGCGTACTGTCTGTTGTCACCTCAGTAAGGAATTTGCCAACGCCCTGCATTCTATGTTGCTCGTATTGAAACCAGTCTTGGGTAACCGTTTAAAGTGGTTGCTGGGGGAAAAAATAACCCTCGAAGTTATAATTGTATGTGTACATCAAATACCCCTTTACTGTACTCCTGGGTACAACGCCCGCTGTACAAGAAACCACCTGCTGCGAATTCAACTACCAGGTATGCACTCAAAGTAAACCAGATATACTTTGTTTTAGCAAGAACGGGTTGGAACCGGCAACTTGACCGTTGAATGCTCAACGGTGGACGCCACCTCTCCAGTGGTCCATGTCCGTCCGTTTCAACCCTCGTTGGATTCACTGTATGGACCGCAGAAAGTGGTTGGGTACCCTGTCGGGGAAGCAGTGATCGAAAAGCGGTTGAGTACGCCCCTTCATAAACTTGGTATGGAAGACTGGGCCATGAACAAGCCGGTAAATGCCGGTGGCACATTGCCCATGATGGTCAGGCGGGTACCGGAAACTGTTGGCAAGTCCTGCTTGGCTCGAATCCAGATCCAAAGCAGGGGGTAGTTGTCCCCCGAAGGTGTGGTCTGTATGATACAATTGCCGGCTAGTATAGCGGGGAAAATAGTCAGCAACGATGGTAATCCTTCCACAAAAGATGCGAACCCCACGAGATTTGACACCTCACCCCTCCCTCTTTCGTCTCGTCTCGTCTTTCCCTGCAGTCTTGCCGAACGACCGATAACATTCGGAAAACAGAGAACAGCTAAACTCACCTCGTCAGGAAATCTTCCGTCAATGTCGTGGTCGATCCGTACATGCCTGACCCGAGGTAATGGATCGACGATTGTTCGTGTGCTTGCGGGCTGCTGCTGCTGATCACCCTTCTCTGGATGTGATGGATAGGACTCCGTGGTGGCGGCGAACAACCGGTACCATCCGAGGATGATTCGGACGACATGGACTTGTCGGATTTTCCGCCCAAAGAATCTCTTCTTCGCTTGCGGACAGTATACTTGCGGACTCTCCATTTATCGAAGCGTGAACGGTATGCTCGGATTCTATGCGCATTGGTTAGCTGTGGGGTTAGTTCTGGGTGTTAGAGAGATTAATGGATGGACGATGGCTGATCAATGGCTGACATGATGGCCGATGGATTATAAACGGACGGACGATGAGAAAAACGAAGAGCAAAAACAAAAAACCCCCCCCCCCCGAGACCCCAACATGGTATGCTCAATGAAGACGGAAGCTCCGATGATACTATAATCATCGAGATCGAGATTGATCACGGCGACATCACATCTTCTCTCTTCTCGCAACGGATTCCCGGCTGGACGGAAGAAACGTGCACAGTTGGTAATCTTCCCGCCCAGAAATGTGTGCGTATAGTCCCTTTCCAGAGCTCTACATCATGGGGGCTGGGCGGGAACTTTTTTTTTGTCTTTCGGACAACAGGGAGCGTATAGGATGCATCAAAAGTTTACTCACGAAGCTTCAAACTGGTACTGCTCCTTCATGAACTTCTTGACCTCGTGAAGAGGTCTGTTGTTGTCCTTATACTCCCGGATGATGATATGTCTGTGGTCTTCCCATTGCTTCGTCATCTTGTCTTGTCTCTTGTCTCTCTCTCTTGTCTCTTGACTTGACTTATCTTGTTTTTTTTTTTCACGCTCGTTCAAGTTGTTGATAGTCGAGATTCACGATTTGTGACGAGGCTAGCGCTAACTGAGCCAACAACTAGAAGGTCGTCGTCGGCGCTGCAGTTGTTGAATGGTAGAAGCAGCTGGTGGAGAGATAGGTCTGCCATGCGGTTAAGGATGATCAATTCTTCGATATGGTGGTCGCAAGGTGTGCAACCACGGTGAAGGATGAATGATATGTTTGAGATATAAGAATCACAAGAGGCTGGGTAAAATAAGGCTTGATAAAAGCTGCGAAGATGGAAAAGGATACTGGTTTGGGACGGCAACTATCATCAACGGAGCGATCATTGTCCTGGGTCTATATAGAGACAGACACTCAAGACTAACCTTGAGATATGGTTATCATGATGCTACATACAGCCTACAGGTAAGTCACACCCTCCCTTATCCAGGACGAGAAGAGGTTGGATATTGATCGGCTCGGATACCTTAAATTACAGCCAGTGCCCGACGACATAGCATGCAGGTATGGCTTATGGGGATGGCACCTATTACTCCTCTCGGGACAGTTTGCCTTGAGCCTACCTACACTGCTCGGGGAAAGGGCGATGACTATTGCACATGGCTACAGATGATAGCCGCCCGGTGTCGGTTGCGTCGCTAGAGACCGCAATGATACCCAGCCCTATGACCGAGCCACCTACCTGCCTCGCTTGCCATACCTCAATTGCGGAGAGCAATGTTTCGGGAAACATTGACTAAAAACAGTCACCGGCAGGCACCTAGTACCTGGCTTTGATCCAGACCAGTCATCTTTCGGGGAGTGACCGAGAAGTCAAGCGACACTGGGCAAGAGGTAAAGCTAAGTTTTCTGCAAAGGAACACCGGCCATTGAAAAGGCTGTAAAAGACCGCCCGGTGGGAACACACACTCACCGCGATACACATCATCGGTAACCGGAAATTGTTCCGAGCCGTTCGTTGTGTGGGTGAGTACAGACAGCGGTTAGGCAGACAGCTAGGCAGCCTCGGCCTCGGCAAACCAAAACGTGGACGACGGGCTGTAGGCAGGCAATGCAACGCCGACGATAATAACTATAACACACAAAAAACTCAACGACACACATCACAGCGACTAGCTAGTGATGCAAACAAAATGATATTTACCCCAAACTTGATCGAGGCTTCCAGCAAGGCTCTGGTTTCTATCTATCTATCTTTTAGAATAGTCCTACATATGTCGCAAAAAGCCACACTCTCTCTTTATAGGTGAGAAGAACCGCCACGCAGTCTCTCAAGATTGCGCCTTAGGCTCTCTGATACATACCTCACCGAACAATACAGAAACCGCCGGGTTGGGTAAGGAGGACGAGGAAGGAAATGAGGCTGTATTGAATTCGGAAGGAAAGGTTTGAGTTGACTCCATTGGTCCTTCTCCCAACCTACATATATGCATGCAGCAATGCAGACCTGCAGGCTACGCCTCTTTTCCACGTTTCTCAAGTCTAGTAACCGAACGTGTGCATCCAGCTAACAACTGTTGGAAAGCAGCTCGGCGAGCCAAGACTAGGTATTTCAAGGAAAGAAACCGAGAACAGCCTGGATGGATTGCATCTAGACGCCGGAAGCGAGAGCCGACCCGAGCCAGGTGGCATGCGCAGTCTCGGAATGGAAGCGGGAAGACGGTGAACCTTGGTCATATTAATGGGAAGAAGAAGGCATCCAGACATTCCACGGGCATATCAAACATGTCAACGGTAAGGCAGGCAGGCACGAACGTCCCCTTCCCCACAATTGGACAAATGCTTGGCATGGATGTTTGGTGTTACATCAACAACACACAGCCTCACCGAGCCTGCCTGCTTCGAGCCTGCCTGATGAAACGATGAATGGCACCTACCCGTTACGCTTCCCGCTTTTCACTCATGCATATGATTTCCAAGCATACGACAGAAGCGAATTTCGAACAACAACCCCATATCCCATTGGTGCTGTCCATTAGGGGTGGATGGATGGGTCGGCACTGCGCCCTGCCCGCCTCGTCCTTTATCCTCCACGCACGCGACACAGAGCCTCCTCTTCCTTCTTCTCCTCATCCGGTGCGGTCTCGACCTGTTTGATCTTCCAACGAAACGCCACTCCTACCAATCCCTACCGTGCTCATACAACTACCCGGCTGCCCTGTCTGCCTACTACTCAACCTCAACACTAGGTATTCCGGGTAGCGGTAGTTCCCCGCGGGCCCCTTGAACTTCCTCACGCTTTTGCATCTAAGCAGTGGTATGTACTCCATGTACACGTGCGCAGGACCCGTTCTTCATGTCTCATTCTTATTTGTTTGACGTTCATTTGATGTTGTCTATGTTGGTTGGTTGCTTCCGTTCATGCTCATGTGATCCGTGGTTGGCCGTTTAGAAGTCTGCGCTTTGGTAGTTACACAAGTGTGTGTGGATCAGATGGGAGAATACGCAAGGCAGAAAGCGGGATCAGAAGTCTAGATCAGGAACATGGAGCTACGTCGATCTAGAATCTGGACTGGACTGATATGATGGTTTAATGCAGATACCACAGTACTGGAAGAAGGTGGGTAAACACTATGCTACACACTTGGTTCGAATACCAAAGACTTTTCGTCGTTTGTGTTGGGGGCTGTCTGACGTCTGTGGGGGTTGGTAGAGACGTTGAGCTGTCAAGTGTCCTAACACACAGGCAACCTGCCGGGCATGAAAGCTGAACAACCATCGCATCAAGGCTGGGTTGAGATCTAACCAATTCTGAAGACAGGACTCTGCCTGAGGCTTCGGTTTCATGACTTGACGCTCGGGAAGGTATAGTCTGCGATAACCCTGAAGCGGACGAGACTTTGAGTTGGCATAGACTCAAGCACCTCACAGAAAGAATCGAAGAGAGAGATAGAGAAGAGAAAGGAGCATATGAGACAGCTTGGCTAACTAAATGTCGTGAATTATTTTTCTTTTTTCCTAGTGGCCACTCTGACAAAAGCACGAGGACTCCAGCAATAAAGGCTTTCCAAACACTGGAAGGCATTTATGTACTACCACTTTCACCCCCTCGATTACTCGGCAAAAACTACGGTATGACAAACATCCCAAAGTTAGCCACCCCCCATTACTGCTACATGATATGGCTGAAGATGGCTTAACATCAACCGAGTGTCAAGCGGGTAAGCCAAGAAAAAGATTACATGGATCAAGTGAGTCCATTCACATGTGATACTCAAAGTGCACGCTTGTTTTTATTTCTTTACTCCCCAGAAAGGGATCCAAGAGAGGCCATATCTTGGACTGGAACGAATGTCTTCGATACCCGTAAGGAATCTACGATTAACGACAGGTCCGTCCATGAAAGCCGGCTCTCTTGCAATATTCACAGGTGAGTAACCTATCTGAGCCAAACCCTGAATGAAACGCCCTGATGCCTACATATGATTTGAACTACAACCTACATTATTGAGAGATCACTTGGTAAGTGTCAGCTCCCCACCATGACCCGGTCAATTATGATCCAGTACGAAGGATGCCAAACACTGGTCGTATGTCGGAATAGGTTTTTATCGGTACAGGAGGAGAAGGGCTAACCAGCGAGCCATCTAGCTTTGTATGATAGGCATCTAGACTAGAGCACAAGAGTGAAGTCCAGCGTCATGCCGATAATGTCTTACGTGGGCGTTAAGCGCACAGAACCTTCTATATCAAGGGGATCTGGTAAAGATATTTCCAACTGCATCTATTGAACAAGACAATTGAGTTAGCTGCATCTTAACATCCGCTGACTGACATGACTAGACAGGTGGTCGGCCATCTGGCCGAACGGCTGAGCGGCCGGCTGAAGGCCGTCGGAGTAGGCTCCGGTAGTGGCGCTTTCATTAGCCCATTAGGTAGACCATCACCCAGCGGGTTAGCATCCAATCAACTCACTTGGTTAAGCGAACTTTTATACTTAGGCATTTGATAAGACCAACATATAGAGCGTTGTCATGATCTTTTGGTTTGGCGGGAGTCAGGACTTGCTGATAGCCGCGCGCAGGTTGAACTAGAACCGCGGTGGCGTACATTTTCGCTTATAGAGTGGCCTCTTGTTGGAGAAGTTGCACGATACTCCTTGTTCGGAGCCGCGGTGATTGCTTCAAACCTCTTTTTAAACGTCGAGTGTTCCAAGCGAGAGGATTTTGAGGCTTAAAATGGTGAGTTCCAGCCTGAGACCTTTTGCCAACGGGTAGACTGATATGGGATCAGGCTGGCGGCTACAGAGAAGATGACATTTTCAGCCCCATTTGTCGCCGGTGTTGTGGTGTTTGATGCCTCACGTTGCTGATGAGTTTTGTGAGTATATAGATGTGGATGGGACGTTGTTGCCTTGTTGTTGTCGATCTTTCTCTTCAGCAGTCATCTCTTTTGTTATCTCTTTTGTTATCCCTTGTCACTCTTTCATTACAGTCAACAGGGCTGGTGCCCATTCATTTTTGTCTTAATCATTCACTTTTATTGCTTTCGATCATGAGACCAAACCAAACCGTTGTGACGTCTGGCAACCAAAATGCCCACCGACCATCACTATCTACGGATGATATACTCGAAGCGTCTTCTGAGACGCCCGAGCACCCTTGGCACCCTGGGTTCTTTAGACATATCCGACACCTTAGTCTCTGGCATCTGCTCTTGAGATACCTTGGTTTTCTTGCTTTGCTCCTGAGTGTGATAGGCTGTGAGTTAACCCGACCCAAATTTGGAACCAGGCATGGTGCTTTCCAAGCGCAATTACTAATTCCCATTGAAAGGCACTGGGCTCGCCATTTTCATTCTCATGTTGAGTGACGGCGTAGTAGTCGATGAATGGCCCTCTCGCTTGCAGCCTAGCGAAATTCTGGCTTATACGTCAACAATGGCAACCTTTCTCATGACACTTGCGCTCGCCGATGGCGCGTCCAAGTTTTTCTGGAGACAGGCGATCCGAGGTGACGTGCCCCTAGCTGATCTTCATTATCATTGGAAAGCGGCCACTGGCGCCTTGAGTGCCTTAACCACCTTGAAGCAGCGGAGAGCCATTCGCGTTAGCGTGGGTATGTTCTAACCTTCCATGTGGATTTTCCATTTTCCCGGTTGAGTTCCATTAACAAAATGATTGATCATCCAGTGACCCTCCTCATGGCCGCAACCAACTTGCTCCGAGGTCCTATGATGCAGAGAGCATTGAGTGTTCGGACCGTTGACTTAACGCCCAAAGGTGATTTGGAGCTCGGAGTTCTGCCAACCACTCGAGTATGGGATCTTGAGCCACCTGAGGGTTATGATTGGAAACGCCCCTTGTGGGATGTGGTACGCGAGTACCGAGCCAAGACTCCCATGAGGATTCCTGGGGCCGAATCCTGCAACAATTGCACGGTAGATGTAGAGGTAAGTGGGGAGCAAACCATACCCGAACTGGTTTCCTTGGAGACTCTACTATGCTTGTTGCTGACCATAATTTTCGTTTGAACAGCTTATGGGATTCGATTACTCTACTTCGACTTCGAAGAAGTTTTCGTACAATCTTTCGGAGCGTCCTATGAAAAATGCCACTCGACGTGATGAGGACATCTTCAAAATTGAGAGCTTTGCAAATGCTGATTACGTCACGATCTCCGTGACACGGAAGATGGACGAGGATTGCGAGACCCATCTTATCACGACGGAACATTACCTATACCCCGCGTCAGTAAAACATAAATTGCTATTGGACGGAGGGAACGCAACTTTCGTGTCAAAGAGCTGGAGCGACGACTACGTTGCTGAGAGGCGGTATGTGTTTATCTTATCTTCTATCGTCGTGTTTGAACTAACATCTCGAAGGAAGCTTGGGTTTTCATCAGCCAATACCATGAACAACAGACTCAACTACTTCCGGATAATGGTTGATAAACTTTTCGCCGCCCGAACAACCTTGACCGTAGCATGGGGGGACGTCCAGCTCGACACAACACTTGAACAGGGAACGTACTTTGACCCGATCTTTACGGAGCATGAAAACCCAAAAGATCCCAAAACCAAAGTCCAGTATCGGGTTCACAGTGATGGACTTCTCTCCGACTTATATCAACAGGGACGCAGCGTTAAGTGTGGCCAAGCATTTCAGGATCCAATGGATGACATCCTAAACACATACCGCGAACTTACCTTGCGCCTGGCCATCTGGGATGCAAGAAATAGGAGCGACGCTGCAATTTCTGCGGGTGACAAGACAGGAAAGTCAAATTTTTTCCAGGCCGTGAAGTACACGCGGCCCGAGCAGATTCAGGCCGAGTACACTGCGAACAGAACCAACTTGGCCGTGGCAGTCTTCGTCAGTCTTCTTGGGCCACTGGCCACTCTTGTACTCTTCTGGGGCTTCTGGGAGCTTGGACGAGACTTCTCGATGAGCCCACTTGAGCTCGCCAACGCCTTCCTAGCCGGATCAGCGCCACGAAAAGCGACAGCCGAGACGGACAGCGACACAAACAGACCAGTGACAATAACTGAGAGCGAAGTGACGCCCAATCGCAACCAACTCGCCACTATTCTCGCCGGATGCAGTAGCAATGCTTCTGCTGATGACATCGTCAGCCACATTCTAAAGATCTGGAAGAACTCGCAGGAACCTGCTGTGCAGTATGGAGTTTTGGCCAGCAACAACCGGCTAGGATTCGCTGTTGTGAGATCGGAAGGCGTTGACCGGCTGCCAAAAAGTGAAACATGGAGCGTCGACTGACTGTGAGGTTTGGCCTCGTGTTGTTGTCGGGAGATGGGGAAGGAGATGGGGAAGGAGATGGGAGGAGGAGATGGGAGGAGGAGATGGGAGGAGGTAGAGGTTGGAGCAGCAGGAAGTGAGGGAAGAGAGTGCAACTCAACCCCTTTTGCGACCGCCGATAATCCGACCAAAAAGCACAATTGCAAACCCTTTTGAGTTTGCAAAAGAAGGAGAAAACTCGACGAGCACTCCTACAACATTTTCAATCAGTGTTGTAGTGCGAAAAAAAGACCAAAAAAGGCAAAAGGCTCAGTCGCGCAGATCTGAGTTGAACTCGAGACCAGCTGCGACCTACGAAAGCTGCACCACAGGATACCATACACCCGGCAATGCTTTTATCAACGGGACTTAGAGCCACTACGCCATATAGACACAGACTTTAGGCGCCCGTTGTGGTAGAAGGGTCAGTTAAGCGACCTTATAAGGTGCTCTATAAGGTGGTAGGTGCCTGGTGCCTGGCGCATAGGGCTTGGGGCTTGGGGAGGATGGGATGAAATGTAGACGGGTCGGTGGCCGAGATGAGGAATGTTGGTTCCGTCCTCCATGGGGTTCATAATGTAAGATAGTAGTAGCAGAAAATGAAGAAGATTGAAGGAAAAGAAGGACGACGAGAAAAACGAGAGAGAACCCCAGCCCCGCATTCGAAATCCAAGCCAAATCCCTTTGGTCAGCATCATACACGTGACAGACAGCCTAAGTAGTTGCTCCTGCCGTGAATATGACAAACATATGTTGGGTCGTTCTTGCCTGGACTAGATTGAGAACAACATGGTCCGCAAGTCCTTTCAGAAAAAACTAGCCTCTTTGTTGCCGGAGACCATGATCATGTCAACAATCATGACAGGATAAACAAACTCCTCGTCGACTTAAATGACCCTCTGAAAGACCCAGATCAAATCCGCGACGTCCTGTCGCTTGCTATATTCAACAACGCGGACTTCTCGTACCCTCAAGGAACTCTTCCCATTTCCACAAACTCCTCAGACACTCTGAAGCTGGCCCAAACATGGCTAAATGACTGCCCCCAAAACCACCCAGAAGTCACCAACCGGGAAGATTGGGAGCGCGAGGCCGTCACCATGGGTGATGTCTGCGGAAACTCGGCCTGGAATATCGCTGTGTTGGGGATGGATGGAGTAGAAGGATATTTTCTTTGAGAAATCCGCTGGAGATAATTGCTTGGCGAATTCAGGCAGAAAATTAGGGCGCAGGACACAGTGTCTACGTCCTCCCCCAGCTCCTCCGTACAGATTACTCCCTTTCCACTTTGCGCCGGCCGCCGCTCCTCCGGCGAGGATGCATGTCTGAAACCACAAGTTCTCAACTTTATAGCAGCTCAATTACCCGTCTCTCCAAACCCTCAAAGAACTTCATCTCTAGCGGCAGGAATCCATCTTCCTTGTGGAAGCTCTTCGCCGAAAAGGTGCCCGCCTTAACATATTTTCCCTTCTCCTTCGTGCTAGGGTGTTCAAGAAGACCAAACGGCTTTTCCAAGAACAAGCGGTATCTCCCACGTCCTAGATGCGAAGTGTCCTCGACAGGGGTTGCTGTTCCCAGCAACACAAGCATCAGTTTCCCTAGGTCCTTGTCTGCCTCATTGGGAATCCAGTCCAAGTTAAAGTTAATTAGCGGGCTTTCACCTTCATTCCCTAACTAACACATCCCGTGGTAGAATCCGTTAAACTCGCTCGGGAGATGATAGCCATCTGAAAAGGGATAGAAAATCGCCTCGAGCAAGAGGCTGGCAGACTTAATGGCTCTGAAGGGGTCCAGGCCCTTCTGTACCGTGTCTGCGTGGACTGGGGAGGTGCACATGTCCTTGTAAAATAGGTGATCGGTGTCAAACATCAAAAAGTCGCCGACACCCCATCCGACACGGCCACAGCCAGCCCAGCTCCAAGAGGGCACGACGAAGGCTGCCTGATTTTCAACAGACTGGAGATGTTCTGGTAACGAGTAGGCTTCAGGGCGTTACTTCGTCCACATTAACGCGTATGGAAAGTCCCGCTTCCATATCCCAGCCAGGTAATGTGACTGGGTCGTCTTGCTTGCCCGTTTGGCCAGGCCAGAAAGAGCAGGCAAGATGTCGCTGGCGTAGGATATTTTACGCCTGGAGTACTCAGGAATGACAGTCCTGTTCCAGAACTCTGAGTCCTCCTTCTTGTTCCCGGCCTCTTCGTCCGCATTTCCTGCAGCTCCATTCAACCCCAACTCAACCATCTTATCAGGATGCCCTTTCAGACCACTCCAGTCACATACATATTTGCTCTTGCACTGGAACCCAACACCGGATGCGCCAAAGTGTACGAACCGTGGGCTCAGTGCCAACTCTTGAAACGTCCATGCTCTGCGAATCCACTGGCTCTGCCTAATATCTACCCTTGATAGCCACTCAGGGTTCATTACATCCTTGCCAACGACAAAATTGCCATTGATGGCAATCTCACCGTGGACGTCGGGGTCAAACGCTGACCGTAATGCCATCCGAATCGACATCTTCTTTTCAACGGGTGTAAACCCTTCCAGACACGACCACGAAGTGAGCGAGCAAACGGTGAAGAAGGCATTCGAGTAAATATCTTCCATCTACGCTGATTCGCGCTCCCAATCTTCGACGTCACCCTGCAAGATACAAAGGGCGTCAATCCAGACAAAGGGAATCGAGAGAGCCTTGGCTAGCTTGATTGTATTTTTTTGTATAGGCGTTAAGTCCGAGATGGAGACACCGGGGTTGTAGAGAGATGGAACGTTGTCGGGGGTGAGCTTCTTCTGTTGTGAAGCCTCGTCGCGGTCTCCCCAGCAGTATGTGAGGGCCAGATAGCGTGTCCCAGCTTTGCTGGAGATAATTGAGGGGATATCACTGGAATCGATAATTCTGCATTCATTCGAGTTGTTTGCTATGGCAATGCGACGAGTTGGGAGGAAACTAGATGACGGTTGGGGGTGGGTGCAGGAATTTGAGCAGCAGTCGAGCTCGCGCCGAATGAAGGAGAGACAGCGCTCTGAGAAGGGATCGCGGTAGATGGAGGGGCCCATTCCATAGAAATTTGTTAGGGATTCTGCTCGCAACATCAACGATGTGTTTTTAATTGGCACGGTGTATTCATCAAGACACTCACCAGAAGCTGTTGATAGAGGGAATGAGATGCTCCCCAAGTGATACCCATTCACTGTTGATCCCACTTAGCGAGAGGATTATCCTGAGGAGTGGAAAAGAACAGCACTTACATTGACTGTTCTCATATAAATCAGCTGTCAGGAACCACATTTCTACTTCTCTTTCATCCTCATTCCCCGTATATTTGAAGTTCCATGTGTATGCTGGAGATATCCAAAGGTCAAGAGTCGTAACGTGACTGATGGTGTGGTCCTCAACTAGGCCACGGAACTCTCTCCATGTTAGAGACTTCCACAACAGACGACAGAACTCGCATCCTGAGGATCTTTTGGTTAAGAGAGCGAGATCTGGGTAACGGTCGATGATCGTGTATTCGCAGTCGAGTCGCTGGCCATGCATCGTGTACCCCAGTAATTTACAGTCTTCGTCTACATTGTCTTCTTCTTCACCATCGACGTCGTGCTCGTCCGTATCATTTTCCTCAATACCGATTGGGGCTGCAGCTACGAACGAGCCTGGGAAGCGAAGCTTCTCACTGCACTCAGAGCAAAGGTGCGAGGATGCCACTGTATGGAAGAAGATATCAGTATGGTGTATAATGTGGCAGTCTAGTACCGCAACGTGACCGAACTAACCTGGCAAGGACATCTTTTGATGCTGCTTGTGATCTGGAAAAGGCTAGGTAAACGAAGCCAATTTGTTTGCGATGTACGATTCTGCATCCTGGTTGTATGAGGTGATGGACAACTGAAAGATTGCACTTTGTGCTCAGTGTTGGGCACTGGTGCACCTGGCGCATCGCTGCCTGATGATGAGATTGAACTGCGAGCATGGCGGCATGTGTCGCACGTCGAATGAAGCAGATAAGATGAAAGGAGGAGAGGTCAGGAACAGGTGGAAGAATACAGCCAGTTTTGAGGTCCACACAGATTCTATTCCTTAGACAAGAAAAAAGATGATAAACAACAAAGAAAGCATTTTTCAACTGGCCAGCGCCGCGAAAAATACCTTCCGGTTCTTCCTCTCAGTATGATCGCTCCTTCAACAGCTGCTCGACTCGGGATACGGAAGGAACAAACCAACGCCTACCTTAACAATTACCAGTGCGGCACGCACGTGATACCCATGGTCGTCACTGCCGTTCCCTCTTCGATCCGTGTCTTTCATCCCAAAAGAAACTCACCTCAACCAGGAAATTGAGGAAGAAGATTTGGAGAACATCTCCATTGTCTCGCCCTCTAGTTTTGTTCTGTGTCAAACTACCTTCTCCTCTTCTCATGTAGTTGAAATTCTTGCCTCCCCATTCTCCAACCCAGCTTTCCATCTCTAAGTCTAAAGCCTTTATTGTCCGATCATTACTCTCCCGTCCACCACAGATTCTAATATTTCGCAACTTACTCTCCCCCCCACCCCTGATTCGTTACCAACTCATCTCATCAGTCCGCCTTCACCGGACCAACCAACTCCCATCCAACTCTCCCTTTTCTTCCCCTTCTTGCACAACCCCCAACTCCCTAACCCTCCACCCCTTCCTCGCCAAACTGTGCCTAGCAACCTCACAGTCAAACTCAATATCAGCAATCAACGCCTCCAGCCCGCTATAATCCTTTTCGTTGCGAATAAACCCGGTAACCAGCAGCCTCATCTCCACCCCGTAAAAGTCCGCCCCGAAATTCTCAAGCACATGCACCTCCGCCGAGCGCACCGTGTTCTTGTAGAAGGGGTTATATCCTATAGACATGACCATGGGGTAGATCTGCCACTGGCCTGTTTGTTGGTCGATGAGCTTTTCTTCCTGTGCGGATTCCCCTCCTCCTCCTCGTTCTTGTTGCTGCTGCTGCTGCTGTTGTTGTTCTTGCTGTTCTTCTGGGGTGGGAATGGACTCCATAACCGGCTCAGAAGTGGAAGGTTTCTGGTACAAAACCGAGTTGGGATGCGAAGCGGGCAGCTTGAGCGAGGCCCACCCAAAGTAGATGCCCGAGTCGATGTTCTTGATCCAGGTGTTTTCGTCGTCGACGGGCAGGTTGGCGGTCGGGATGCCGAGCTCTTTCGAGCCGCGCCCGAAGCCGGAGATGACTTCTCCCTCCATGCGGAAGGGGAAGGGGGCCTCGGGCCCGGCGGGCGGACCGATTAGAAGGGGACGGTTGTCTGGGTTTGGAAGAGACGTCATTTTTGATGCGGTTGTTTTGGCGGTGATGGTGGTGGTTGAATGGTTACGGCGGAAGAGAGGTTGTGTAATGAGATACAGGGACTGAGTTGTGTGACGGGTGAGTTGAGTGGTGGTGGTGGTGGTGGTGGTAAGATGACTCGATATATCCCAAGATAGCTGGCGGATGGTCGGTGGATTTTCGGATCGTTGTTGTCTGAAACCTCCGTCCGGCTGATGATGACAAAGTTGTGTTGGTGTGTGAATGCGGCGCAGTTCCCGAGCCACAAGCTCTCTCTTGATCAGTGAAGGTAAAGAAGGTCTCAAGTGTCTGCAAGTCCGAGGCATGTCAACAATGTATGTGGGGATTAATGGAATCCGCCAGACTGTCATCGTCGCCGGGCGCTGACACTTGGTGGGGTAGTGGGGCAGATGCCGTGCAACTCCGTAAATATCCCGGGGTAGCGGCACCGTAGCGATGTCGGTCGGCGTTAAGTGATAAGCGAAGGCCCGCTTTGGTCGGGTGGGGGGAGTTAAGGTTAATCAGCGCACAGGACGACGCTTTTGTAAAGAATATTGAATGCGGTTTGATTGACCATTTTGTACGATTATATAACCGCGCGCAGCAAGTTGACCAAATACCTCGGTAATCGTCTCGTCTATCATGCATTTTGGAACCAGCCCGCCCTCTATTGCACATAACGTCTTGTCTAACTGAAATATCAAAAGAAGCCAGGTCACATTTCGCCTTCCTCCGGTAAATGCCATCTTGCTGAGACTTACCAAAGTGGTAACATAGATCATACGAAACACATGTTGTGACAAGACCGCCAACTAATATCGGCGCAATAAATGTGATTAAGCTTTGGGGAAAATACTCATGCCCCACAGAAAGCGTCCAAATTCGCCTTCCCACAACCATCTCGAAGACAACCTCAAACTTTGTAAAAGCAGAAAGCAACGTAGAAGCTCGCCGCCTCCATCTCCTCTGGGCTTACCAACAACTTCCCGCTCATCCTATCCCTAACTCCCATTCTCTCACTCAGGGCACCTAGTTCTCGGTCGTCCTTCTCCGTCTCCCACACGTCCTGGAAAGTCTTGTGGTACTGCAACTCCAAATTGTAATCCTCCGCCAGCGCACGGAAAGCCTCCCAAGGAACCACATATTCAGGAACCTCCTCGACGGCCTCATGAAGGAAGAAGTTGTACTTCCATCCAAACGGAGGGCGGAAGATGCCGTCGGCGGGCGTAGGGCCGTTGAACCGCACACGGTAGATGTCGTTACCCCATTCTGCGATGGTTGGGTCGGAGGGCGGTTTAGCTTCAGATGTAGGTTCAAGTTCGCCTTCCTCCAGCTCCCCTTCTTCCTTTTCTTCTTCTTCAGGCCTAGGTGCCTCTTCCGAGCCCTCGCCATCCTGTGGGGTAGGCTTCCTCTCTGCTTGGTCTGACGAGGACTTCTCGGTAGAGTCACCATTTTGTTCCTTGGGCGTGCTACCATCAGTTTCAACGCTGGGTTGGGCCTGGTCCTCCTTAGCCTTCTGCTGCTCGGCCAATCGCTTGTTGAACTCCTCTACCCTTGCGCTGATGACGTCCGAGTTGGGGATACATCCTATGAACCGACCACCCTTCTTCAGCGCGCCGGCCACGTTCTTCAGCATCTGGCGCGCCTTGGCCTCCGTCTCGAAGGCGTAGTGCATGCAGAACATCATGCTGACCACGTCGAAGCCCCGATGGCTGGGGCCACCAATTTGGGATGACGCAAATCCGACCTGTCGGATAATGTCAATGTCCTCAATCGACTCGCCGTAGCAGTCCTTAACATGGAACCGAGCCTCAAAGAGCGGCGGCTGTCTCCTATTATAGCCACCCCGTCCGCCTCTGCCGCCGTGACCGCCACGAGCTGCCATACTGCGGTACCGATCACGCGCCTGGTCAATGGAAACATCTGCTGGGTCCAGCCCAACGTAAAGCTCCACGGGCTGTGGCGCCTGCTGCCACTTGCCCAAATCACCGCCCTTGCCGCATCCAATGTCTAGCACTAGTAGCTGATTGTTCGAACTGATTCCCCGCTCACGGGCGCCGGGCGAATGGTCCTCGTCAGGGGAAAACTTCTGGATGATACAGCTCTTCACCCAGTTGTTGAAAGAGCGTAGACCTTTGATACGACTGTCTGTCTTGCGCCAGTCGCGGCCACGCTCTGGCACAGCATTGTAATGGGCGCGCACGACATCATTAACAGTGTTGCGGCGCTCGGCTTCGGCGACCGCTTCTGCCTCCCGCTGAGCCTGGCGCTCGCGCTCCATCTGGCGTTGACGAATCTGTTCGCGCTCGGCATCCGTGATGCGGGCGCGTTGGCCGGGCCGCTTCTGCTTTCTGGGCTCGCCGCTGGTAGTGGGGGTATGGGTTCTCTTCGCCGGAGCTAATTTACGGGCGTCAAATGGTTGCGGGAGGACATCGTTCTCGTCCTCATCATCGTCATGCCTTGTAGACTTATATCGACGATCATCTTTGCGGTCGTTACGGTCATCGCGGTCGTCTCTGCGGTCGTCTCTGCGGTCGTAATTGCGGTCGTCTCTGCGGTTGTCTCTGCGGTCATCGTCGTAGGGGGACTCTGAGCGTTGCCTCTTGCGAGTCGACCTGTAGCTGCTGTAGCCATCGTAACCGGACATTTTGTTTTTGGAGATTATTGGTATAGTCTCGCAAGGAGACTTGATCGGCAAGAAGAATACGGCAGGGTGTCCAGGGTTCGTGTAACAGCAAGGTAGCTGATGCGACGGTGAGTGTTGTGAGTCGTGATTCTGCGGATTGACCTCGATTAATTGCAACGCCGAAACTGGGGATATTCACTCCAAGTTCCGCTGGTGATTAATGGCACTCGAAAACAGGTTGTCGAAGTTAAGAGTTGTTATTGTTGTTGTTGTTGTTGTTGTTGTCGAGGAAGAAAGCAATTGGAGAGGAAGTTGGGATGCGAGTGTTTTGAGGAAACAGGCAGGGGTCGTTGTTTGACGAACGGGAGCCGATAAAGTGCCTGCCCGGGCACTGTTCCCAGCGGCTCCACTCACAGGCCTGGCCCTCCAAGCTCGGGATCCACTTTCCAGTGCTGACGCGCGAGCTCTGGGGGCCTTGGTCACCTTCGGCCTCTCCAGTGAGGTCAGCTACTGTCAACCTTCCGAACCATTCAAGGAGCAACAAACCACAAACAACACCACCATCCAGCCTCACCTCGACCCGGCATCTTTGGCAGAATCACAGCGCCAGGCCAAACCTCAAACCGCGACCTAATTTCGAAGAACTTTCAATATCGCGATACTTTCATATCAGTCCGGCATCCACCTCCATAGCTGCTTGCCGAACTTCAGCGGGGTGCTTCTACTAGACGACGGGCACTGACAGCAACCGTCTTCCATCAACATCTTCCTCTTCCATCTTCCCCAAGCAAACCCATCACAACTACAAAATGGGCTCCGATCCTCAATACGCGAAATGGCCTCTGCTGCCCCTCGCTCAGCATGTCTTCACCCTCACAAACCCCTACGCCACCCGCCCTGCCCAACAAACGGCCGTCAAGAACCTTCAAGATGCTATTACCGAGCACAAGATGGCTCCCTTCTACCGATACCTCGCGCACCCTACCGAGGGTGTCCTTAACTCTGTTGGGGAAGGCAGCTCCAACACGGCCGCTGCTGGAAAGCTGGGTAGGAAGAGCAGCATCGCCGCCGGCATGATCGCAACCCACAACCCCACCACAAGCTTAAGCCTACCGTGGGATGAGAACCTGTACCAGCAGCTGCAGGCCGAGAACGAGAAGGAGCTCCAGGAGTTCCAAAAAGAGGAGGACGAGGCTGTTGAGAAGGCGGGAGACACAGAGATTCAGGCTGCCAAGGGGAAGAGGGCCGAGTTCTGGGCCCGAGTTGGTGATAAGGTTGGTCACCACAAGCTCATTTGATCTATCCCTACAGTCCAGGCGATATATGCTAACCAACTCTCTCCCTTGTTCAGGAAAAAGCCATCGCTGCGCACCAAGATCTGCTCGAGAAGACGGGCATCCTAGGCACCAAGATCGATCTCGTCCTCGCCACAATCCGCCTCGGCCTCTTCTTCGGCGACAAGCAGCTAGTCCAGAAGACGGTCGAGCGCGCCAAGTCGCTCGTCGAGTCCGGCGGCGACTGGGACCGTCGCAACCGCCTCAAGGCCTACGAGGGTCTGCACCTGCTCACCGTGCGCAACTACAGCGGCGCCGCCCCCCTGCTCCTCGACAGCTTGTCCACCTTCACCTCGTACGAGCTCTGCACCTACAGCAACCTGGTGGTCTACGCCGTTCTCGCCGGTTCCGTCTCGCTCAAGCGCGTCGACTTCAAGTCCAAGGTCGTGGACGCCCCCGAGATCAAGGCGATCCTCGGCGACGGCGAGGACAAGCTGCTCGCGCTGACCGGCGCAATCTCGGCCGGTCCGGGCGCCGACGCCTCAATGCAGGATGCCGACAGCGCGCCCGTGGCGGCCCGTACGGCCGTGGTCAATCTAACCACTCTCGGTAGCAGCACGGAGCAGCCCGAGGCGGAGATGGCGGTCGACTTTGACCCGCTCGCGCAGCTGGTCAGCAGCTTGTACAACGGCCGGTACAAGCTTTTCTTCCAGGCGCTGGCCCTGGTGGAGGAGCAGTTCCTCACCCAGGACCGCTACCTGCACGAGCACAAGAACTGGTTCATCCGCGAGATGCGCCTGCGCGCGTACCAGCAGCTGTTGCAGAGCTATCGCGTTGTGGGACTGGATAGCATGGCCAATGACTTTGGTGTTACGGTGGATTTCTTGGATCGGTTGGTTTCCCCCTTTCGTCCTCCCCCTATTAAGTTGTCTACGTGCTAACTATTTGCCCCCCAAAAAACAGGGATCTAGCAAAGTTCATCGCCGCCGGCCGCATCCCCTGCACCATCGACCGCGTCAACGGCAAGGGCGTCATTGAGACCAACAGGCCCGACGACAAGAACAAGCAGTACCAGGACGTAGTCCGCCAGGGTGACCAGTTGATCACCAAGCTGCAGAAGTACGGACAGGCCGTTCGGTTGAGGGGAAGTGAAAGGGCGTAAGTAATGAGCAGAAGGAAGAAATAAAGTCAGGGAGGGAGGAAAGAAAGGTTAATGATGTATGAGCGAGCTGTTGTGCTATCGTTAGCGATACGGAGGAGAGAAATTAAATCAGAATAGAAGACTAGAAAGCAAGAGAAACCATTTGCGCAAAGTCCTTGGTCCTTGCCCATTCATCATGTCTAACTTAAGCATTCTTACCCTGTCCTCAGCTAGGTCTTTTAGAAAGACACTGCGTCATCAATACGTAGGTATCATCATACGCGAGATTTTCATCGCGTGTCAATGCTTTCGTTCGTCGTGTTAACTTTTTTTTTCCCTTTGCATTTAAATCCCCATACCCTAACCTAACCATACCCCAAGGTTACATACAATACGTACAATGCCAAAGTGCTAGTTAGTAGCAGCAAAAGTAAAAACGCTGAGGTATCAAACATCCATTCCTGTACCCGACCCAAAAAAGCTGAACCCAAGAGTTTTTGTTTCCTTCCTTCTTTCCGTCTTTAAACAAGAACTCGCTCGCTTTTTGACTCCATTTTCCTCCTCCTCCTCCTCTTCTTCTATTTCTTCTTCTTTTCTCCTAAACCTTGGTGGCCTGTCCTGAGTGCTGCCGAGGGGTAGATAAATAAACCTTGAATCCTGCGGACAAAGAGCAGGGTGTTGGTGGTGATGTTCCAGGGGGAAGTGGGTATGAGTGTTATCTCCAGGGTTAAACCATGTTTTCCCCACGACCGCTTGGATACCCCCTTATGAGGGGCTGCTGCAGGAACCGCCTGATGAACGAACGGATCTTCTCCTTTCAGTTGCGGGGACCGCCATAGTCAGACCACCACCACCATCCATCATCACCCCGACGGGACGAAGCGAAAGGCATTTCATGATGTAACGTTTTGCAGTTTAAGCACAAGCACTCCTTGTCAGTGTGCAAAAAGCCTCTTAACGATACTGATCCATGAACTCCTTGTGGAACTTGACAATGTTGCCAACACTGGGTTCCAGGAGCAAGGAAGGTAGTGCGGAAGTGCAAGCTGCCCTCCTTCTGGCCGAACCCAGAGCCGGGGACAAGGCAGACGCCGGTAGCCTCGAGGAGCTTCATGCAGTAGAACTCGTCGGGGGTGCGGCCCTCCTTGGCGGCGGCCTCGGCGGCCTTGGGAGGCAGGTTGATGGTAGGGAAGAGGTACATGGCGCCCTGGGGGGCACCGCACTCGACGCCCTCCATCTGCTCGAAGGCCTTGTGGAGGGCGGTGGCGCGCTCCTTCATGCCCTCGTAGATGCCGCGGTACTCCTTCTGGTAGAGCTCGTACGAAGGCTCGCCGGCCTTGGGCGGGTTGACCATCAGCTCGACCAGGCATTGGCCGATGACGGGCGCGCAGAGCATGATGCTGACGAACTTGTAGATCTCGGCCTGGACCTCGGGGTCGAAGTTGACCAGCTCAAAGTACCCGCCGCGGTGGCCGCACTCGCCCACCATGCCCTTGGAGACGGAGTGGAGAGAGGCAAGCTCGACGCAGTCGTACTTGCCGTCGGGGTTCTCCTTCTGCAGTTGGCGGAGCACGCGCTTGAACGAGATGAACTCGCCGATGAAGACGTTGGTCTGGTAGACCTCGTCGGCGAGGACGACGAGACGCTCCTGGCGCGCGAACTCGAGAACGGCGCGGATATCCTCCTCGGGGAGGGAGGCACCGGTGGGGTTGCCGGGGTTGATGATGACGATGGCGCGGGTGTCGACGCCGGCCTCCTTGGCCTTCTGGTACGAGTCCTTGATGGTGTTGATGTCGGTGCCCCAGTTCTTGGACTCGTCGAGGAGGTAGGGCACGCAGGTGGCGTTCAGAATGGAGAGCGAGGCAGTGTAGAGAGGGTACTGGGGGATGGGCACAAGGATGCCGCTCTTCTCGTCGGCGCAGATGATGTGCAGGAGAGTGTTAACTCCCGAAGAAGCACCCGCAGAGAGGTAAATGTCTTGCCAGTTGGCAGGGAAGCCATCGCGCTCTATAGAGAGGGAACGGATGTTAGCAACAACACACATACACATATCTCATGAGCAGGGTTGGGTAGGGTTGCTTACTCTCGAGGAAGTCGGCAATATGCTGGCGGATAGCTGGGGCGCCGTTGCTGGCGCTGTAAGCTCCTACGGAGCCGACATGCTTGAGGAACCACTTGGCGCGCTCAATGACATCAGTCTTGTAGCCGAGGTGGTTGATGAGGACATCCTCCTTCTCGAGAAGCAAAGGGTTCTCGAGGATACTGAGGACCTGACGGAAGAAGGTGATGGGCTTCTGGTCGAGCTGCTGGGGGTTGCCGATGTTGGCCGAGATGACCTGGTCGAAGGGGAGGTTGGAGGTTCCGCGGAGCAGACTGGCACGGAACTCCTCGGATTTGACGGCAAGCTCACCGCGCACAGCGTACTGGGCCGCTCTGACGTGCGGGTTGATGTTGTCAATGGTGAGACGGCGGGTATTGGAGGACGACATTTTGCGAATCTGGGTGAAGGACTGGAAGCGAGTTTGCTGAGGGAAAGAGTGAATAACCGGCGGGGTATTATTAGACTTGGACAGCGGGGCAACGCGTCCCGAGGAAGAGTCAAGGCCGGAAGCTAGAGAGTGGGCACACGTTAGAAACTTTAGTTCGGAACCCACACTCTACGTTCAAGAGGTATGTACAGTAGCTCGTCTCTCGTTATCCCGAAAATGTGCAAAAATTGCTTGTTTGATATCGGTCAAGAAATAGAAGGGGGTTGTGAGAGCAAACAATTGTGCATGTACGTGGACCAGCGAGATGAGATGACGATTTCAAAGAGACTGTGTTTGGGTTTATAAGACGATTCATCCGCTTTGGTGAACCTACTTCAAGGAAAGAAGGCCGGCTCAACTCGGAAGAACATGGGAAGCTCAGGAGGGGTAAAACAAGGGACCAACCACACGAGCGAAACCAGTCATAAATGGTTGGCCTGTGTAGCTCTTGCTTGCGTGTGTGTGTGTATAAGAGACGGGCGGTTGAAGGAAGAATCAGCGCATGTCTCGCCTGTCGTGTCGTCCGATAACTCCCACGCAATATCCCGGTCCCACGGGTTTTGAGGTTGCCCAAGTCCAATACACCAACTCTTTTGGGAATTGGAGACGGCTGGTACAAATTGCTCCAGGTCGTTCGCCCTGAGGCGGTTTTACCGCGCGGGGTAGTAGCTCCAGGTACGTATCCTGTCATGCGGCGGGAGGCAACCGCAACATTGATAGACTGCAGTGCTCCCAACGCAGGCATCGACATGAAGCAAAAAAGGGACCAATGCATGCACTGCATGCCACGAGGCTCTTGGGAGCTGAGGTTTTTGGCTGCAACTCTTCCATGCGTTGTGTGTGTGTTCGTGCGGAAATGAGTGAGGTTGACTCTTGAGCTTGGCCGAAATCGGGGATGGTGATTGCCATAGTGGAGAGAAAGGGGAGGCAGAAATGTGGAGGTGACATTTTGGAGATGGGGTCTCAGGATGCAACTTGAATCATGAACTCGACGCAACATCGAAACATGGGGATGGGAAAGTGACCTGAAGGCGAAGAGACAGCTGCCACGCAGGTGCCAAGACCGTCAAAACAACCGTGAGGTGGTGAGAGAGAGTCGTGAGACTTTGAGTTACAAAAACGCGGGGAAAGAAGGCCAAGAAAGTTGGGGAAGATCGGGGCGAGGAGGGGAAGCGGCGGGAAGGTGAAAAACGACGCAAAGCGCATTCCGAGTCGGACGATGTGGTTAATCCTTACCTCCGCATGTCGCCGGACCCCACGCCGGCTGTTGGACAGGGGTTGAACGGGCATAATTCCTCACGGCCGCGCTGGGCACCCGGTGACGGGCGGTCCTTAGGGCGCTTGACAGTCCGGCAGCCATATGTGCGATTTGCCGATCTTCTATTGGGTGTGTTAGTGGACGACGATGAGGGTCTCGATACTGCCAGGTGTGGAGGAGACGGGATTCCCGGTGATGTCAAAAGTGAGAGTGGAAGAAAGTGCTTGCCGTTGAAGGTGTGCTGAGTACAGTTTAGCTCCGATATCCGAAAGTACCGAGAAAGCTGGGATGTGGTTTAGGGCTGAGTCTGGTTTGTGTCAATTGAGACGGTGGTTTTCAGATTGCATTCGACAGACACAACAGCCGCAAGAATGATATGAAAAATTGACACACAGGACAACTCACCTTTTTTCAATTGCACTGACCTCAACTGAAACTAACGAGCTCCGAAACAGGAGGACGGAGGGGGGTGTGGTCTAGAACTCATAGGTTCTGTGTAAAAGAATCCTTCGCTCCGGTCCGGTTCTGCCTCCGTGATCCATTTCAGGCTGGGGTCGCGGAATCGAGACTTCCTTGTCTGAGAACGGGGAGTCAATCAAACACGCCTTATCTCTACCGCTATCAGCGCGACGCGGCGTTATCGTTGAGCTGATCTGTGAAAGCAAGGTACAGTAAGCTGCTGTGCTGGCTAGTCGTGAAGTACAGTCAGATCTCCAATTAACGATTATAGGGATAACAATATTCTGGGTTTAGCGATCAAATTTTAGCAGATCTGAGTTTAATGTATGATGATAATAATTTTTTTGACTTATCTGATTATCGATTAATTTCTTGCTTACGTAACATACAGATTGTTCTATCTAATATACCTATTTGATAGCTTTAGTAGCTAAGTTAGCCTGTCTGATAGGTTTTGACAGCCCTGTAAAGAAGTATTAGGAGTTGGCAAAACCTGTTAAATCAGTTCAATATTTTACCACTTCCTACCTCCACTGTAAAGTTGAGAGCTCTAGGGAGCTCAGCACTCTACTAAATTTTGCGCAGTATTTTCCTTTCTGATTAAAAGAGTTAACTCAATGCTAACCATTCATTATAACATTCATCACCCTTGTGATGGCAGCTTTGCAGTTGTGTTTCTCGACTACCATCACAACTATATAAGGCCACTTGAGCAACCGAATTGCGAGCTTCAGTTACTTGTATCCTTTTGAAACATAGCCTAGTGATATAGTGGTCCGCCAGCGCCGTGACAATCTTCAAACCATCCTTCTCAACACCATGCTCTCTACCAAGAGGCAGCGTCGTTATGCAATTAACGAGCTTCAACGTTAGAAGATTCATTCGTATGCGAAAGCGAACCCCCTCCTCAACCAACGCAACGTAGCTGATTAGGCCACACGTGAATTTGGTCGCAAAGTGAGCTAGTCTACTGTGTGCGATTCTCTTAAACTCAAATTTGCCTATGTCGACATGTGACGAACGGCAGTCTGATCTGCCTAAATGAGATAGCTGAAGGTAAGAACTATCAGTGCGGTTCGGTGAAGCCAAAAGGTTCACAACAAGTATGTGCGTGATACTGGTCTCAATGAACAATTGTGGTAACTGTGATCTGTTGACTACTGTCGAACTATCTGACAATCTGAGTTCTCCAGTCGTCCCTTTATACCTGCTCGCCCTCTGCGAGATATCTGTTTCCTGATGCTCTTCTGAGCCCATAAGTCTATCTGATGGTGGTGGCTCACTGATGGTGGTGGCTCACTGATGGTGGTGGCTCACTGATGGTGGTGGCTCACTGATGGTGTTGGCTCACCTTGTGAGCTGGCTCGCCGTGTGAGCCCTCATGGGGTGTGAGCCCTTTTGGTTCTGCGCCCTACTGGCTCCTATGGTTGCACCGTTCTGTGGCTGTTGTATCCCAGTGGCTTGGTTGGCCTGTGTAACTCGCTTAAGTTCGTAACACGACAACAAGACCTTCGTACGCGGGGCTGTTGGAGTTACCAAAGTCCATACTACTGACTACCCCATCTTAGAGAAAGCTTTCTTTAAATGAGTTATGCGTATGGAGGGTAATAAGTTGCCCGTTACTGGAGTGATGATCCAGACTGCTGCCAAATCGTTATGGGAAAGAATGCCTAACTTCCGCCTCCTTAAGGCACTAAACTTTTCAGTCGGCTAGCTGGCTAGGTTCAAGCGGCGTCATCACATCAAGAAATTTCGACAGTCTAGCGAGTTCGGGTCAGCTGATATCAAGAGTTCCCTAGAACAAATCCAGCAAGTCAAAACTTTGATTTCCTTATTCAATATAGACAACACCTATAACGCCGACGAGACAGCGTTATATTAGCTAGCTATCTCCGACACCACACTCGCTACCTACGCCCAAAAGGGAAGAAAGAAGCAGAATGGCCATATCACCATATTCTTTTGTTCGAATGCCAACGGCACACACAAGTTGGATTTGTGGATTCTAGGCAAGACCAAAGTGCTCACATGCTTTTGGCAACGATGCTATCTATATTAGGAACCTTTCCGTTGTTTGGCGTAATAATAAGACCGCCCATATGACCGCCACTATCTTTATCGAATATTTGTACTGGTTTGATCGTCAGATGGCAGGTCGTCGAGTGTTGTTGTTAGTCGATGGTTTCTCAGCTCACGTCTTGGCGGTAAAACAACTTAAAGAACAACACGGTGACTAATACCTTCGTAACACGACCGTCAAATTCCTACCAGCTAACACCACCTCCATCTACCAGCCA